TTCAAGACTCACAGGAGAAATAGGGAGGGATGAATAGGGATGTTTATTGCCCATGATTTTTTAAAAACAAAACCTGAATTTGTCTGATGTTTCCTACTAAGAGAATATTTAGATATATTCTGTGGCATTCCTGCATACAAGATCATGTATGGCATTTTTAAAACTTTTTTTGTAGTTGTTGATGGACCTTTTATTTTTTAAAAAATTTATTTATATGTGTCGCTGAGGGTTGAACCCAGTGCCTCACACATTCTAGGCAGGTGCTCTCCCGCTGAGCCACAACCCCAGATCCTTGTATGGTGTTGTTTTTAAATGAGGAAGACATGGAAAGATCTCTGAGAACATCAGTTAAAAGAACAAGTTGCAAAATAATACGTCCTTTGTCATGTGAAAATAATGTATATCTATGTGTGTTATGTATGCACACATGCATGCCTGACTTAATATATTTATAGAGACTTGGAAATAGTCTCAAAGCCTACACTCTGAGTAGTGGTTTTCATTAGGAATCAGGTTGGGTGGAGGGATGGAGTTTTGTTGTTGTTGTTTTGTTTGTTAATTTACATACTTCTAATTGTTTAAATTGATTACAACTAAATATAGGGGGAAATGGAGGAGATTTCAAAACAGAATTTGTCCACCATTCATGAAGACACGGGAGTGGGGAGCACTGAAGGAAGTATTACTATGTTTAGCTCTGCCTGGGGTCAGTCCCTCCCAGTCACCCTGCACCACGGTGTTCTCATTCCTTGCCTTTCAGATTCTGAATTGTACCACTTGTCTTTTTTTTATTTTAATTGTCAGTGGACTTTTATTTTATTTATATGTGATGCTGAGACTCGAACCCAGTGCCTCACACATGCTAGGCAAGCAGTCTACCACTGAGCCATAACCCCAGCACCCCCACTTGTCTTTCTTACTGTGTGTTCTCCTGTGAATTTACTTCTGGCTTATCAAAAATTAGCATTTGCAAATATCAACAGTTTTTTTGTTTGTTTGCTTTTGTTTTGTTTTGTTTTTTTGGTACTGGGGATTAAACTCAGGGGCACTAGGTCACTGAGCCACATCCCCAGCCCTATTTTGTACTTTTTATTTAGAGACAGGGTCTCACTAAGCTGCTAAGCACCTTGCTGTTGCTGAGGCTGGCTTTGAACTTGCAATTCTCCTGTCTCACCCTCCTGAGCCACTGGGATTACAGGTGTGCACCACTGTGCCTGGCTCAAATATCAATATTATGAAGATCAGGATGAAAGGTTTTTGTCTACCAAAGAAAATAGTTTGAAAGATGTTGACTTAAGAAAGTTCAGTTTACTTTCTTACTGATTGTGGATGTTTTTCTGTCCATTTTTATTCTGGATGCTTCTTGCAGTGGGTTGAAAGAGTTACAGGTGTTCACCCTTCTTTGACCTTTCCTAACATCTGCGTAATCCTGTATTATGACAAAGTAATTTGGAGCCCGACCCCACCGACTGTAGATCGTAGCCAACTTTCTCTTCTAACTTTCTTTTACTTGTTCTCTTTAGTGTCCACATATAAGATAAAACATTTGAACCATAACTTTCTAAAAAAAAAAAAAAAAACAGCGTAATCCTGTATTATGACAAAGTAATAAATAATTTGGTTAGCAAGCTTGGCGCACCCACAGAGATTGTTGAACAGGTTCATTACCATTTTATACTTCATGAGAGCTGAGATCATGAACTGGTTTATGTATCCTTAGTGTGGACACTGGCTAATTGTATACATTTTACAAACAGGTGTTTAAGAGATCAGAGGAGGCATTCTGCCTACTACAGTCACAGTGAAATATCAGGATGAAGATTCTACTTTTTTGTTTGCTGTTTAAACAAGGTCTCATTCTGTTGCCCCAGCTGATCCTAAATTCCTGGGCTCAAGGCATCCTTCTGCCTTAACTTCCCAAGTGCTGGGATTACAGGTATACTTCATCATGCCCAGCTTTAATGTTGATTTTTTTTTTTTTGTCATTAGTTTTATTGCTTTTTCAACTAAGATGTTAAGCATGCAGAATTCCCATTGAAGGCTTAGTCTGAACATATTTCAGTCCTTGATACAGTTCTGACTCAGATCTCTCTGCCTTTTGTAGGTGTTGGCAAGTAAACACCATCTGCATCATTAAGTTGGCATTTATTGTGATGTGGCCTACTAGTAAGATGTGTTGCTTCATTATTTCATGTTTGTGAATGATCTGAGTATTAATGAGTTTGATTGACTTTGTTTCCTTATCACGTTTCCTCTTAGATTTTTTCCTTAGTTTTTGTGCCTATATAATAGTCTGAACCATATGAAATTGCCATATTTGTGGGTCAAAATAGTTAAACTTTGGTTGGTTTGGTTGGTTCATCCTAATGTCTTTAGGACTTTAGTACTTTTCATGTTTTCTCAACATTTTTTTCCAGGTTTTTAAAAGTATTCTACTTGATATAAAATTTTTGAGAAATATAAAAAGTACAAAATAAGAAATATAAGCATATAATACCACGAAAGAATCTTACCATTTTAGTATAATTGAATTTTTCTTTTCCTTTCTTAAAATGTTTCCCCTAGAAATTGTAGACACTTCGTGACACAATTGTTACAAGGCATAAATGAATTATTATATATAAAATGACCAATAACTATATTAGCTATATAATCAAAATAGCTTTTATTCTTCCTCACTATTTTTCCATATTTTTATTGGTGATTATAGTTGTACATAATTTGTATATTTGTACATGCCCACAATATAACAACATAATTTGGCCCATATCATTCCTCAGTATTTCTACTTTTCTCCCCTCCTTCCTCTTCCTGGTCTCTTTCCTCTAGTCTACTGATTTCCCTTTGGTTTTCATGAGATTCTCTCCTGCCATACCTTTTACTTTTTCCTGTCTAATTTCTACATATGAAAGAAAACATATGACCCTTGAGCTTCCGACTTTGGCTTATTTCATTTAATGTGATATTCACAAATTCTATGCAGTGTCTTGCAGATGACATGATTTCATTCTCCTTTCTGACTAAATAAACCTACATTGTGTATATATACCACATGTTTTAATCCATTCATCCATTGGTGCATCCTATGCTGGTTCCATAATTTGGCTATTATGAATTGTGAACATGCATGGGTATGCATGTATCACGATAGCATGATGGCTTTAATTCTTTAGGATAAATACCAGGTCATATGTGGTTTCCAGCATTGATTATTGTTTGTATTCTTGATGACTGCCATTCTGACTGAAGTGAGATGAAATCTCAATGTAGTTTTGATTTGCATTTCCCTAAATGCTAATGATATTGAACATTTTTTTGTATATTGGTTGTCCATTTGTGTTTTCTTTTGAGAAATGTCAGTTTAGTTCCTTTGCCCCTTTATTAATTGGGTTATTTGATTTTTAGGTATTAAGTTTGTTGAATTCTTTATATATTCTGGATATTAATTTTCTGTCAAAAGAGTAGCTGGCAAAGATATTCTTCCATTCTATGGGTTCTCTCTTTACATATCTAATTGTTTCTTTTGCTGTGTAGAGGCTTTTTAATTTTGATGCCATCTCATTTAATAACTCTTGTATTCTGTCTCAATATTTACTAACTGTACTTCCCATACTAGTAAATATTTTTATAGAAATATGAGTTTTGAGATAATTTAATATTATGTCATATAACCACACTTGTAATTTAACAAACATTTTTCCTTTGTTTTATAATTTAGGTTGTTTTCTTTCCTGTTCTTTCATAAATAATACTCCGATGAACTCATATCTTTGTATCTGTTTCACAAATACAAAGGAATTTTATGTAAGTGAAATAATTAGATCAGATGATAAGAATATTTAAATATGTTTTTATATATAGACACAATATCCTGCAGAAATACTTATTGGTTGGTCCTTTCTCTGGTGATGTGTAAGATCTTTCTTATTAGTCTTCAGTTTGAGTGAGCAAGGAAGGTTTTTAGTATGGATAATTTGACAGTCATAAATAGTCTTGTTGTTTTAGTTTGAATGCTTTTAGATGGTTTGTTAATCATATGATTTCTTGGGAGATATATTCATATCATATGTGTATCTTTATTGGAGTTCTTATCTTTATTGGAGTTCTTACAAGCACTTTGTGAAATTTGGGTTAAGTTTTTACTACTAATTTTAGTATTTGTAAGTAAATACTTGTATTTGTAAGGGAAAGACCCTGTATTTGTAAGGAAAAAACACATTAGTTTATGTACACAGAAAAATCGGAATGTGTGTTAGCCAAAATACTAATAAATTTTTAGGTGGTAGAATTTTGGATGCTTTACCTTTGTATTTAGCTCTTTTTTCTTTTTCCTTTCCCTTTCTTTCTCTTCTCTTTTCTCCTTTTCCTCCCCCTCCCCTCTTCTCCTCTCTTTTCTCTTCAAGACAGTCTTACTGTGTTGCCCAGGTGGGCCTCAAACTCTTGGACTTAAAGTGATCTTCTTGCCTCAACCTTGCAGGGAGCTTGAGACTACAGGTGCATGTCACAGAGTTCCATGTCTCCTGTTTTCTGTTTATTCTATAATAAATTTTTAATTATTTATTTTATTTTATTTTTGGTACTGGGGATTGAACTCAGAGGCAGTTGACCACGGAGCCACATCCCCAGCCTTATTGTATTTTATTTAGAGACAGGGTCTCACTGAGTTGCTTAGTGCCTCACCATTGCTGAGGCTGGCTTTGAACTCGCTATCCTCTTGTCTCTGCCTTCAGAGCTGCTGGGATTACAGGCGTATGCCAGTCATTTTCTTGTGATTTATGATCAAAGCACTGGTCTTTCTATCCTGAGTCCTTGTTAACTGCTTCAGGCCTTTTGTGTAAAGGTGAAATTAATTCCTCCCAGCTGCACTTGACTCTAATACAACTCCTGATGCCTGTTCCCGCATACCAGCTCTGTGACCTGTGTTTGTCCAGCCATGTAGAAAGGATGTGGGGTGGCAAGAAATTTGTCCTAACGTTTTTATTTTCCACTGTCATGGCTAGCCTGCTATGGGATGGATGAAGAAGAGAACCACTATGTCTCACAGCTCAGGGAAGTCTACAACAGTTGTGACACTACTGGGACAGGATTTCTGGACCGAGACGAGTTGACCCAACTGTGCTGTAAGCTTCACCTGGAAAAGCAGCTGCCTATACTCCTGCAGACTCTTCTTGGAAGCAACCACTTTGCCAGGGTGGGTATTAGATTCCATTTTCATGAAGAAGAGCACAGAGTTGTGTAGTTGGCTATTATAGGTATTAGGTAAATATCAGTTGAGGAAAGATACTTGTCAAAGGAAAGTTATTAGCAAATGGAATGATGTTTTCCTTCTTTGCCAATCCTACAATTTAGGAAATTCTTTAGGATTACTTTTTTTTTTTTTTTTTAACTACGAGAGTAACTTTCAGAGGTTTTTCTTGGGAATAGAATGGAGAAAAGTTTGGGTAAGGGGTTACCAAACTTGGATCTTGTAGCAACTCAGCTGGTAAATTATTCAGATATAATTTCAAACTGGGTAGTTTGTCTTAGAAAATTAACCAACTTGAAATTTATTGAACTTAAATGATACCCATCTTCAAGGTGCCTGTAATTTCATCTAGGCCAGACAGAAAATGGAAACACTAGGAAATTCAAGGTCACCTAGAATGGTGACCTACATTCTAGATCACAACCTGCTCTCAGTATCAGAAACACTAAAAGGCACCCTGGACCTACCTCCCTTTCTACTTCTTAGGAGTATTAATGATTTAAAAAAACCAAAAACCCAGTACCAATTATCATACTGGTCATTTTTGATGAAAGAACATTTTCCCCACAGGATTCAATAAAACTATTTTAATTTTAAATGGAAAAAACTCGAGTCTGTAAATTTAGTCATTAATACATAATTCTAATTTTAAAAATAAATATTATAATATTTGAATTAGCAAGGTTGTTTTTGAACCTTGCTAATGTTTATTTTAAAATCCTAGATCTTGCTAAAGAAACATTATTAAGCCAGAAAGGAAATTTGCCTAAATTTCTTGTGAGTACCATGAGGAATTTCCATGCCTGTTTTATATTATCATCTTGGCGTGTTTTAAAAAAAAAATACCAGTGGGGGTGCTGGGATTGTGGCTCAGCAGTGGAGCACTCGCCTAGCATGCGCAAAGCGCTGGGTTCGATCCTCAGCACCACATAAAAATAAATAAATAAAGGTATTATGTCCGACTACAACTAAAAATATATATATTAAAAAAAGAGGGGGGCTGGGGCTCAGTTGTAGAGCGCTTGCCTAGCACGTGCAAGGCCCTAGGGTTTATCCTCAGCACTACATATAAAGGTATTGTGTGCAACTACAACTAAAATAATAATAATAATTATAATAAATATTTTTTTTAAATGACCAGTGGGGAGGATCTTAACCTTGAATATTTTAAATTTGGGCAGAGAGAATTCTTCTTTTTAAAAAAATGATTCTTAACATAGTGTCACAGGGAGTAATTTTAAAGCCAAACCAGACTCTAGAGCACAGATGTAGCCCTTTCATTTCAACGAATGAGTCAGAGATCATATGGAGATGAGTGGGTTGTCTTGTTAGGGAAAACACCTGAATGCCAATGGGGTTCTCTCTGTTTTGAGAGCTGTGAAAGTGAAGGGCATGAGGAAATATACAAGTCCAAATGGTACCAGTCTAAAATGGCACCAAACTGGTCCATCATATCCTTCTACTGCCTGATGGAAGATAGTCAGCTGATAATTTTATCAAAGATGCAAAGGAAACCTGATTAGATTAAGCAAAACTTGCCATTTTATTATACATGAATATACACATCAAACATTTTTGAAGCACCTCATAATGTGTTAATCAATACCAGCTGTTAGGAATGCAGAGCTGAGAGAAATACAGTTTCTATCTTAATGGGAAATGTATATAGGCAAGGTTATTCAAGATTAGAACTTGTCTTTTCATTTTGGGATTGATTAAATAAATTCTGGTAGGTCCATATGATGAAATTTTATGCAGCCCTAAAAAGAAATGAGACTTCAGCCATTTCAGTGGTGGCAAGTTAGCAAACTCTGGCCAACCTTCCTCATAGGGCAAGAAAACCAAAAATCTCAAAGACAGTAAAGAGCAAAACAGACTTAGCAAGAAATTACTAGTCCAAAAATCCGTGCTAAACCAAGTACCTAGAGAGGTGACCTCAACACACAAAACCCCATTTGCCCTCAGAGTATTTTCTGATCATAAGTAAGCAACTGTAAAATTGATCTCAGAGGACTCAAAAGGGAAATATGTCAAAACCAGGTTTGCCCAATGTTAGAATATGGGAAACCAGCCCCAAATTTAAGGGAGAATCCTAATGGGTAACACCTGTTGGACAAAGATGACTTGCATGTCAGTCAGCTTTTGTGCTTCTTTGTGGTTTGGTCTTGTGTCCCCCTCAGGAGTCTACATATCCTCAAGCTTTTCACTTAAAGCCTTAGTATTGCTGTGACATTTGGCAAAGGCAAACAAATGCTCACTCTTAAGCTCTGAAATTAGCCCTAAGTAATAGCTAAATACAATGACCAGCATATAATTGGGTTAGCAGGCACACAACAAACAAATCAGGTTGAGTAAGAACCAACAAAAACAAGAAACAATGGAAGCAGACCCACAAAATCTAAAACAATTATTGTTACCATATTAGGAGACTTTTAAAAAATAAATTTGAAAAGATCCATAGGACTTCTTAGAGGGATGGCTAAGAAGTGATATAACAAATCTAAACATGAAAACAAATTAGACTGAAAAGTCTAATCATCCAGAATGTAGCATGAAGATAGATAAAAACAAAAAGATGGTAAAGGGGTAGAGTGATAAGGTTCAGGATTCTTTGAATTGGAGACCCAGGAGGAAAGGAGAGAAGCATTATATGAAGAGATACTAGGAGATAATGTTCAGAACAGATGAAGCATACTGCTTGGGATTCCAAAAGCCCATGGTATTCCAAAGAGTATATATAAAAAGAAATCCTCACCTGACTATATTGTTGTGATACTGAAGGAAAACAAAGACAGACATGTTAAAAGTGGTCACAGGTGGGTACATAGGATCTCTTTATTTTTCTTATAACTGCATCTGAATCTATAATTATCTCAAAATGAAAAGTTTAACAATTTTTTTAAAGCAGCCAGAGAAAAGACATATCCTAAAAATGAACCATAATTAGATTGGTAGCTGCCTTCTCCACTGCAATAGAGGGAAGAATACAATGGTCAGTACCTCCAATGTGCTGAAAGAAAATAACTGCTGACCTAAGGTCCATTCCTGGCAAAAGTGTCTTCTGAGAATAAAGGTGAAAAAAAAAATCCCTCTAGATGTGAGAAACAGAATTCTGCTTAGCAGTGAAAGAACATAGAGTCAAACACATAGGATTTGTTGAGCACCTACTGCAGTCAGCTCATAATCCAGCTGGGCTGACAGAAAAATAATTTTATACACAGGGAAAGTAGGAGCTTGCCATCATGGTGTTACCGCTGAAGTATAACACCGAGGCAAGTGTAGAGTGGAAAGTGGAAGGTTTTATTAAAGGACAGCAGACAAGACTTCTCCCCCGGAGGAAGAAGGGGACCTGAAAGGCGGAATCCTTGGAAGGAGGAGGTCTTTCCTTTTTTATATCTAAGGTCTTCTTTTAGTCCTCCCACATTCCTGTCCTTTATTTCCCTCTATCCTGCAGTGATAGAATGCAGGTGGGACGGCCCAAAGATGGGAGATAGGTGGACTGGAGGAGTAATCTGGGCAGGAAGGGCCTGGGGTGGCTTGATTAGCACCTCCCTGTTTGCTGGGAGCTACTTCTTTAACAGTTCCTTGGATGGATTCCAGGTCTTGGGGACATTAACATTTTAATTTCCCTAACTGCTGTTCTGGTTTCCTGGACTCCATTCGATAATGGTCTCCATTTTCTTTATCTTACTCAATATTAGACCCGATTTACCTAATTACACTAACTACCTATTGTTATGCTCGAATTCGGGACCCCCAAAAGACCACCAGAGATCAAGATCAATGTAAGCACAAAGAGGTGTTTATTGTGAGCTAGCTCGGTCCTCTGCGCGCACACACAGCAACTGGTGACACTGAGAGGCCCCGAGCCCAGGGTTTGCAGCAGTTTTATACATTCTTTGGAAGGCAGGGACCCCCACATACATCATAGCATCTCTTAGCAAATCATCACACACCTCGGGAAAATCAAATAACAACTCTAAAACATGATTAGCACATTCACTGGCGGGAACAAGTTGGGTAGGGGTGATTGGTTACTACAAGAGGGGGATTCATTTGAACTGATTGGTTTAAGCCAAGAGGGGTGTTCGTGCTGAACTACATGGTTTCCCAACACCATAAACTACTGGGAGGGTCATCTGGCATCCCAGGTATTTCCCTGTCTCATGCTGATTGGTGGCTGCTAGGGGGTTGCTATGAGTCCTCACCTAGCCTGACTGAGTCGGGACACCTGGCCAGCAGATCTCTCCTGTTATTTGTAGATAAACAACTTAGCAGGGTGGGAATGTGCCTAGGAGTGCTCTGTGGGTCTTTCCAAGGACAAAGGTGATGTCCCTTCCTTGGACAGGCTTTGCTCTGAGGTAGAGGCTGGTTTTTCACTATCTTTAAATCTGGCTTCAGTGGGAGCAACAGAGATATGCTCATTCAAGTTGTTTGCAAGATTTGGAAATCAGAATAACCTGCAGCTCTAACATCTGTGGTGCTGATACTGCCAGTTACTGATGAGTAACTGATGAGTTCTGCTTCCTCACATGTTGAAGTATAACACTAGAGAAGTACGCTGAGGCAAGCATGTAAAGCAGGGTTTATTTTAAAAGGGTTTCCTGGTATCCCAAGAAGTGAGAGGTTTTGCCTTTTTTTTATTAAATAATTAATTAATTAATTTAGTAGTTGCAGTTGGACAGAATGCCTTTATTTTATTTGTTTATTTTTATGTTGGTGCTGAGGATCAAACCCAGTTCCTCATGCATGCAAGGCAAGCACTCTGCCACTGAGCCATAGCCACAGCCCAGGTTTTGCCCTTTTTAATATGACCTGAGCTTCCTTTGTTCTTCCCCTTCTCTTTCTCCTTCCTGCAAATGTGACTAGGTCCAGGAAATACTCTGTGGGATGGCCAAAAGGTGGGAAACAGGTGAGCTGAAGAGGCCTGAGAGGAGTGATCCGTGCAGGAAGGGGGAGTAATTAACAACTCCCTGTAGGGGATGAGAATCCCTGGGACAACAGGTTGGAGCAGGGTCAGGTTCTTGATAAGGGTGGAGGAAGGGCTCTGAAGGAACTAACATTTCAATCCCTCCAGTCTCTGGATCTGACCCTTGCCTGTCTGCCTAACTCTGGCTTCAGAGCTATTTTGACCTAATAGCTCTTCTGTTGATTTATTTCTGCCTGGGTTTCATTGAAGCATAGAGAAAAGAGCACATAGCAAAATGTTCAGCACAAGGAATATTCCAAACTAAGCACACCTGTGTGACCTGAACCTTTGCTAATCTTCTTTACTTCAGTAACACTTTTTACCTAAAAATCCATTTTCTTTTATATCAAAAAGATATAAAAGCCCCTGAATGCCTGCTCATGTGCCTTTTGGTCCCTCTGTCACCAGAGGTTAACCACCATCCTGGCACTAATATCATAGGTTTGTTTTGCTTATTTCTGAACTTTACATAAATGAAAATATACTCTACATACTCAATACATAACTCTTTGTCTCCTTTTATTCAATATTATGTTGCTGAGATAATTTCACAATGTAATATCTATCAGTGGTTTGGTCCCCCCCCCCAAGGTCATATATTTTGTTGTATGATACTATTATGGTTTATTGGTCCTTTCTGTTTAAATGGGATCAGAATAATTTCCACTATTCTAGAAGAATAAATTATCATTATATGTTATAAATTGTTATTCTGCTAAGAAAAAAGATAGCATGTGAAATTAAAACATCTCAGACAAACTAAAAGTTTGGCATCAGTATATATAAGAAAAATGAAATTATAAATGTCATATTTTAAATAGATGGAAAATCATCCCAGATGCAAGGTCAGAAATGCAAGAAGAAATGAAAAACAGTGTAATTCTAAATGAACATCCACTAGGTAAAATTAAAATTAACATTTTTGAGGGTTGAAAATATAAAAAACTATAATTCATGGTAGCAAAGGTATCAAAGTCAGGAGTGTAGTAAGTGGACTTTTTAAGCATTATACCTGCTTTGCATTATCATAAAACATGGCAAGATTATTGATTAATAGTCAATTTTGTGAAACAAAGAATACATTTTGCAAGTTTCAAGATAATTAGTAAAAGAACGGAAAAGACTATATAACTTCTACATTAATAAAGAGAAAATGGAGTCCTAAAATATAACTATTTAAATATAAATATAAAAATATAATCAATGATCCAAACAACAGAATGAAAAGTACAAGCAAGTAGGTCAATTTGAAGGTACAAAATAGTGATTAAAATCCAAATATAATCAGTAATTACATTAAGTATACGTAGACTAAATATTTCAGTTAAAAGATAGTCTAGAAAAAAAAGAGCTATAATACTGCTCACAAGAGATAATCTGAAACAAGAACATAAATAATTGGAGTTAAAAGTTTGATGAAAAGATGTGTCATATAAACACTGACAAAAAGAAAGTTGGGGTAACTTTTTGATATAAAAGAAAATGGATTTTTAGGTAAAAAGTGTTACTGAAGTAAAGAAAATTAGCAAAGGTTCAGTTCACTAAAGGGATGTAATATACATTCTGTGACCCAGGATTCCTGTTCTTAGGTGTGTGCCGTGGAGAAATCACAAAGGTCATGTGAAGCATTGTTTAAATTAGGTTTGTTTTTAATAATTAAACACTGGGAACAGTGGAAAGGTATGTCAGTAGAACAATGGATTGATGGTGGCATGGTTATATAGGAGAATACTATGCAGCAGAGAAAATGAATGAAGTATACCTATGCACAGCAACTTAAATGAATATTGTAGAAGTAATGTTGAACCATAAAAGCAAGATAAAAACAAGAATTTTACAATTCCATTTAAATCAAATTCAAAAAAGAGCCCAAACCAAAACATGTTTTTTAAAACATGGATGGTCTGTTTCTTGATGGAAAGTGATATAATTAATATTTGTTTTATATGTATTAATATTTTATGGTCATCGGATTTCTTTTTTATACACTGTTTTCTTCCTAATTTTTAGAATCTTTCTCATTTTTAGAGATGGGTCTCTCTATGTTGCTCAAGCTGGGCTTGAACTCCTGGGCTCCAGTGATCCTCCTCCCTCAGCCTCCTAAGTAGCTGGGACTATAGTACACACCACTGCATCTGGCTACTGTTTACTAGTTATGTTGATCTGCTTTTATAAAACTGTGTTTATTTGGTGGTGAGATTATGGTTCATTGTTGCCTTCTTATTATATTCTTCTATTGTAAATAATCTTAAGGACATATATGATAAGTACATATAGGAAAAAGTAAAATGAATGTTCTCAAACTATAAGGCAAATAATCAGTTGTTTCTGAGAAAAAAATGCAAAGGCTATCAAGTGGGTCTGTCTAAAGTAACATGGTCCTCTCTTAAATTCATACAGGTTAACTTTGAGGAATTTAAGGAAGGTTTTGTGGCTGTGCTGTCATCCACTGTTGGTGTCGGCCCCTTAGATGAAGAGAGTAGTTCTTTGGAATCAGGTAAGAGGGTTTCCTCCTGTCAGCTTTAGTTTCTTTTCATTACTCATGGCCTGAGTATAACCAAGCAGTTCTGTAAACTAAATTCTAACCCCACTTTCTGTCACTACCAAACTATGTAGACTTGGGCAAAACATTTGGACCTTTTCTCCTTTCATTTCCTCATCTGTAAAGTAGTGGCATTTAATGACATATGCTGTGCCTGCAGCGGATGGCTTCACCAGATGGAGTGTGTGATGGGTGTGGAGGAGGGAGCAGTGCAGTGCTGATGGAAGTGTGGCTTTCCAGGGCTCTCAGGGTGACAAACAGTCAGGCTGTCAACCTGCACAGGACACCATGGCATCTACTTTGTCACAGATTCTTAGCTTTCCATCACGGTGATCAAAATACCTGACAAAAACAACTTAGAAAATAAAAGACTTATTTTGACTCATTGGTTTCATTCCATGGTCAGCTGGCTCCATTGTTTTGGGCCTTAGATGAGGCAAAATATAAGATCCCGGGGGGTTGTGGCAGAGGAGAACTGCTCAGCTCATGGAAACCAAGAAGCAGAGAGAAAGAGAGAGAGCAAGGGTCAGTGGTCACCAAAGGTCACCACCTGCCTGTAGTTTTCACCTCCTTTCCAGGAGTCCATTGAGATCATAAATCCATCAAATGCCCAGAGACATGTGATCTGCAAGGTGAAAGGTGATGCACAGTACTCATTTGTTACCACTGCCCTACTGGATGTGCTGTGGGACCAGTTTAGAGAGTATGAAATGGTGGCCGGCAGTTCCTCTGTGCCCCACGGCATACTGGTCAGACAGGTGCATGGCTATGGAATTACAGTATTGGGCAGAAAAGAAACTGGCAGGGGACAAAGAGCTTGTGCCATGTGTATTCTGAGCTTTATGTATATTATTTAGATTCTGTTTCACACTCATAGAAATCCTGTGGTGGTGTTATACCCACTATGCAGGTGACAAAACTGAGACCCTAGGTGGAAAGGGATTTGTCCATGATCTCACAGTTAGTAGTTGCTGAGGAGCCCCAATTTTCCAGCTTTAAACCCTTGTACATGGAACCCTGATTATTCCATTAGATGCTGTTTGGTCAGGCTCCCTTCTTACTCCTTGCTGGATGTAGAGACCTTGGGCACAGTGCAGGTTACAGGGAGACCTTCAGTCAAATCAGCCCCACTCAAACCATTTGCATGATCCTGTCAATGCCTTGTCTCACACCTTTCTCTCTAAGATGAGAAAAGGGCCACTTGCCTTTCCTGAGTCACCGGAGTTTATAACACAATCAGAAATATCAAAGTGCCTTCAGAAAAGTGAGGCCCAGGGCTGGGGTTGTGGCTCAGTGGTAGAGCGCTTGCCCAGCATGTGTGAGGCACTGGGTTTGATTCTCAGCACTGCATATAAATAAGTAAAATAAAGATCCATTGACAACTAAAAAATATTTAAGAAAAGAAAAGAGAGACCCAGCCCTACTGCTGTCTACTCCCTTGTCTATACCAAACAACACAGGAAGACCTCTCTGCCATGTGGTGCTCTTAAGCTTAAAACTCTCCTTCTGTGCCACATGTTCTTACTTCTTACAAAGAAACAAACTCATTGAGGATCTGTGCTTTTTCTCATCAAGTCCAGTTTTCTTTTGGATTAGAATTTCAAAGCTTTCTTTAACAGAATGGTCCTATGCCCACCTGAGATTCTGTTCCTCCTGCCAGTGGGTAGACTTCATCTCCTTGTCCTCCTCCATACACCCCTCTCTGCTAGCTAAAAGGCTGAATCGGTATATTTAGGCTGCACATTTTCTTTTTGTGCAAAAGATAGCCCTGAGAAAGACTCGAATCTCTGCTGACTCCTCTGCAAAGACTCTTGTCTTCCTCCCAGCACATGTTCCATCTACTTATTTTACCACCTGTATTCTGAAAGAAAAATTTCTAACTCCTAAACTCCCTTGATATTTGAGCTATCTTTTAATTTTTAAGCTTATATCATTTTTATAATGAATACAGTGCTTTCAATAAAGAATGACCATTATTATGTTTCTGACTCATTTACAGAATTTTTTTTTATTAGTTACACATGACAGTACAATGATCTTGACATATCATATATTTGACTCAAATATATCAGGTGATATCCAAAAAATAAAAAAAAAATGTTTATTACAAAAAAATCATATATATAGCAATGGTTCCAAAGAAGTAATTTTTTTGTCAGGAATAAACATTTGGACAGGAATCAAAGTTTTGGTACTATTTTTATGTACTTTTACTTATAGTGAATAATCTTTACACCATTTCTTCATTTTACTTTTTGGGATTAATCACAATTTATATATCTTCTAAAAGGGCACTAAAGGCAGAAAAATATTAATAGCTTATGTTTAAATTACCTACATTATTTGATCTTTCACTTTTTGAACAAAAAAAAATCTACATAAAACCATCTCAATAAATATCTGTATCTCTGGTTAAAAAAAAAAAAAAAAGGCTGAACTGGTGCTGTGCACTTGTGGTATGGAGAGTCAAGGTCAGTCCTGCCTGTGCTCTCCAGGGTTGAGCTTGGTTCAGTATTCCCCCACCCAGCCCTTCTCATTGTGCTCACTGGCCTGCCCATCCCCCATGTGCATCCCATGTCCCCGGTGCCTTCAATCCCCTTCTTGCCCCCTCTGTTTCCTGCTGCTGCAGGGCTCTGGTCTCAGGCCCTGCTTGCCTCCTCTGCTCTAGTCAAGATGTCATCCTTTTCCTGATTTTCAGTCTCTTAGCTGCTCCTTCTTGTCACCCTCACTGTGATCAGAAAAATGTGCTTTGGATACTTTAGTGGCATCTAGAGTTTCACGAGGTGAGTATATATCTTGCATTTTGAAGATCACCCCTGCTTCCTGGTCATCTTTCTCCTTTTATTAAAGAAAAGCCAATATTGAACGTACAAATACATGCATTTTGCTTTTTTGGACTTTGTTACACTTTCTTCTGCTCTGTGTGTATTTCCTGCACATAGTGTGCAGGATTTTGGCGGAGTGTGTGCTCTCTACTCTGGGCTGCTGCAGGGTGTGTTGGGTCATGTGCCTCAGGTGCCCTGAGGGTGGTACGACAGGAGACTGGCCCAAAGTACACCAGAAAGATGCCAGTCCCAGGTGACTTATGGTGCTCCTCACCCCAGAGGGAGAGACCCTGTGATTCTGTGGGGACTAGAGAGCTGTTCCTGGCATTGTTGCCATTGCCCTCTCCTCTGCCATTTTGTTTCTGTGCTGACAAGCCTCGTGGACTGTCGTCTGTGATGGAGAACCTGATGGAGGGTGGTTTCTCCATGGGCTTCTCTGATGAGAACGTTGAGGAGGATTATGAAAGAGCATGTGTCGTTCTGGGCAGCTTATTGCTCTAAGTAGCATGAGGGGAGGGTGGGCCTGAGCATAGACAAAGGGGCAGGAACAGATGAGGGTGGATCGCACCATCCCCAGGTGTGCAGGTGTGTAGTTGAGGCCCAGGACGTGGCTAGTGGCTGTGGTAGCCAGGGTCTTCTCTGTGGCAGGAGTGGTATTCCAGGAGGGTCATGAGCACTCCTGCGTTTCCTCACCTTGGATGTGCCAGGGATTTCCACTTTCAATACCACCTAAGGGGGCCTCCTAAGCAGATAGGGAAGAAGAGGATCCCTGCCTCTCATCACCAGCTGCAGCTTGTGTGCAGCAGAGGCCAGAATCAAAAGCAAGAGCCTTTATTGGTTACTCATTCACCCTTTGGGCAGCTCTTTATCAAGAGCCCTTCTCCACAGTGGTATTCAACCTGTGAACTTTGGTGAATTTTCTCACACATTCTCATTGTCTCTCTGCTGACTTGGAGGCTTTTTCTGATCTTCAACATGTCCCATGAGCTGTGTTCCCTCTGGGGAGTTTGCCAGGCCAGGCTTGTTGCTACCTGTTGCTTCAAATTGTCATTACTCGTGCCTATGATGACTTTTGAAGTATCCCACTAGTCACCGTATGTGGTTCCAGCTGCTATCACTTCAGCATGTCCTAAGTAGATCTCTGCATCTTCCTCACTAAACCTTGTCTGTGGTTCTCAGTTTCTGTCTCTGTCCCTGTTCCTCTGGTTGGCCCAAGACGGGTCTGCCATGAAGTGTTCCTCAGTTTTTTGGACAGACCTTGCCTCATTGGACCCATCACTTTCTCTCCAGATATCCCCATTCTGGTTGTTTCTTCCCTCTGTACCCAGCCTTTACCTGCTGTCCTCCCAACTCTCTTTCCTGCCCCACCCACATACACTTTTTTTTAGAATTGTACAGATGTATAGAACAGAGGTAGGAAGAAGGACGTGTAAGGTTTAGGGGATTCTCACAAATCCTGGAACCAAATTCATGGCTGCCTCTGCTCCAGACATTGAGACCTGCTGCAGGGTTGCAGAGAATCTCCTGGCTGTGTCTGGCCCACACCAACCCATGCCTTTCCAGCCCCATTGGGTGAATAGCTGAGAGAAGTAGTCATCAGATCTCTAGAGCAGTGTGTTCTTGAATGATTGGGAGGTTTTTTTTCCCCCTTTGCATAAAAAAATAGATTTTGTACTTCTTTATTCTATAAACAAAAGCAAAATATGCTTGAAAAAAATGTAAATAGTACATGGAGTTTAGTGGAAAGTTCCCTCTCCCTGTTCTGGCTTTCTAAGTCTCCCACCCTCTGGTTTTAGGAGAGCCATTGTTAACCATTCATGCATTTTTCCAGATGTTTTCCTGTGTATAATGGCTCATCTTGACGCATACTCTTGTGTCAAATCTATAAATTTTTTGGAGGGTGTCCTATCACATGAGTGGGCCCAGAACCCACTTCATGGGCTCATCCCTCATATCTCCCATTTTCTTTTCAGCTGCCTCTTGTGCCGTCCCACCAAAATATGTGAGTGGCTCTAAGTGGTATGGCCGTCGGAGCCGGCCTGAGCGATGGGACTCTGCCGCTGAAGCCAAATACGTACCAGAGCAGCAAGCCAAGGCCAGCCTGAAGAGCCAGCTCCGACGTTCTGCATCTCTGGAAAGTGTGGAGGTGGGTCAGTCCTCCCTTCCCGCCCCAGGTTGCCCAGTGTTGGGAAAACAATGTGTCACTTCATCAGTCTCCATATGATAACCAGAGGATATGTGGAGGGCAGCCACGTTCCTGGGCATCTTAAGTTGCCTGAAGCTAAGGTTCACGTTGAAAGTAACATTTCCTTCTTGCCTGATTATCTTTGGGGTAATCTTGGCCACAGAGCACTCTTTTTCAGTTGATACTTTGTTCCCTCCCCTCCTTCCATCACCACCTTCCCTATCACTGCAAGAAGGTGATTTTTATGAAAATGTGCAGAGGGATAGAAATGGGAAAATGCCTTTGATGCAGCCTCAAAATTTGGAATATGGATGCACCAAAACAATGGTCTTACCAGTCTCAAACACTTAGAATATAACAAGATCCCTCTTGGGGTCTTAGGAGTTGATTCTTCTACCTGCCCTGAGCCTTTTGACCCAGGTGTCTGGAATTGGTCAAGGAAACCAGCTCTCCTTGGAGGCAGGTCCACAGTTTTTGAGTTAATCATTGATTCATTAGACCCATATTTTAAGGATTCCAGAAAGTCCTAGCTCTTGTTCTCTGTGAACCAACTTCTGACAGATGGGGTCAGATTTGGGAACTTATCTTTAATAAGAGTTCTGGGGCCCAGACTGATTAGTTTATATTGTGAACATTTGTTGATGCAAAGAAAAAAAAAAAACATACTTAAACATTATAACTCTTCTCTCAGGGGCCTGCTATATCTGTGTAACACTAACAGATCCAGGACATTCCTTTTGTATTTATTTTGAAAAATTTGTGTCTCAGGCACAGAGGGTTGAGTTAATCTACTCCTGGGCTTAAAGTGCGTCATCTTTGTTTGTGCTGTTCTGCTTCTTAAGTCATCTTTGACCCCCAAAATGTGAATGCAGGGAAACCTGACTTGTTTGTTGAATTGAACTTATTAGAAAAATGAGGTTAACTGTTTATCACCAATTGGATTCTGACCCTTGAGAGTTAATGACAGCTTTGAAGATCATTCCAGGTGTTCATTTGGAATCTGTTAGGGGGCTGCGCAGTACTTGTTTTAAGCAGACTCTGTGATCTGCTGACTTGGTCACTGAAACATGAGGTTTTTACTTATATCATGCACTTTTCAATGGCCCTGCCTGCTCTGCTGTCTTAGGCCCAAGCTTGTGAAGGCCACTGAAGTGTCAAGTGCTTGCTATGCATTGTGCTGTCCCCAGAGACCTTGGAGGGATGCAAGGTCTATTTGATGAACGGATGTGGATGAAAAAGGACAGTGCAGAAGGTGATGATGTCACAAGCTCTTTTGGAGATTATGTCTCATAACTGAAACATTGACCAGTTCCTGTCGAGTGCTGGTGTCTGAAGTCAACAGCATCATGTTGTACTGTTTTAGGGAGAATATTTCTCTTCTGTTACAGTGTGAGGGCTTCACTGTGTTTTCAGTGTAACCTGCTGGTGATTGGTTGTGTTGAGGAGCCCTCAGTGTGCAGAATGAGGAATGCGACCGTCTTCATGTCCAAGCCCTTCACGTCTGAGAGGGCATTGATCCAGAGGCATGCTGCATACTGTTCTGTGGGGACCACACCCTGCAAGTCCTCAGCCTAGGGGTGCTTGCTTGACATGCAGCCTCCATTGTCCTTCTCCCACCCAAAGCATCCTGTTCTCTTTGTTCTGGTGCTTCACCCACTGTGTTATCCACTGGAGGACTCACATCTTTTTCCTTACATTTTTCCAGAGTCTCAAGTCAGATGAAGAAGCCGAGAGTGCTAAAGAGACTCAAAATGAATTATTTGAAGCACAAGGTAATGTCATAGTATCCTATTTGGTGTTCTCTGCCTTTGACCAGGTCTTTGAAAACTCAAAGAGCTGGATCCATGGACAAGGCACAGCCACAAGAAGAACTTCTTGGGAAATGCATACTCTGGGTGGTGTTCCTGGTAGACCCCTTCTCTAAGAACTTTCAGAATGTTGGTATCAAAGCCATGAGGTGGTCACTTGGTCCTCAGCTTTCCCTGATGTCAGATCTTGAGGCAGAAGCCACTGAACAAGGGAGCAATGTGATTCTACCATGCTTCATGGTTTGTGAGTACTGGTATGATCTCAACTGGCAGGTTTGGGTCATGCCCAGGACTGGCCCTGCTCATCCTTCCTAGCATGCTAAGCCTGGACAAAGCTGCTCTTTGATGTGAAGGAGCTGTCTTAGCACCCACCAAGTTACTATCCTTTCCCTAGATACAGTGTAAGACATGGTCCTGTTCCTTAAGAGCTTTATATAGCAACAGAGGCCAATAGTTGGAGTACAAGAGCAAATCATAGTCTATTAGCACAACACTGCAGAGCTGGAAAATGGAAGACTCTGCTGTTTGTGTTGCTGTGGCACTGTCTTGAGACCCAGAGCTGGGAAAGGAAGCTGGGTGCACAGGAGTGAGTGGGACCTGAAATCTAGCCTCACCTTTCTAGAGTGGCACATGTGAAACATGCTCCTGTGGATACAGAAGCATTTTGGAAGTTCATGCAAAAAACTCTTCATAGTTGTCTTTGAGAAGATAAATGGAAGCTCTTGGGACAGGGACTTCTTTTTTACTTTATCTTGTAATGATATAAGAATATCATTCTTTTTTTTAAGAGAGAGAGAGAATTTTTTTAAATTTATTTTTTAGTTTTCGGTGGACACATCTTTATTTTTATGTGGTGCTGAAAATTGAACCCAGCACCCTGTGCATGCCAGGCGAGCACGTTACTGCTTGAGCGACATCCTCAGCCCATAAGAATATCATTCTAATGATATAAGAATTCTAGAGTGTTAACTGGGGAGTCAAGACCAATGACCATGGCAAACACTGTAAAACATAGATAACAGTAGAGTATGTGATGCTGCAGAAGTGAAAAAATGATGATGTAGGTGTGGGAGGAGCATGCACCCATGTCAAACCTGAGGAACTGCCCCAGGAGGGCAAATCTCCAGGCACCTCTTCTCTAGCACAGCCCAAGCAAGGCCCAAAGGTGAGGGACTGAGTGAGCTTGAGAACAAAAGCAAGCTTTATGCCAGGCCTTCAGGTTGTAGAGATCAAACTTCTTGTGACACTGTTGTAGAGCTTTTCTGAGAAATGAACTGACTAGAGTACCCAGGAAAAGTTTGGAGAAGGTGAAAAGGTAGAAGGGGCTCCATAATATGTCCAGGGCCTCTCCTGAGACATGCAAAAGCTGAATCTAAAATTGTGTGAAGGATCACTCACAGGTCTGGGTTTGGGGCCTTGGGTGAAAATTGCCTCAGAGTGGCTGGGTTTCATCATAGCATATGTCTCAGGGCCTCCAGTGCACATGATCCCACAAGGAAGGCTGGGGTTGCCTCATAGCACATTGGCCAAAAGTCATGTAAGCATCCCTTCTGCCATCTTGGTTGGAACTGTCACAAGACTCCCTAGATTGGAGGAGAGGGGCCACATATTCCATGTTCTAATGGCAGGAGTGTCAAAGAATTCTGAAGCCATGCTTTTAAACTGCTATTGGGGAAATTTGAAAGGAAGAAGACGGGTATTTCAGAAGAGGGAAGGAGTTAGAATGGGAGGATGTTATGTGCATCAATAAACAGGAAAACTGGACGTTTCGAGAAACATGTAGGGAACAAACTGAGGTCCTTAAAGTCAGACACCTGTGCAGCACGAGGGAAAGCAGGAAACTCTCGATGTCTTTGAAGAGGACAGTGGTGGGAGGAACTAATGCTTTGGGGTACAGGGCCACAATGATAGGGAGGAAGAGTCTGGAGCTGGCTGACCATAATGGAGCTGTCTTCAGACTATGGGAGGTCTCTTGCTCCCCGAGTTGATTAAGGAACTGAGAGGTGCCTGTTGGGCAAGTGGATAGGGCTGGTAGAGGTGAGAAGCTACCCCAGGAAGCTATTGGCCACTGGCTGTGCTTTATCCCATCTGTGGGTTCTGGGCAGAATCTATGGCTGTCAGTGTCCTGCTCCCCAAAACCCTCACCCTTGGGCAGGGTACCCTGTGATTTCCGTCACACTGGGCTGCAGGTCCTTTCCCGTGTTTTCCTCAACAGCATCATTTCCCCACATCATTCATAAGCATATAGGCCTACCATTTCTTGGGGAGACAATGGCTTTCATACTACTAGTTGCATTAGGAAAGTAATTAATGTCAACATGGCTCATCTACCTGACAGATCCAGACCACTGAAACAGAACTTGCATTGCTTCAAGTCTGCTTTCAGTGGAAGTGACCCTTCCTCCTGCAATGGGCTGGGCAATGTGAATGGCTTGTAAAGGGGCATCTCTGTCTCAGGATAGCTCACCATAGATACATCCTCAAGGATGCCCCAATGTCTGTCCTCCTCCACAAGTTTTAAACACATCAGGAAGCCAATCAGCTGAAGAGGAAAGGTTACACATGGTAGAGTCTTCTCATTGCTGAGCCTGAGGAGCAAGTATGTTGGGCTTCACTGTATTCTTCTTTTTGGGTGGGTTTGAGGAGTTTCAAAATTAAATTGTTAAAAAGCTGGTCTTGGGCTGAGGGCATAGCTCAGTGGTATAGTACTTGCCTAGCATGTGTGAATCCTTGGGTTCAATCCCCAGCACTTCAAAAAGAGAAAGAAATATTGATTTATGGAAGTAAAAATAAAAAAGAAAAAGACTTAGAAAAGCTGGCCTTTTGTTATAAATAGAGCCGTCTTTTAAGTACTTGAAGTGGTCAGACTTTAGTAAGTTACCTTCCACAAAGCCTTCCTCAGGTAGAGCAGATTTTTTTCCCTCAACATTCTGTTAGGAAAATTCTTAAACACATAATGGAAAGAACGGGTACTATGAACCCATGATGTACCTACCACCTAGGCTCTACCTGGAAACATCTGTTTTTCAACTCCCGTGTGTGCACCTGTCCTTCCACTGGTCCATCTGATTTCTGAATAAATTGCCAGCATTGATGTGCTTCCCCTAGATGCTTCAACTTGGAACACAGGCTTTAATTATTGTTGGCATTTTTCCTCCAGCTTTACTTGATTGACAGATACAAATATATTTAAACTGCATATATTTAAACTATACAACATGATGATTTGACATATGTAATATGCTATGAAATGATTATGTAGCAAACCCTTGCCTCACATAGTTACTTTTATATGTATTTCCTGAGAGCACTTCAGATCTCTTTTCACATATTTTGGTGGTCAATACGTGATTATTAACTGTGGTTACTATATTGTACATTAGGTTTCCAGTACTTAATCATCTTATAACTGAAGCTTTGTATTCTTTAGCCAACATCTTTTTTTCCCCCAGACAGCCCAGCCCAGCCCCTGGTAACCTCCATTATACTCTCTATTACCAAGAGTTCCATGTATTCCACTTATATGTGGAACCATGCAGTTTTTGTCCTTCTGTGCCTGGCTTATTTCACTTAGCATAATGTCCTCCAGATCTATCCGTGATGTCACAAATGGTAAGATTTCCTTGTCCTTTTCCTTCCTGTCCCTACCTTCCCCCTCCCCACCCCTCTCTTTTTGGTACCGAGGATTGAACTCAGGGGCACTTAACCACAGAGCCACATCCCCAGTATTTTATTGAGAGACAGGGTCTCACTGAGTTGTTTAGCACCTCACTGTTGCTGAGGCTGACTTTGAACTTGCGATCCTCCTGTCTCAGTCTCCCGATCTGCTGGGATTACAGGTGTGCGCCACGGCACCCAGCTCCCACCTTCTTTTTAAGGCTGAATATTTTATTGTGTATTTATCAGTGTTTAACTGTGAATCTCCTTTGCTTCAGGCCAGCTGCAAACCTGGAGTTCTGAGGTCTTTGGGAGCTCCCAAAAGCCCTGCAGTCCCTCCTTGGACTCACCTGAGAGGCAGGTACGGGGCATCTGGGAAGAGTTGGGGGTTGGCAGCAGTGGCCACCTGAATGAGCAGGAATTGGCTGTGGTCTGCCAGAGCATCGGACTCCATGGACTTGAGAAAGAGGTGAGACCCTAGCAACTTTGTTGTGGTCATAGTTTAGTGTTGGGTCTGGAAAATCCCTTCACCCTTCAGACACTGGAACAGTTCTAACAATTTCTGATCTAAAGTCATTTAGTGGCTCCCAATGCTTCTGCCCAAAGCTAAACCCCCAGATACCTCGCAAATTTATTATGCTGTCAAACATGCTGGGGACTTCTAATGCCTTCACTCAAAATCCTCCTTTGTCTGGAATGAACACCCTTTCCCTTCTCAGCATGACCCCCTTCTACTTCTCAACCCAGTACAGTATCTCTGAGCCTGCCAGTATTCACAGCAGCTGGTGGCTCCCATCCTGAGTAGGTGCTGGATGGAGGGCAGTCATGGCGCTGGGCAGGTCCTACCTTGTTAAGGGTTGTTTGTAGCCTTGTGCCCTTGTAGGTCTGTGAACCATGGGACCAGGCCATGCTTCCTGTGTACATCTCCTCAGGGTCCAGCAAGTTTCTGTCCCCAGTAGACACTGAGTATTTGAGGAATTAGAAAGTTTAGATGCTGCTGTCTCAAAGTGGGCCTGAACCCAGTGAGGCTATGTAAGTTTCACAAGACAGAGTCAGGAGGCCTTAGGAAAGTGGCCTGGACACCTTTGAGTTTGGAAAAGGACAAGCAGACTGCCTTTGCTGGGTGCTTGGAGCCAGAAGGAGGGAGGGAGGTAACCTGAAGGTGGTGGTCTTTGTCTAGGAACTTGAAGACCTGTTTAACAAACTGGATCAGGATGGAGATGGCAGAGTGAGTCTTGCGGAATTCCAAGTTGGCCTGTTCAGTCATGAGCCTGCTTCACTTCTGGAATCTTCTACCCTGCTCAAATCAAACAAGCCCTGGTCTCATTGTCAGGTAAAATGTAGCAATTAAATCTCAAAATCCAGCAGTAACTGTTGTCATTCCCTGATGACTGAGGATGCTGGCCTCTCTGCTGCTGTCACCACTTGAGCTGCTCAGGAGCTGGCTCAGTGTGTGCACAAGTGAAGCTATGTGGCTTAGATTTTGGAACCACACAGACCTGGGGGTGATTCAATGTTGCTTTTTCCAGCTGGGCATCACAGGATGAGTTACTCATTTTCTCTGAGCTTTAGTCCCATCTGTAAGATGGAGACAGTCAAGTCAACTATTTTAGGGGTTCTGGAGGATAATGAACAATGCACGGTACACAGCATTTCCTCAGTGAGTCTTCTCAATTGTAGGTGTGGTAATATGTTCCGAAAGAGAACTCCCTCCTTTCCCTTCCCTTCCCCATTGGGTATTGAGAGTTGGCTCCTGAAGGCTTCTGCTGTATCTTATCTAGAATTGGTCCTCAGTGTTCCTTAGCTGAGTTCTCCCCATTTTGTAGTCCTGCATTTTATCTTTTTCACAGATCCCATCTCCAGGGGCTGGGGAGAGTGAATTTCAGGCAGCTATTTAAATTAGGATGTTTTTTCAGTGAACACTAGCCTAGCACAGTTTCTCTCAGCACTGGGGCAGGATGGCACAGTTGCTCTGAAGATGTAGTGTGGATGCTTCTTTGCTGGTGGCATCATGTAGAACCAGTAGTGCTGTCTTTTACCAGGGGTGGGTACATCTGACTAGAGTTAATGAGAACAGGTGAAGAAGAAACTCAGCAGCCAGTGTTGCAGAGAGGTGTTAGCCCTACAGGTGAGAAAGACTGGAGAACCAGTGAGTCATGTTCCATGCTGGTCAAGTTAGTCACCGCCTCTGAATAAAGCTATCCCTGTTTGCCACTGTTGGCCTCTGGCGCAGGGTCTTAGAGTAGCTGTGGCTCTTTCCAAAGGGGTCATCATTCACCCCTAGGCCCCAGGCTGACAGCTGAAGAGGACTGAGGGTCCCACATTTCCCATCAGTGGACTCCTTACCCAGCAGCCTAACCTGCTGAGGTCCTGCAGTTACAGATGTGCTAGAGGCTGCAGCCCCTCCCAGTGCAGCACGGCCCTCTCACTTCTGTTCTTGGTAAGCTGCTCCTGTTCTCCTGGGCATTGCAGACACTGAGTCATCTTCCCTCATCATCCCATACTCTGCAGTGTACATGCACACTACACACGCTCACACACACACACACACACACACACACACACATACTGCAAACCCACATTGTTCACTGTTCATGTGCACTCACTGTTTATACATCCACATCCATTGTATTTGTGTACCCCGTGTATACATACTGCATTCACACACATCCACTGTATACAGACATCCATCAAGGCTGTCACAGATACCATGCAGGGCAGGGAGAAGATATTCCTGTGTGTGGAGGGAGGCTGGGGGTGGTGAGCAGAGGTCTCTGATATTCAGGAAGTGCTGCCATCCCTAGTCCTTTAGTCCCAGACAACAGAGGCTTATTGGGAAGGACCCTACCTGGGGCAGAAAACAGCATGGAAATCATTCTTGCCCTTTAAATTCTTATACTACTGAAGTCTTAGAGGCAGCTTTCTGGCTGAGAGATTATGCCTTCTTTATAAAACTCACTAACACTCCTCAACCATGAGCTGTGGGTCTCTGAGTTGTAAGGAAATATTATTCTTCATGGGCCATTTCTTTTCTTCTTTTTGGGCCTCTCATTTCTTTTCTCGAAGTTAATTTACCTGGCATGGCATGTACCTTCCCAGGCTCTTCCTTTGTAAGGCCAGGTGCACACTGTCACCACCTGAGAGGAGAAGTGTCAAAACCCCTTTATGGTCTCTCTGTTAAGTGATGTGCTGGCCAGGACTGATGGTAGGCCACCCAGGTATAAGGCCTCAAACGGACAGTACTAGAGCAGATGCCTGAGGGTCATTGAGAGAGCCCCTGATCAGGGTCCCTGGGTGCAAATCCCTGGTCTTTTCCCTGCAGATCCATGTGATTTTAGACATATCCTATGATGGTACCCTGCCTCTTTTGTCTAGGAAAAGGAGCTAATGATAACCTGAGTTGTTCTTGTTTTATACCTCAATGAGAAGGTAATGTGCTGAGCACAGGCTGGTGAGGGTGAAAAGCCATTAAAACATGTAGACGCTCTGGCTTCCAGTCACCCATGTGCTCAGGGTATCTTCTTTTTCCATTGTGCAGGTCCCAACAGAGAATGGCTGCCACACTACCCCTACCACTTCGTCCCTTGTGTCTGTGTGCTCAGGCCTGCGCTTCTTCTCCAATGTTGATGATGGTAGTGGCTTTGCCTTTCCTGAGCAGATCATCACCACCTGGGCACAGGAAGGGATTCAGAATGGCAGGGAAATCTTGCAGGTTTGAAACTGGCCATTCACAGCTGCCCTGGTGGGTGGCATCCAGGGACAGTTGGGCTGGGTGGGGGTCATGTTTCCATAGAGAAAGATAGAAAAAGCACCCCATGCAGGGACAGGGCAGGACATGTTCTCTGTGCAGAAAATCCCTTATAGGCAAGTCTTGGAGGAAACATCTTTTCCTTCAATTTCTGCTATTATTATATAGGAAATTTAAATCTTAAAAGATAATATATAAAATACAAAGAAAATAAGAGTCTCAAAAAGTGCATTTGAAGGTAAGTTCCATTGTCTACATACTTTACCCCATTGCTACACAAAGGAGGAAAGTGCCACAAATTTGTGAAGAGGTCTAATGGGTGTCACCGTCACCAGTGTTCCTAAAGAGTCCATGGTGAGCCGTAATTGCTCACAAAGCCCCCTGCCACAGTTTCCTCTTCCCACAGACCCTTCCCTGCCAGGGGTCGAAAGTCAGAGGCTTCTTGTACTTTACCACCCTCCTCCTGTTTTTTGGGCCACCCAGGAAGCTTCCTTCCAGGGCCACAGGGCCAGCCCTCAGGATTTGGAGAGAGCTCTGCCCTGGAGTGGCAGAGTCAGAGGCTCACAGGGAACAGATGGCTGAGGGGAAGATTGCCTTGGGGACATGCCATGAGTTAGATTTATTATTTTCTTTTTAAAAATACCTTTATTTTATTTATTTATTTTTATGTGGTGCTAAGGATAGAACCCAGTGCCTCCCACATGCCGGGCAAGTGCTCTACCACTGAGCTACAGCGCCAGCCCTAGATTTATTATTTTCATTTCCAAATTTCACTTTCCATTATTAAAAAAAAAAAAATTGTCTACTAGCTGGGGCTCTGTGAGCATAACTGTAATCCCAGCTACTCAGGAGGCTGAAGTAAGCAGATTGCAGTTTTGAGGCCAAGCTCAGCAAATTAGCAAAGACCCTATATCAAAATAAAACTTTAAAAAAAAGAACTGGGGATACAGCTCAGTGGCAGAGGGACCCTGAGCTTAATCCTCAATACTATTTTAAAAAAATTCTTAGTACAGAAATCTATAAAATAAGAAAGTAAGTCTGTCCTTGTTTTGTTTCCATTCCTGGAGGTCCAAGGCAGGTGCAACAACTGACAGTTTGGTGGGTATTCTGTAGTTTTTTTTTTTTCCTGGCACACAAAAAATAAATGTATTAATACATTCTACTTAAAACTTTTTTCAAAATTGATATCATACCATGTATCTTGCTAATTTATGTGACCTTTCCCCACTCTCAGGCAGTGTAAGTTGTTTCCAAAGTTTTCCTTATTAGAAATATCAGCATTTATAAAAATATTCTCATGCTTCTGTGCTGGAAATTTTTTGTGTGTGTTAAAATTACACATTTTAACTCTTCCTAGGCTCTGTCTTGTTGCTTCCAAAAACATCCCTGTTAGCATAAACCAACAGAGCATGAAGGAGTCCAAAAACAGCCTTTCAGTCTGCCTGCGTCTGTGGGCGGAGACCCTCTGGAGGCTCAACTTAGCCTTGGCGATCCCTTTATCATCCCTGCCAAAATGGCAAGTCCTACCTGGACAGCTGCCCTCATGATTGTTCTGAAAATCAGAGGCTGTTGGGATCACCAAAAATTTTATTCAGGGACTGGGGTTGTGGCTCAGTGGTAGACCGCTTGCCTCACATGCGTGAGGCCCTGGGTTCAATCCTTAGCACCACATAAAAATAAATAAACGAAACAAAGATATTGTGTCCATCTACAACTTAAAAAAAATTTTATTCAGGGAGGACAAAGAGCAGAGGTGCTCTGCTGACATTTCCTTGGTGCAGGGGGAAGCATCTTGGCTGCCATCCTGGTCTGGTCAATGATGAGGCTTATTTCAGAACTTACTCCTTTTATTGTCTTTTGTTTGCTTGTTTGTTTTGGTACCAGGGATTGAATCCAGGGGTGCTTAACCATTAGGCAACTTTACCAGCATTCCTCCCACTTTTTGTTAATGTTAAATTTTTTTCATTTTGAGACAAATTTCTCACTAAGTGGCTAGGGCCCCGGTAAATTGCTGAGGCTGGCTTTGAACCTGCAATCCTTCTGCCTCAGCCTCCCAAGCCAGTGGGATTATAGGTATGCATCACTGCGCTTGGCTATTGCTTTTTTTTTAATCAGATGTTGTTCTCATTTCTTTTGTAATTTACCAGTTGCCCTCAGGTTTTGGTTTTATTTTATTGAGATAGCAACAATCTTGATCCACTATCTCTCAGCACCTAGATACCAAGCAAGTATCTGTCAAGTGTGTGACCTTATTGAATCCTCACATCAGTCCTGAAGATACTTCTATGTGTACTTGACAGTGGGGTGACAGAGTCAGTAGCTTGCCTGGGTCTCAGGATGGGTGGAATGTCATTCAGACATCGGTCACTCCACATCTGGGCCCTTTGTACTATATGAGGTTGCTAGTAACTGCTTATTGGTGGAGCTGCCAGCAGCAGCACAGGTCTCTAACCCTATAAAGAGCAGTGAGCGCCTGAGAGAACTTTCCCCTGGGAGGGAAGTACTGGCAGGGAGAGCCCTTGACTTACACATGTCCAGGCATTGCACACCTGGTTTCTCTAGGTCTCCAACCAATGCCATTGCACTTCTTACCTGAGCCTGCAGTAGGGCCTGTTATGACGGTGTTCCTCTTGATGCTGCTCTGAGAGAAGACCCCTTTGCAGATTATCACTAAATCATACCCCCTACAACATATGCACCATTTCTTACCTCAAACAGTCTCTGTGGATGAAAAATTTGGGGTCAGCTGAGCAGGATGGTCCCAGTTCATATTGCCTTGTGAGATTGTAGGCAGATGTCAGCTAGTGCCACAGTCCTCCACAGGCCCACCTGGGACTGGAGATCACTTCTAGGATGGTACATTCACAGAAATGACAGGGTGATGCTCACACCATAGGCAGGAGGCCTTTGTCCCTTGCCATGTAGACCTGTCCCTAGGGCTGCTTGAGTATCCCTCTAACATGGCAGCTGGCTGCTCCAGAGTGAGTGGTCAGAGCAAGGAAGCAGCCACATGTCTGGTGACTTAGGCCTTCATAATACATGCTGTTGCTTAGTATTCTGTTGGTTACACTGGTCAATTCTGTTTAGAATGGGAGGGGAGCACTCAGAAGGCCAGGAGCCATGGGCTCTCAGGAAGGCTGGCTCCCACGCATGCCACTATGATTTCTGATGACTTCTACTCCTGGCAGCTGTGTCTATAGCAGGTTTCTGTCACTTCCCCACACACTATCTGGTGATACTGTTGCAGAAAAGAGTGTGCTGTGTCATAGCAACCTTAGTGTCCTGCTGCTTTATACGGTCCGCCTTTCTTATTAGGAGATGCTAGAAAGTGGGTGGCTGTGAAATTCAAGTCTTCATTTCTCAGGAGCAATCCCAATCCCCAGGGGAACTAGGCATGTCACGGCACCTTCTCCCATTGACTGATGTGGTGCCTGCCTCTGGACTCATGTGTAACTTCATAATTTTTTAGAAGTCAGCAGAAAGTAGGAGTCAGGAGTACTTGATGCTGACAAAACAAGTGTGGTAAAACATTAGTTACTGGCCAAATGAACTGAGAGTGTGTGGGTATTCACTCTTCTGTTCTTTTTGTATTATTGTAAAACACACATGACGTAAATTGTTATATTCTTTTAACTGTATTTTTCCAAATTCTGATGGGAAACAGAATCTCTCTGGGATACACACAGCCGTGGCTCCTCCTTTTGATAGATCGTTTATTTACAGAATCATCCATCCGTATATGTGTTTCATAGACATAGATGAATCAGGATTCTCTTAGTTTGAAATGGCAAAACCTCAACACAAATGGCTTAGTCAGAAGGAGAACCTTAGGGGCCTGAGTGGGCACCAGGGAGGTGGACTTGCAGGTATGACAGAATCTGAGTCAAGTGGTGGTATTGGGTCTCCCCTGTCTTGCTTTGTTGGCTGCTGGGCAGGCCTCCTCATGTGGGCTCCCTAAGGCTTATCCAGGACTTACAACAGTTGGTTTCAGAGGGATAAAGGACCCTGCCCCCTGGTCTCCACTTAAGTCCCCATGAGGTGCTTTTTGGCTTATGTCCTTCCTACACCTCAAGCTTTCTCCATACAGTGGGGCTCTGTCCAGCCTGGGTAGCATCCACCCCTGAGGCAGAGACAGGGTATGACAGGGATGACTGAGAACACTGCTGAAAGGGACAGGTGGCCTCATGACTAGAGGAATGTGGTGGGGGGGGGCACCTCATGACAAGGATGGGGGGTAGCCTGAAGAGTTACTTGGGACTGAATGCGGTGCCCCCCACCAGGAGACTTTTGCAGTCAGAAAAGAGATAGGTACTGGCTACAATAGCCATTATGGGACAGTCCCTGGACTGTCCTTAGGAGAATTAGGAAGTATGTTTGGAGAAGTCCCTTATCCTCTTGTGCCCAATGGGGCTTGCTACTTCCAGAGCCTGGACTTCAGCATGGATGAGAAGGTGAATCTTTTGGAGTTGACCTGGGCCCTCGACAATGAGCTCCTGACAGTTGATGGTGTTGTCCAGCAGGCAGCCCTGGCCTGCTACCGTCAGGAGCTGAGCTACCACCTGTAAGAGCCCACCAGGGACCAGGGATTGGGGTGAAACTGAAGTGACAGAGCCAAGATCACACACACAAGTCACCTTTTTCTTTGAGAGACCCACCTGTACTTGCTCAGATGTCAGGCAGCAGTGCAAAACTGTGGCCAGCAGGAATAATGGTGGCCGACATTTTCCTTCCCTTTATGCATCCAATGTAGATTAGGGGCCTGAGATCCAAGGACTCTTGGCGTAGCTGGAGACAAAGTGCCTACAGATAAATCCTCTCGCATCCTGAGCTCATCTAGATATGTAGCACACTGTAGGAGCTCTAGGCACAAACTCCCTGGGTCAAAAACCTTCTAGAAATTTTACTTGCCAAACATTTGGGGCACTTCCCCAACACCATTTATAAAATGGGGACAGCAGCTATAGAAAACACACTAGGAGGTGGTTGTGGGGGCAATGAGGCCAGCATGTGCTAGCCCATACATAGTTTCTGTAACTATCTGTTTTTATCATATACACAGACATGGGACTCATGGGGTTCAGAGTAGGCACAGGTGGAGTATGTCAGGTCTATGGTGGGGACCCCATCTGACCTGTCTCCTTTCTGTGGCAGAACACAAGTGGAACAGTTGGTGCAGGAGAGAGACAAGGCAAGACAGGACCTAGAGAGAGCCGAGAAGAGGAATCTGGAGTTTGTGAAAGAGATGGATGACTGCCACTCTGCCCTGGAGCAGCTGACAGAGAAGAAAATCAAGTAGGTTCTGGGCCCAGAGCAGTGGCTTCTGGGCAGATATGATAGCAACTCTTCACCTGGGGCCTCTCCTGATGCGTTGCTGAGAGCAGGGGTTGGCATGGGGCTGCTGAGGCCACAGTTGTGTGTGCTGCAGAGCTGAGGCCCTGAGTTTCACCTGAGCCAGAAGACAGCTTTGAGGATATCCTTTCTAAGAGGAGAAGGTACATCTAAAATGCAGTCCCAGTCTTTAAGGTGTGGGTGCAAAATGCCTGGTGTCAGCTGTGCATGCCCAAGGATGACAGGGAAAACCCCTGGCTCTGCCCTCACATACTTCAGGGTCTGCCTTATAAAAGCCAAGGAGGCTCATAACCTGGATATGTTCCTATTTGACTGTGAGGTGGTGGAAGCTTTGAGAGGGGCTGGCAAATGGCCTCTCATTGGTTCAGCTGGTAGAGGGAGACCAGGGACCAAGGCCTGACTCACATGTCACAGTTCTAGTGTGCTGAGCCAAGCCCTGGTATAGTTTCAATGTGTGGTGTTGGCAGATAGATAGACCAGAGAAAAGGACACAAAGTCACCTCTCTGGTTTATAAGCCAGAACATTTGAGGAAATATTGCCTATGAGGATTTCCCAGACTTTGGCAGGGAAGTAACTTCCCTGTACTTACTGTGGGAGTCTTAGTGGGTGGTGGGTGGAGTCAGCACAGTGCTTGCTGGCCTGTGGTACCTCAAAGGGTTCACCTGTGCACCTCCCCCACACAAGAAGATAAAGGAGGAGGGAGAGAAAGGTGGCATGGGTATCTTGATTACCCTGAAAAACCTCTCACCTTTGCCTCCCCTGTCATGTGTGTTGTGGCATTGGAAAATGACACTTTTTCACAGCAGTCCCCATACTATGTATGTCATTCAAAGAACACAGAAAGCCTCTGACACAGACCTGATGGACAGTTAAAGGGATTTGTAGGAATTTTTACCCTCCCGCATTTGCTTCCCATGCACCTTGGAGCATTCACCCAGCCAGCAAGGAGACTTTTAGCATTATTGTGGCTGGTAGGGAAGAGAGATGAGCAGGAAGTTGGTTGTGAGGAGCCAGAAAAGCTGTGGATAGCACCTTTTTTGGCTTGGTCAGCCAGCCCCAGCTGCCATAGAGGATGCAGACTGGTCCCAGTGAATGGGGAGCTCAGCAGTCAATACCTACCTCATGGCACTTTGTATTAGGCTAAACCTTGAGTTTATACCAAAAGCCCATTCTTCCTTTGCCAAAGACCATAGCACCTTGGCTGTGTAGTCTGAGGCCCAGAGGTTGAGGAGACAACGTGGTCTTAGGCTCCCACAAAGACTTTTCTGGCCTATGAGGCTGCTGTGGTATGAGTGTTCTGTCTGTGCAGATGGTGCCTCACATAAGAGCCTCTGCCACCCAAAATAGACCATTTTAATTCCATTTTCAGCCAAAGAAACTGAGAGTTGAAGCAGTTCAGTAACTTGCCCACAATTTTGTGTGGATACATGAAACTGAAATGTAGGTCTTCTCCTATTCTTACACTGGTTTTTGTTTTATTTTGGGTATTAGGGATTGAACCCAGGGGCACTTAATCATTGAGCCACCTCCCCAGCTCTTTTTATTTTTTATTTTTAGACAGAAACTCATTAGGTTGCGTAGGTCCTTGCTAAGTTACTGAGGCTGGCTTTGAACCTATAATCCTCTTGCCTCAGCCTCCCAAGCTGCTGGGATTACAAGTGTGTTCCACTGTGCCAGGCTTGCACTATTTCTAAGACAACTTATTTAGTTTGAGAGTATAAGAAAATGGAACCTTAAGTGAAAAGAACACTAAGGGGTCAAGAGTTTGTTCACATCGCCCTGGGTCAGCCATGGTCCTCAGTCAATTCTTCTTCACAATCTGTGCACTCAGGTCTCTGCAGATATGCCCTGGGTGGAAGCAAGACTCCACTTCGCCTCCTGTAGCAGACACCTTCCCTCCTATGACAGTTCACATGGGCAGACTCTGGGCAAGTCAGGACCCCCTACTGTGTCCACCTGTGCCTACTATGTCCACTTCCCCTCCATAGTGGCTGGGGAAGGCCAACACAGCAGGCTGAGGCTGACACATGCTTCTGCATGGTGTGGGGAGAAATGTGTTAAAGAAGTGAAAAAGGGTTGAGGGTATAACTCAAGTGTAGAGCACTTGCCTAGTGATGGCACTATGGGGATGGGGCTGTGTGTGTAGTAACTGTGTAGATGTGTTTGTGAAAGAGCAAGTATGTGAGTACATGGGTGTGTGTGTGTGTGTGTGTGTGTGTGAGAGAGAGAGAGAGAGAGAGAGAGAGAGAGAGAGAAAGAGTAAGTGTGTGAGCCAGCATAGCTACACACTTGCTTCTACCAGCTGCTGAATCAAAGGCTCTTGCAGGATTGTGGGAGTTTTCAGGAAAGCCAAAAATTAAGTGTCCTTTTGCCAAACTTTGAAAGTGTTTCCGATTAGACCTGAGATACTGAGTACACATACCTTACCATAAAGCGGTGTCTGGGTAAACTGAAAAGCGTAGATGTGGGAGGCCTACCAAGTGATATAGTCATGGCGCTTGACCTTCCTGTGGTTGAGGTGGGCCAGGGTCATTTTCCTGAGCCCCCTGCACATGGAGGTTTATCTCAGAGGGGTGGTTAAGAATTGAATTAGTGATGTTTCTGCTCCTGTCAGCAGTTGACAGTCTCCGTTCAGCTGGTGCATCTGAAAAGTCCAGCCCAGCTTTTCTGTGTACACTCCTGCTACATGAGTTCCCGAAAGCCAAGTTGGAGAATCCTCATGGTGAAGGCTACTCTTGTCTTGACAAGGTGCTTACCTTTGCTCCCCTAAGCTGTTCTCCTTAGTTCTCTGCCTTCCCAGAACTGCTTGTGAAGTTGGTCTGGGTTTCACTGGCAGAGTGAAATTTGTTGTTAAAAATAGAATGAAAAGGGGTTGGGGGGATAACTCAGGTATAGAGTACTTGCCTAGTATGCACAAGGCCCTGGTTTATATTTCCAGCACCATAAAGAAAAAAAAAGGATTGAAAGTCTACTGAGAGAGGCTAGTAGGTAAGTTACTAGAATGTTATTTCCTTTCTCTTGATAACCCACCCACCCACATTCTCCTAACAGCTCTTTTAACAATGGTTAATATCAGCTTCATGACTTTTTGGTACTAGGGATTGAATCCAGGGACACTTAACCACTGAGCCACATCCACAGCCCTTTTTATTTTTTATTTTGAGACAGGTTCTCACTAAGTTACTTAGTGTCTTGCTAATTTGCTGAGGCTGGCCTCAAACTTGTGAACCTCCTGCCTCAGACTTTCAGGTTACTAAGATTACAAGTGTGCCATTATACCCAACAAAGAAGACTCCTTTTGAAACAAATACACCTAAAATCTAAAAGTAAGTTGATTTTGGATAATCCCCTTAAGTAACCAAGAGTTAATTTATTCTAGTTGGAATGTGTCGGGCTTGATTATCTTCCAACCACCTGGAAAGAACTTGGTGAAGTCTTTCTTAGGAATTAGGATCATAAACTCTACAGTAGTATCTCTGTCTATGAATCTGGTTGAGGGACACATGAAGAGATTCTGAGCCGAAGCCCAGGGAGCCTAGTGGGCTTCTGGATCTCATTCTGTGAGCAGTGGGGAAATTATCAGTAGGTTCCTATAGGTAATTTTTATGGTTAAGTTTTTTCACTATGTATGTAATAAGTGACATATTCATTATAGAAAACTCAGAAAATACAAATAAAAAGAAAAATAACACCAGAAATTCCATTTCCCAAAAAGGATTACTCTTTTCAATATCCTTCCATATAACAATGTCCTTCTATCCATATAACAATATATAAGATGATATCATATTATATATACTTTTTTGATGGCTGCAGAGTGTCCCATTATGTGAGTCTGCCTCCTTTTTTTATTTAACCATTTTCTTTTCATTGTGTATTTTAAAGGTTTCTAAAGAATGGGGTGACAGGATCAAATATTGTATGCTGTAAAAATAGTAGTTTTAAACTTAGTTAATATTGTGAAGTGTTAGTTCTATTTGTCATAATGTGTTTTTTTCCTAAAAAAGAGATGTCCTTCCTCCATCTTCTTGCCCTTTGGGTATTTCTTCAAAGTTCTGAGCCAAGATTAAAAGCCTGGGTTTTGACAGCTGGAGGATGTCCCATACTTCTCTTATACTCAGTCCTGGACACTGTCAACCCTTCTGAAGTCAGAGTCTCTTTCATCTGCAAGTCTAAACAGACTTGGTTTGAGAAATGTGTCAAGAGACTATTTCAGTAATAAGACTAAGATTTGATGGAAATGGTTGTTGCAAAAGATGAATGGAAATTTTGAGGGAAAAAAAAATGCTACATATATCTTCCTCTTGGGAATTCTCTCTTGAGAATTCACTGTCCATAGGTTTCATGCTGCCTGTTTCTTGCAGAGGGGGCTGACTTTTACACGAATCTGGTGTCAAAGGCCTTATCAAAGGGCTGCTGCAGGGTAGTGTGGTGCGATGCTGTACAGTGTAGGTTTGGAAGTAGAAAAGCTGTGCATCAGTGATACACCCCAGAGAGCTCTGACCACTCACTCACCCCAGGACTCCAAGGGCAAGGTGCTGGCATTCATGTAACCCAGCAGCACCCCTTTTCTGATAAGAATCAGGCCTGCATGAGAAGTTCATCTGCTAGAAGCCAACCCCATCTGCTGAGCAGAATGACAGGGTCCCAGATGGCTGGCCAAGTGCTAAAGGTGGTGGGCTTCTGAGAAGAAATGCATCCTGAGGAGGCAGGTGGCACACCAAAAGAGCCCCAACATAGAGTGCATGCTGTGTTACAGGAACCTGGAGGAGGGGTACAGGGGAAGGCTGAGTCTCTTGCGCTCAGAGGTGGAGATGGAGCAGGAGCTGATGTGGGAGCAGGCCTGCAGGCAGAAGGCTGCACTGGAGCAAGATGTGAGCCGCTTGAGGGCTGAGGAGGCCAGCCTCCATGAGAAGCTCACCCTGGCCCTAAAGGTAAGTGGGGTGCACCCCTGGGGCACCACTGTGAAGATACAAATGGTTGGCAGAGTAGGGTGATGTTACTTTCTCAGCCAAAGGAGAACATTTCAACTTTGTGAGGAGCCATATTGTGGCTCCCTCTAGCTCCCATTCTTTGCTCAAGGTCAGATAAACCTGAGATCAAGGAGAGCCAGCCACCACAGCCAGTCTGGTGGTACCCTCAGAGTCTAGGAGCACATATAGAATAGCCTGTCAGAGACCAGATTTGTGGCCTGGAAGAGACATGGCTTTGGTGAATGTCCCATGCTCTGCACTCCTCCTGTGCTTGTCTCCAGTGAAGTTCCAGGCTGCAGGACAGGCAGCTGAGACTTAGAGGCACTCATCTGTGTGCCTGGTTCCTGCTCTCCTGTTTCTCCTTCCTTCCTAACTTGGAGCCCAGTGGCTTCCTTCCACATCTGCCCTGCTTCTTAGCAGTCTCTCTCCTCTAGGAGGAAAAGCTGGACACAGCATAAATCACTTACCAGCCTTGTTGTTGGTGGAATTATGTCCCTTGACCCTTCTCACTACAGTCCCCAGTGTCTGCAGATCCTACCCTCCTTCCCTGGTAGACCTCTGAGCCCTATATCAATAGGGCAGTTTCAGATCCCTCATTTAGAAAACAGCTCAGGCCAGGCACAGAGGCATACACCTGTAATCCCAGCAACTTAGGAGGTTGAAGCAGGAGAATCTCAAGCTTGAGGCCAGCCTGACCTTGTACCAAAAAATAAAATGGATTGGGCATTATTGCTTAGTGATAGAGCACCCCTGGGCTCAATCCCCAATTCTGGGGGCGGAGGAATGATGCATTCAGCCTTTTTTTTTTTTTTAATCACCCTTAACTTTTCTAAGCATGCAGAATGGGAGAAGAAAAGTAGAGATAATCAGGAAGCCATCTTTGTACAGCCCCACCTGTTCAGTGCAGAGGCAGTGGGTACATAGATGCCCTGCCTTAAGGGTTGTTCCCTGATTACAAATGCTGCTTGGTACAAGCCTTCTACTTTAAGAGAGGTGACACTGAGACCTGCTGACATCCTCCTTCAGTTCCTAAGCCTGGTCAACACTGGCCTGTGTCTCATAGGAAAACAGTCGATTACAGAAGGAGATTGTGGAAGTGGTGGAAAAGCTTTCAGATTCAGAGAAACTAGTCCTGAAACTACAGAACGACCTGGAGTTTGTGCTGAAAGACAAGGCAAGTCCTTCTGCTGATTTTGAGTCTTCAGAGGGAAGCCTGTGGTAGTGGGTAAAAGCTGTCTGTATCTTGAAAAGAATATATAGGTGACTGAATTTAATGTTTTTCTACTGAAATTCTAGAACCGAAAGAAAGTTAGCATGGCTACCTTACCTCGTTTTTATACCTCTTTGTGACAGTATTGGGTGTCATCGGTGACCAGGGACAGCACCATTTGCATGGGCCTCAGATACCCATTCCCAGAGTTGGGGGTAAAGAGGAAGGTTAGAGCTCTCTGCCACCTCAAGGCTCCCATGGGGCTCTCCCCATCCTCTGAGGAGAAGAGGGACTACTCAGGATGGCAGGAAGGAAAGTCAGAGTGGTTGTACCTGGAGGTGCACAGCCCACCAGGGAGGAAGGTTCTCAGAGTCAGGACTGGAGAAGCAGCTCCACTGGCCTGAAGGCCTTCCCCTGATTACTTGTCCTTCTCACTTTCAGCTGGAGCCACAGAACATGGAGCTGCCATCCCAGGAAGAGCAGTTTGCAGTACTCCTGAAGGAATATGAGCTCAAGTGCCGGGTACATGCCCCACCCAACCTGCCTAGCCACCTGAAACAGCCCTGTGTCCTGCTGTACCTGGGACTGAAGCCCTCACTTTTGTCATTGATGCACAGAACCTTCCTGTACCCCTACCCTACCCCTAGTCCACCCTGCAGCAGCAGCAGGAAGGGGTGCCTGTGAAATGGGCTTGCCCTGGAGGCTGTCGAGGTCTGCCTGGTTCAGACCTCTGGCAATGTGCAGCCCTTATACCTTTCCCTTCCTGGGTGAACAGCACACTTGGTCTTCAGGTATAGAGTGGTCCAGCAAGGGATGGCAGGAGTATCTTCTCTAGGCAGAGTGTCTAATGGAGGTTGCTCAGCCCTACACAGGCATTGTTGAGTCATGCCAAGTGTGCCCAGGGACCAGCCAAGATTCTGAGATAGAAGGGTCTATTTTCAGGATCAATCCTCTTGAAGAAATTTCATTATAGGACACCAGGTGTGGTAGCACCCACCTATAATCCCCATGACTTGGGAGGCCAAGGCAGAAGAATCACAAGTTCAAAGCCAGACTCAGCAACTTAGCAATTTAGCAAGACTCTGTTTCTAAATAAAATTAAATATAAAAGGGGCTGGGGATGTGGCTCAGTGGTTAAGCACCCCTGAGTTCAATCCCCAGTATAAAAAGTAAAAATAAAGAAAGACAGAAAAGAACATGAAAGTAGATGATTGTAGACATGAACACCTACATAGGCAGCATTACCGATTGAGTAAGAATAAGTAAGACACATCTTCCAATTGTTAGTCATTTAAAACTATATGGTGGGTCTGGGATGTAACTTAGTGGTAGAGCATGTGCTTAGCATATATGAGGCCCTGGATTCAAGCCCCACTGCACCCACCAAAATAATCCTCCATATATAAACTCCACTGACAAAAAAAAGAAACATCTAAGACAGATGAGTTAACTGTTCCAAGTTCAACACTATAATTTGTAACTATACGAAGATGTGATTATGTGTGAAGTTGACAGTTCTATCAGGTCCAGGTATAGTTACCTTGTGTGCTAATGGATTAGACACAACTGGTTTTAGTTTTCTCTAATTCTTTCCATATATAAGTCACCTATAAGTATTCATTCCAAGTCACCTCACACTAAAAATGTGATTATTTCTGGGGATACTGTTAATAGTCATTGTTAAGGGCACCAAAGTAATTTTTTGTGATTTGAAAGTGGAGCAGATAGTGTGGGGAGAAAAATCTGTATTCTTAAAGTTGATAATTAATATGGGATGCCCTGTCTCCAGAAAAATAGATAAAACATTGTTTGGTTTTTAAGGGGCTATTATCAATTTATTTCTCATTGATTTTCCTCCAATTTAAGTACATTAATTACATTGTTTCTGCTGCACATTGCTTTGCCAACACCAGAGGATAAAGGTGAGCCTGACCTATGGTTCTGAGTGGGCTCTGCATCTGCTGCTGTGGTTTGCCTCTGACTCCAGACCCCAATCCCAGGTGCCCTGTTGGTTTTTCTCTGCACTGATTCTTCCTTTTAAAAATCCTGTGTGTGGTGAGCCGTTGTCACCCTTCCTCTGGACTTATTTGGGGTATATTGGGGGCAATCATACAGTGGAATGTGCTGGCTAGCTGTCTGCCAGGATCATAGTCACATGGGTCTTTCTTTTGAACTTGTTGAGTAGACTAGGAACTTAGAAGTAACCATCAATTAATATATGCCTTTAGTGCACTGGATTTTTCAAACATACATAAATCCTTTTTCTTGAATGTAACTCTGCTACTTATTTCACCTCTGATTCTTGAAAATCTACTTTTTGACACATTGCTAAAGATATTTTACATTTTAGTGCTAACTGTTTATTTAAAATTTTTCCCTTTCCATATTTTTGGGATATTTTTGGCTATTTCCAACTAACATTTAGAGCATTTTTAAAATGTATACAAAGTTGCAAGCATAAAAATATAAAAATAGTGCAATGAACACCTGTGTAAAAAGAAGGGAATACCCTTCTTTAAAATTTTAATTGATATATAATTGAACATATTTACGGGGCACAGTGTGAGAAAGTCAATATGTGAATACAATGTGTAATGATCAAATCAGAGTAATGAGCATTTTCACCTCCTCAGACACTTATCATTTATTTTTATTTGGAACCTTCAAACGCCTCTTACATTTAAATTGAGATATGTAATAAGTTCTTATGAACTATAATCCCTGGTGTTTCCTTTTGATTCAATGGAGGCAGTGCTTTCTTGGCTAGAACACTTAGGTAGGAGACATTGTGTTTATCTGGCCCTCATTGGTGATGGTAATGATCACCTGGTTGAGGTGTTGCCTGATTTCCCTGACATATGATTGTTTTTTTCTCCCTTATAACTAAGCAGCAGGGAAACACTTTAAGGCCAGGCATGCATCCAAATTGTCCTTGAATTTAGCATCCATTAGTGATTCTTGCCCAATTCAGTCCTTACCATGATAATTGCAAAATGATTTTTTCCAACTCCAGCACCCATTCCACATCTGTCACTGTTGTTCTACTTCAAGCTAGGTTAGAACTCCCATTTGTCCCTCTGTCCTTGGTATAGACATTAATTCCCCTTTTCCCCCAGTAGCTTTTAATTCGTTCATGTGCTAGTAATTCTGGTGTTCAAATTGTGCAACCTTTGAGCAGTAAGAGCGTCCTCTAGCTGACTGAGGGCATCTTTTATGGTCAATCCCCAGGTTCCAGAAAATGTACCTTCCTTACTGTGCATCTCTCCTTCTTCCCAATATCACTTCTCTGGGGTTTCTTGTGCTTATAATGAGGATATTTGCCAGAAAGGACACAATGCTTTCTCTTGATGCAGAATTCCCTTTTTATTTCACTGTCTGTCATTTTAACTTTCCCTTTGTCTTTTGACTGTCGGTCTCAGTTTTCATGGTGAGGCTGCCCTTGCTAAAGGGGAGTCTGAAATGTTAATTAGATTCTCCTTAGAGATTCTCTGTGGTTTCATGTCTTTACTGCTACTCAGAGTAGCATATCTTTGATCAGAAACCCTAAATTCGATTTTCTTTTTGAACTTTTCTACATCAGTCCCTAACAGATACCCAGTTTTTCCCATCTTCTGGACATACACAGGGCTTTAGACCCCTACATGCTTAATCAGCTTGACTGGTTCCCCACAGGCAGCCTGCCAGCACTGCTTTCCTCTCCACACTTCTGAAAGTTGCTTCTTGGTATTGATGTTGAACCCCATCTCATTTCTGATTTCATTTAGGAGCTTGCCTTCTCCCCACTAACCAGAAGGAAAGTTCCAAAGTTCCAGAGTCTGCAGATTACCAGGGCTACAGGAAATGATTGCTAGGCTTGTCATTAAAGTCTGTCTCCCTGGCTGGTGCAGTAGTGCCCCAAAGTTGCCTTTAGTGTCCTTAAACCACCCCAAATAAACATGTAGTGTCTGTGACAACAGAGTACTGGCTTCCTACTCATGCCCAGCTCCCTTCCCCTGTGGAGACCCCTGGTGCCCAGAACACATGCCACCTTCAACAGTCATGACAAACCACTCCTGGCCTGGCCTGTGCCCCCCATCATCTGAGAGAACCTCTGTTTTCTGGCACTACTGAATTTATGGAATATTTCTATGCTCTCAAAATACCCATTTTGGGTGGCAGAAAGAACCACAAAGTCAGCAGGGCCTGACTTTGGGTGGAAATGATTCTGTAGATGCTGCCTTCTAGATCAGCACTGGCTAATAAAAATACAATACCAGTCACACATGTAGTTTAAGTTTTCAAGTAGGTACCTTAAAAAATATAGAGATAGGTGCTGTTAATTTTAATAATATATTTTGTTTAATCCAATATATCAAAAATGTTATTTTAATACATAAACAATTGTTGAGATATTGTACAACACCCCCAACTTTTTTTTTAAGTCTTTGAAGTCATATTTATATTTCAGGAGCTCATTAGCCTATATGGCAAGCAACTCTGTTTTGGACAGCTCAGGACCAGATGAATAATGAAGCTGCTGTGTTGAAGGACAGGGCCAGTTAGCAACCAATGAGTGCCTGTTCTGTCCTAGCCTATTCTTTCCCCAGGACAGAGCTGCTCTCTTCTCAGGAGAAAAGTGCATTTTTGCACAGGGGATTTGGAGTGAGGTGCAAATGACCCTCCATGAATTCTTCTTTAAGATGCCCAGTGCCTGGCCCTCTTCTGTGGTGGCCTGCAGCTACCACAGAAAGGCACTTGCTCTAAGGGGAGACTTGATGATACAATTGGCAGGCCAAGGCACTGGCCTCCACTGGTCTCCGGCAATGGTTTCAGGAAGATTAGATTATTTAATGAGAGCTATCTGAAGAGGTTGTAAAGAATTAGAAATTCAAAACTCAGGCAGCCACTATCTTGTGGGTGTGCCATGTGGGCCTCCATTCCTCTCCACAGTGTTCAAATTCGAGCTTCCTCACAGCATGGTAGCCAGCTTCCCTCTGAGGGAGTGTCCCAAGAGACTGTGTGGCAACTTGTCCTTAAAAGGCATATGACCTCACTTCTGCCGTGAGAAGGTCAGATCAGTCACAGAGTCACAGCTCTGCCTGGGACCCAGGATAGGGGAGAGAGACCCACAGTCAGGAATGACTGTTGCTGTGTTTCTGGAGAGTCTACAGGATTTGGAACCATCTAGGAAAATGAGCTGGAAACTCTTTCTCCTATCCCTTGTAACAAGCAAGTGCCTCGACCCGTTTATCCAGACATGCTTCATTAAAGTGCAGACCCCAAACGTGCCAGCCCCAATGCAGACCCTTCCTTTGAAGCTTCCTCCTCCATCTGAAGGGTGTGTCTCTCCCTTATTTCACTTCCTGTGCCCATGTGGCCTCCACCTACTCGTTGTCTGCTTGCTAATCATCCTTTCTGCTTTGTGACATTTGATCTAAGGCAAGTGGCATCCTCTTTGCTATTTAATAACTGCATCTTCAGAACCCTTTGCATATTGCTCAGCAGCTGAGGAAAGAATCCCAACACATAGTCCAGGACATTATAGTTTCTCATGTGTGATTTTTAAACCAAGCACCTGTAGTTTCAGATGTTAGAAATTCTCTGTATTTTCCACAGTTGCCTTATTATCCACACATTTTTTTTCTTTGAGCCTTTCCTGTACTTCTGATGATCAAAACTCATTTGGGTGTGAGATTGACTGGTTTTTGCTTAGCCTAACTAACATGTTAGGAGTCCAGAATCATTTCCTGCTGGCCTCACTGTGTGCTTAGCCCATATTGGATACTCCCTAAAAATGGGGCTGGTCCTGGGCTCATCCTTACTGGGCTCAGTGGCTGCAGCAGCTGGAGATGGTATCTGGCTCTACCCCACAGGATCTGCAAGATTGCAATGATGAGCTACAAGCTGAGCTGGAAGGCCTGCGGGCACAACTGCCTGAGAGTTGGCAGAGCCCCTCAGAGGACCTGGGCACCCATGGACAGAGGGTCTCTGGACGTGGCCCAGCAGGTACGAGCCTGGCCCTGGCTGGTGGGGCTCCATGGAAGCAGCTCAAGGCTGGATGTTTACATGACCCTTGAGACCAGAGGTGGTGAAGGAGTGTGGAGAGTTTTGCCATTTGTTATAAATGGCGAAGGTTATGATGATGTTGTGAACTCAAGGGAAATACATCTGCCTAGTGAAGCGTCATAGGCAACCTTGTAGCAGAGCCTGAAATATGGAAGGCAACTTAGGGTAGCTGTGGGGTGGGCATGGGACAGTCCCCACTGAGGGGAAGTCCTGCCTGTATGCAGTCTACCTTCAGGCGCCCACACTCTCAGGTGAGGGAATTGGGGCCTTGATGGAACTTGTAAGGAGCCTCCCAGTTCTCTTGAATAATCTGTGTTCAGGTTAAGACCGGCTGCTGATTTCTATGGAGCACTAGCTTTTATAATATGGTGTAACCCTTTTTGCTAGCACCTCATTCCTCACAGATGGGGCACAAGGAAGGGGTGCTGTCTTCAGGGTGATGAGATGAAGACAGGATGACTGATGTTATCCACATGTCAGATTGGAAGGTTTAGAAGGGACCCTGAGGTGCATAACATAACAGAATGTCCTCTCATTCACAGGCATTTTGTCTGTGGGTGATTCCACTCCAATGAGTATAGAAACGGAGATAATGATGGAGCAGGTGAAGGAACGTTACCAAGATCTCAAGATCCAGCTGGAGACCAAGGTCGGGGACAAGGGCATCATGGGCTACACACTGGCAGCAATTGCTTCACTGAACCAATGTTACCACACACGGCTGCCCTGGCACCTGCATCTGCCTTGTAATGGGCCAGCTCAGAGAGGAAAGATTGTAGGGAAGAGTAAATAAAACTGATATTACCCCCCAGGCCCTCTGTGGGGGGAAGTAGGATGTAATAATAATGATAAATGACAGGGAAGGAAGGGGTTTGTTTTGCCTCATGTTTAACACATGAGGATGTGTTAAAGATAGCTGTGTGATGGACAGCTTTTCCTACTTGTCTGCTATTGGGAATCACAGGGACAAGCTTTGTTCTAAGCCTAAATGACCTGGAATTTGCCCTCTATGGGGACTCCATGAGCAGGATCTCTCAGGTTGAGTGTGTCCTCTTGGATGAACTTGTCCCCTGCTCTGTTATTAGGTAGTAGTGGATTTTAAGGACAGTTTCCAGGACTTGCTGTCATGAATCCAATTCATCTGTCTGATTAGCAGTTGTGTCCTTGATCTCTCCGAATGAATTAATTGGAAGCTTCTAGCATGGCTTTGCCCACCTATATCTGGATAGTATTCCTTCTGTCAGGTATTCCAAGGTGTTAAGAGCCACCCTGCTGGTCTTGTGAAGGCTCCTTAGATCTCTCAATAGCTATCATGCCCTCTGCCCTCTTCATGTCACCTGGCCAGGTGCCCAGGTTGGCCCTGAGCCTTCAGACCCCACCTACTGGACCTGCTTTGGGGGGGTCACTGTGAAGTCATGGCGGATGACTTATTGCATATGGCCAGCCTGGGTCCTCAGAGAGTGTTGCCATCATTTACATTGTTGCCTCCTTCCACAGACCCTGGGGCCTAGTTAGGTCTAGGCCATTGTGCCTGGTAGCTTCATATTTCTGTTCTTACCAGTTAGGTCATATTTAGGACTTTCTGACTTATGTTGCTCATGGTTCCCTCTTTAGGTAAATTACTATGAGACGGAAATTGAGGTCATGAAGAGAAACTTTCAGAAGGAGAGAAAGGAGATGGAGCAGGCTCACCAGCTTGAGGTTTGCACATTGGAAAGCCAGAAAGCAGACCTGGAAGCATTGTATATCAAGTCTCAGGAGGTCATCCTGGGCCTTCGGGAGCAGCTGCAGGATGCAACTCATGGCCCTAAGCCTGGGCAGACTGGGCTGGAACAGTGCTGTGCGCAGGTGCTGTGTGGCCTGGCCCAGCAACTGAAGGAGGAGCTGCAGCTGAGGCACCAGAACCAACTACAGCAGATAAGGTCTGTTTGGGTTTGGAACTCATGACTAGGGTTTCTTGCTAACAATCAAAGTTTGAAATTAGATTTAGGTAAGCTCTTTAGGATTGCAGTGTCTTCTAGCAGGATGAGTTTTCTCTGGGTAAATGAATGAGGACTGAAAAAATTGATTGTTGTATTAAAGATTTTTACTTTAAGGCAAAAATACCCTTTAAACAGAATTTGGGAAATGGAGTAGTTTTTTGTGTAGAATTTTAACTCTGTTCTTTCTCTTCTGCCTCAGACTTGCCTAGTGGGCAAAGGTAGAATTTTCTCTATCATTTAGTATAGCATTCTGGTTTTCCAGGACATGATGTAATAAGGGGAAAAAAAAGTCCAAAAGCCTCCCCAAAATGGAAAAGATAGTTAATTTGGATGGGTCAGAATCTTCAAAAAGGCTGAAATATTTGTACCATCAAGGGAAAAGGGCTATTTGGAAAATCTGATGTGGTATTTTGGGGGTTAATGGTGGGAGTTACCCGAAAAATGCCACGTGCCCTCCCTGTCACATGAGGCTGTCTTAGTAGAGTTAGTACTTGTTTATTGGAGAGATGGTGCTGGTTACTGGGATACAGACCCATGGAGAGCATTATCTCCCACAAGAAGATGACCCCTCCTACCACCTGGCTATTTTATGTCACCCAGCAGGACCAGGACCTCCCCCATTGGCCAAGACTGAACAAAATGACTCAGGTGAGGGTTGTGCTGAGGCTAGTTATGTTCACCTGTTGATACTTAAGAAATATGGCCCTATCACCACACTGACAGCAGGAAGTCAAGTGACCTTTGCAGGGAAATGATTCCTGACATACACGAGGCAGGCACTGGTCTCAGTAGAAAGAAGTTAGGGTTACCTCAGTATGTGAGTTGTGATAAAGAAGAATCAGCATTCCCTCTTTCCTCTCCTCCAAGATGATGCCAGTGTACCCACCTAGGCCACTGGGGACTCACAAAAAACTGACTGCTATTATCCTGGAGGATAAAGAAGTAATTTTTTTTTGTGGGAGTGGGTACTGGATTGAACTCAGGGGCACTTAATCACCGAACCACATCCCCAGCTCTTTTTTGTATTTCATTTAGAGACAGGGTCTCACTGAGTTGCTTAGCGCCTTGCCATTGCTGAGGCTGGCTTTGAACTCGAGATCCTCCTGCCTCAACCTCCAAGCCACTGGGATTACAGGTGTGCACCACCATGCCTGGCAAGAAATAATTTTTAAGTCATGTGCTTTCCCAGAGCTCTAAACTTTCTTTTTTTTTTCTTTGACCTCATCAGATAACTTTATTCACACAAATATCCCTTAATTTATAAAGCCTCAGCCTAAGTAAAATAAGTACACAAAAAACTATCTTAAACCCAAGAATGTGAGATAAGGGACTCAACCCTTTTAGACCCACCTTTGGACCCCCACGAGGTGGCTGAGGGACAGGTATAAGGAAGCCACCCTCCTCCTCAGCATCCAGGATGCCCCTGCCCACCTGCTCAAGCCATTTTGGGCCTTAGAGTTCTCTGGCTCCTCACTCCTGGGGAGCTTATCCTGCTACTCAACTGGGCTCCTCATCACACCTCTCTATAGAGATAGAGCCATAGGCAGCCCCATGTCATTTTCTACCACCCTGTCTTGGCCAAAGTGTATAGTGTGCCTTGACAGGCTTGGTGTTCCTGTCCAGCCCTCATTCCACACCATAGTCTCAGATGCCACAGGCCCCAGGCCAGCCGCTTAAGGGATTTTCAAGGGAAGTTTTAAATACAGACGAGTTTCAACCATTTTACTAACACTCAAGACTAGCACTGTCTGAGAGCACTCACTGCGATGATGCACACATCCTCTGACCAGTTTAGTAACTACTGGCCACACTTGACCTTTGAGCACTTGGCAATGTGGCCAGTGTGACTACAGGATGGAATTTTACTTCTACATAATTGTAATTCCCTTTCATTTAAACCATCACATGTGGTGAGTGACTTCCATTGCTGGCTTCTGTGTGTAGACCTAACCCCCAGGTGTGGAAGCCCTGGGCACAGGGACATAAAGAAGGATACAGAAAATCAGTCAGGAGAGAAGAGCTAGGCAGTTAGAACAGGAGTCCTAGTGGTCTTTTCTTCCCTGAGAATAAGGGTCTGGGGTTCACTCTGGCAGAGCCCATGTTTTTGTGACTCATTATATTTCTGTAGGAAAGAGGCAGAAGATGTGCTGACCCAGAAACTGTCATGGCTGGAAGCCCAACATGTTGCCCGCTGTGAAAGGCTGTCCCTACAGCATCAGAGCGAGAAGGACCAGCTGCTGCAAACGCACCTGTGGCAACTGAGGGAGCTGGTGGCACAACTGGACCTGGAGAAAGAGCAGCAGGAAGAGAGAGAGAAGGAGATCCTCACACGCTGTCAGAAGCAGCAGATGAAACTGCAGGCAGTGATGAGTGAGGAACAGGCACAGATTTGTAGATCGATTGCTCTGGAGAAGGAGAAATTGGAGCACACCTACAGGAAACAAGTGGAAGGCCTTGCCCAGGAGGCAGAGGCACTGAGGGCCCTCTTGAACGATGGAACCACTGTGACGGGCAGTGAGCAAGGGGGTATACATGGCCTCACATCCCTGTGCCTAGGTGGGGAGCAACCACTGGCTCAGTTGGACCTGAATACTGATGAAGAGATGAGGGAACTGGCAGGAGACACGCCTGGCCAGAGGCGAACTGAATGCAGGGATTTACCCAGCCAGCCTTGCTGTGTGGACACCACACAGAGCCCAACCCCTGTTCTGGTATCCAGAGAGTCCTTGAAAAGCTTCAGCCTAGGAGAGAACTGTCAGGGTCTGCTCAGTGCTGAGGAGGTAGCTTCTGTTCCCTTGGAGAAGAGGTCATACATGCAGCCATGCGAAGGGAACAAGGGAGCCATTGCAGAGGAGCCAGTGCCTTCTGCCAGGGCCCCAATGAGTCTGGGCCAGGCTGATGCCCAGGAGCTGCCAGTATTGACAACAGAGGGGATTACCTGGTTGGCTCAGCCCCAGACATTGGAGCCATGGCACAGCCCAGCCACTTTGGAGGAGCAAGCCAGCAGCCTGAGCAAGGACCCAGCCCCTGAGAGTGGTCATGGCCAGGTCTTTGAGGGGATGTCCAGAGGTGGTGACAATGCCCTAGAGACATGGCTTGAGCACAGCCAGGAGGCTGCCTGTTGGGGGTCCTCCCTGTTACACTCCAAGCTCCCAGACCCACAGCAGCCTGGGCTGGAGTGTCTTACTGCCCTGGAGGAGACAGAAGCCGAAATGGCATTGGAGAAAGAGAAGAGTGATATGAGAAACAAACTTCTCCAGCTGGAAGATGTTGTCCGGGCTCTCGAGAAAGAAGCAGACTCAAGAGAGAATGACAGGTTTAGTTTTTCCTATTCTTAAAATGCAGAACTAAACCCAATAGCCTCTCACTAGTGACTGTGACATAGTCCTTCCCCACTGGCAAGCTCACAGATAGGCTAACTCTGTAACCTTGCACCTGTATGGCCATATGAGCCCTGTCCCTAGGCATTTCTGGTCACTGGGTGCTCAGCAGGTGTGCAGAGGAGAGGCAAGGCAGTGCTTTCCTGAGCAGCTCAGCAGGCTCTGGTATTTCTATCTCTGCCTAACAGTACAAGGTCTGTGGTTGGTCCTGGATCATCTGTGAGGCCTCTGCCTGCTGAGTTTGAGAGGCAGGGGGTGGGGGACTACAGCCCCTCCCGTGTGTACTAGGCACTGTCCTTGGCCTGCACACTGCAGTGACTGCTGGCTTTTTCAGAGCTGCAGAGCATGGCTTTGAGGGCCCCTCACCTGGTTCCTGCCTGGAAGATGTTTATGGATACTTGCACATCCCTGTGCAAGCACATGATACTGTTCCATGACATGCTCCATGCTTGCTGTCATTTAGTTCCATCAGTCTCCATACGCACACCTACAAGATGTCCAGTCCTGTGGAAACAGGCTTCAGGAGGTCATTGTCCATGGCTCTTGTCCATGTCAGTAACACTGACAAAGCAGACATGGTGTGTCCCAGTAGTGGGCATAGTCACATAGGAGTGATGATATCTGTATTCCAGGCGATGTGTACATTGGGAGGACGATGGAAAGGTTACTTCCTTTAGGAGAAAAAAGATGTGGGACTAGGGGTGTAGTTCAGTGATAGAATATTGGCTTAGCATGTGTGAAGCTCTGGGTTCCATCCCCAGTGCCAAGAAAAAAATTAGCATTTATGATAAACCAGAAGAAATAAATGTCAGCATACCAGCCAATTTAAGAAAGAAAACTTGATCATAAGCTGGAAGCCCAGCATCCCCAAGGGCTACCCTGCCCCTTGCTGGCCCAAAGGGCTGTTCCTCACCATTCAGGTGTTTTGTTTTGTTTTGTTTCACACCTTTGCCTCTTAGGGATGTAGCCTTGTTCTCACTGCCCTGATTTCTGGATAGCCCCATTGATGAAGCAGAGGTGGCACCATGTCCAAGGAGGGTCATAGTGTGTTATGCCTTTCCTCTGTGACCACTCTAGATGTATAAAATCCAGAACAGGTTAAAAAAAAAAAAAAAAAAAAACAGGCGTCCCTGCTGATAGTGGTGCTGGTATAGTTCCTGATTGCAGGGTCACCCGCCTTTGTGGCTTCCCACTCAGCTTTCATTTCAGCTTCCGGGTTTTTGTTTTGTTTGGGGGATTCCTGGGAGTTTCCATTGCTTTCTGTGAGGACAGTCACATACTGCACACTCAGGCCTGCACAGGTTTCATTGTTTCTGACGAGTGTGAGGATGTGGAGAGGCTGCCTTCAGTTTTCCTGGGCTCCTGGAAGTAGACCCACACACACTCCACTTGCATTCAGTCACTTTGTTTTCCATTCTGGAGACAGAGTGGTAGCTTCAAAACAGATATAATTTGTTTTGCTGTCTTGCATGAAATCCTTTGCTGCTTTAAAAAAATTATTGGTGCATTATAATTATACATAATAGTGGGATTCATTGTTGCATATTTGTAGAGGCACATAATATAACAATATAATTTGATCCGTTCAGTTCCCCTTCCTGTTACTTTTTAAATTCCAGAGACTTATATTTCTTTATTCTTCTCTTAGTCTATCATGACATATAGGAAGTTATGTTAAGGGGATACATAGGCTTAATGCTATAAGCAACATAGATAAAATGAACTCAGAGATGTGTTCTTAGATTGAAAAAAAATGGGAGGCTAAATCCAGATAGAGACCTACCAGGAGAAGTAAATGTCAGCTAGACTCCCGTATATTAATAAATCCTCCAGGCATCAAGTATGAATTTTAAGATGCCTCTTTAGTGATCTGAATCAGTAAATTGTCATCTTTCTTAAATCAGTGGTGTTGGTTGATGTCCCAAGATGGTTCCCACTAGAGGGGCAACCTTCTGTCAAGTATCTCTCTGTATATTGACATGGAATTTTCCTAAGTATTTCCTTCCAGAGCTGCTGTGAGGGTGTGGGATGGGTGAACTCTCACAAGAGAGAAAGTATGCCTTTGTAGTTTGGTCTGATTCCTTGTGCTTCTTAGCTCTGGCTGCAGTTCACTGGCCAGGGATGAATATCCTTTGCCATCCCTGAGGACTTACCCCTAGCACTTGGCAATAGAAGCCAGTACCCATATCCATATTCAGATGGAAGTGGTGAAATGTCAGCTGCCCCGAAAGGTAAAACAAAATAATGGTGCTGATTGCATTCATGGGCTGTTGATAAAGTGCAGTTTAGAAGCTAAGACAGTGGTGCTCCTGTGAGATGCTCACAGGAGATGCATGTCAGAGCATGTTACCACTGGAGAGGAGAAAAGGCAAAATACCCTACACCACCTCCAGGGAGGGAATGAAGACTGCAATTTTCAGCTCTTATGACTGCATGTTGCTGCCAGCTCCTTCTCACCAGGCTTTTTTCAATTTTTCATGCAGAATCGAGTTTCAGAGGCTTTCTGAAGAAAACATATTGTTGAAAAATGATCTGGGAAGGATTCAGCAGGAACTTGAAGCTGCAGAGAGCACAAATGATGCACAGAGGTAAGGCGTGTCTCAGTAGTTCGCCCACACCAACAAGACAGAGGCCTCTGTATCTGTCTCTAGAACGAGCTTAGGAGGGATTGATATAGAAAGTGGGAGATGCTGGCAGATAAACCCTCATTCCAGAAAGACCTACGTGGATGAACTTGTGGACTTCTGAACAGATCTGATAGGCATAGGGAATTCTGACTTCCCACCACAGGTTGGCAGCCACTGTATATGCTTCTTTGTCTCAGAAGTGGGGACAGAGCATATGCATGCTGCTGCATGGTTGGCTCCACATCCACAGCTCCAGAACACAGCCCTCACAATTGACATACAGATACTTCTCACCTATACAGAAATGCTCCATGTCACAATTAGGCGTGGGGGACAGTGAGTGTTTTTGGAGGGGTGGGAGTGCTACTAGGGCCTTCCTGGGTAAGGAGGGTCTATCTGGTTATGTTCTGATAAATGGTTTCAGCTATGCATTTCCTCAAGGTTCATTGCTGGTATATCAATGTCAGTGAGTCAAGGCTGGAGATGGGATAGGCAGGGCAGGGACGTATGCACCAGAGAAGGGGAGAGTCTGCGGGGTGAGGGTGGCTTTCTGCTGTCACTACTGTAACTGCATCCAAGGACAATTTGTTTATCCTTTTTTGTTTTTTTCCCAACTATGAATTTCAAGATGAGCTCAGCTCTAAAATGCTGAGAATGTGGTTCTGGTTTGATAAATTACTGTGATGTTGCTAGAGTAGTTACTATTATGTTATAGCAATTCCACAGTCTAAAATTCTTTTTTTAGTGGGGTGGGGAATAGAAATTCAGTGGATTAGACAAAAGGAAGTGAAGGGAAGGGAGTGGGGACAGGATTAGGAAAGACAGTGGAATGATTCTAATGTAAGTTTCCTGTGTGCATATAAGAATACACCACAGTGAATCTCAATATTGTGTACATTCACATGACTGGGATATTAATTAGAATAATATATATTCCATACTTATATAATTATATCAAAAATGGATTCTACTGTTACATATAACTAAAAATAACAAATAAAAATTTAAATAAACAAAATTCTCTTTTTCTCTCGGTATTTTGCCAGGACCCTTTAGCAACAAACCTCAGTAGTAGTAAGACTGCTTGGGTCTTCATGCTGCTGGGTGTGAATAAGTTACATGTTTTGCAAAAAAAGAAATATCAGTATGTGTGACTAAGGAATTTTACAGGTGCTGTTTATTCATACAATAGTGGCAACTGCCTACATATCTGAGCAATTTCACATTTCTAAATTTTCCCTGATTTGGGATTGGACTGGCTCCTCCCTCCTCATCATCACCAGCAGCCTCAGCAGTATTGTCATAGAGACAGTGACAGTGGGGCTATGGAAGACCCAGGGCAGACAGAGTCTGTTCTGTGACTACAAATTCAAACTGTAATGTCACAGTGGGTGATGGCCAAGGAAAAGACACTGGTTAGTTAGAAATGATGTTGTTTATTTTGCTTTTTCAACAGAAAGGAAATTGAAGATTTAAAGAGAGACAAAGAAAAGACCTGCCTTGAAATGGAAGAACTCAACATACAGGTCAAGTATTGATGACTGGCATGAAGCCTTTTTTTTGTTATTATCCTGAAATAGTCTCACACTTACAAAAAGGAAGTAGAGAGCTTTTTTCTAAAAGATGTGAGAGAGAGAGAGTTGCCAGTCCCTACTTCCCCCTCAGAATCAGGTACTGGCATGCATAGGAACCCACTCACCCCATTTTGGTTTAGCAGGTGCCTGGAATGTTGGCAGTTATGTGTGGCATTAGTCTCCTTCCATTAGCCTGTCTTTGATTGTTAAGACCTTGACATTTTCAAGATTGCAGGTGGCCACTATGAGGATGTCCCTCCATCTGAGTTGTCTAATAGCTCCTTGTGATAAGTCAGATTCTCTGTTTGGGGTAGGAACAACTCAGAAGTGATGCTATATCCCCATTTCATCCTCTCAGAGACACAATGTTTTGTCCCTTTGTTGAACACTTTGATTGCTTGGGTAAGGTGGTGTTGACTGAGCCTCTCCACAGTTACTTTTCCCTTTGTAATTCATAGCCAAGGATAATCTTTAGAATGGTCTTTAGACCATTGGATGGCACTGGATGTGCTCATTGTTTCTGGGGTATGCTGCTTCCAGGAGATGTTAGTGGATACAGCTAGGACATGTATGTGTTTATACATATGCATATAGTTTCAAGTATGTTTATTTATTTACCTCTATATTGAAAACTATGAATTCAAACCCATATCTGCAATTTGCACCCAACATCTTAGGGATAATGCTAGTTTTCTCCTTTTTTGTATTTGTAACCCATTTCTCCAATGAGATATCTGATTTCCATCACCCTCAGTATGGTTACTTATTATCTGATCATTATCTCTTACTCTGTATATAAATGTTCTTTTCACCTCCTATGCTGATCCTCCTCCTGCCCCCAATACAAAAATGCATTTTGTACTTTGTTCTTCTTCCTGTCTTTTAATTAACACTAATTAAGGAATAAGCAATCAACCTAGAATGTGTTATCCTTGGCTTTTTAAAAAATTGTTATTAATAATTATAGATTCATACATATTTATAAGAAATACAGAGCAATCCCTTATACACTTTAGTTTTCCCCAGTGGTAACATTTTTCAAAACAATAGTGCAATATCTGTGTTAGTATTTTAGGGCTGTCAAAACTCCATATTACAGACTGTGAGGGTTTAAATAACAAAAATTCATTTCATCACAATTTTGATGTCTAAAAGTTTGAGATCAAGGTACCTACAGGGTTGGTTTCTTCTGAGGTCTCTTTCCTTGGCTTGAAGATGGTACCTTCTCCTTCTTTGTTTACATAGTTGTCCCTCTGTACGTGTATGTGTCCTAATCTCCTCTTCATATAAGGTTGCCAGTCATATTGGATTAAGGCCTATCTATATGATCTCATTACCTTAATAACCTCTTTCAAGACCCATCTCCAAATACATTCATATTCTGAAGTGTCAGGGGTTAAGACATATGACTCTGGGTAGAGGACACAATTCAGCCTATAATAAATATCACAGCCAAGATATTGACATCAATTAAATCCATGGATCATATTTAGATTTATCCAGTTTTACTTGTGTACTCTTATGTATGTGTGTATGTTGAGTTCATCATCTGTGTAGGTTTCTGTATCCACCACCACAGTCAAGATATTGAATATTTCTAATATCATGGTCATTCCTAGTGTTGCCCTTTTATGACCATGCTAACTTTCTCCCTACCCACCTAATCCTGACAACCACTAAAATGTCCTGTTTCTAAACTTTTATTTCAAAATATTATACAAGTAGAATTATATAGAATGTGACTTTTAGGATTGTCTTTTTTACCTATCATAATTCCTTGAAGAGTCATCCAAGTGTTGTGTGTATCAGTAGTTTGTTTTTATTGCTGAGTAGTTCCTGTGGAACGGACATACAACAGTTTGTTTTTACATTACAATAATGACTGAGTTGTGTGGTAGTCAAATGTTTGGTTGTTTTTATTTGTTTGTTTGTTTGCTTCATTGAAGTATATCTCTAACCCTTTTTATTTTTTTATTTTGAGACAGGGTCTGGCTTAGCCCAGGTCGGCCTCAAACTTTGAAGGCTATCCGGCCTCAAACTTTTGAAGGATATATGACTGATTCCAAGTTTGGGCTATTACAAATAAAACAGCTACAAATATTATTACTCTGGTTTTTGTGTGAACATAAGTTTTTGTTGTACCAGGATAAACCCCTAAGACAATAATAACTGAGTTGTGTGGTAGTCACATGTTTAGTTTTTTTGTTTGTTTCATAGAGGTATATCTCTAACACTTTTTTTTTTTTTTTTTTTTGAGACAGGGTCTTGCTTAGTTGCCCAGGTCAGTCTCAAACTTGCCATCCTCCTACCTCAACCTCCCATGTCTCTAGGGGTAACAGGCATGTGCCACTGTGCCCAACACGTTTATTTTTATAAGAAACTCCGAAACTGTTTCCTAGCATGCCTGTAATGTTTTATACTCTTACCAGCATGTATATATGATCTGGTTTCTCTACATCCTTGCCAACATTTCGTGTTTTGAGTATTTTGTATTTTTGACATTCTGTTGGCTATGTACTGAGATGGGCAGGCTGAAGGGGGTACAGTTCAGTATTTTCCTTTCCACAGGTCAATTAAGTTCTAGGGAGTTATTTTCCTTAGGGCCTAAAAACAATATCCTCTGGGTGTCCTTCTATCTAGTCAACATTTTAGTTAGCATGGGCTGCTTCACAAAATACACTGAGTGACTTGAGCAACAGATACTTATTTCTTACTGTTCTAGAGGCTGGAAGTCTGAGATCAAGGGACATTGGTCCTGGCTTCTCACCATGTCCTCACAAGGCTTAAAGAGAGAAATTTCTCTCTTGCTGCCTATAATTGCACCAATCATATTATATAAGAAGCCCACTTTTTAAAATTTTATTCTAATTTGTAATATATGACAGCAGAATGCATTTCAATTTATATTACACAAAGCACAATTTTTCGTGTCTCTGGTTGTTCACAAAGTAGAGTCACACCATTTGGGTCTTCATACATGTACTTAGGGTAATGATGTCCATCTCATTCCACTGTCTTTCCTACCCCTATGCCCCTTCCTTTTCCCTCCCTCCTTTTTGCTCTATCTAAAGTTCATCCATACCTCCCATGTTCCCCCCTACCATCCCGCCAATATCCATATGGATTAGCACCCTCATATCAGAGAAAACATTCGGCATTTGGTTTTTTGGGATTGGCTTATTTCACTTAGCTTAATATTCTCCACCTCCATCCATTTACCTGCAAATGCCATGATTTTATTCTCTTTTAATGGTGAGTAATATTTCATTATATATATATATATATATATCACATTTTCTTTATCCATTCATCTACTGAAGGGCTCTAGGTTGGTTCTACAATTTAGCTATTGTGAATTGTGCTGCTGTAAACATTGATGTGGCTGTGTCCCTGTAGTATGCTGTTTTTAAGTCCTTTGGGTATAAACTGAGGAGTGGGATAGCTGAGTCAAATTGTGTTTCCATTCCAAGTTTTCCAAGGAATCTCCATACTGCTTTCCAAATTGGCTGCACCAATTTACAGTCCCACCAACAATGTATGAGTGTGCCTTTTCCCCCACATCCTCGCCAACAATTATTGTTGTTTGTATTCTTAATAGCTGCCATTCTGACTGGAGTGAGATGAAATCTTAGAGTAGTTTTGATTTGCACTTCTCTAATTGCTAGAGATGTTGAATATTTTTTCATATATTTGTTGATTGATTGTATATCATCTTCTGAGAAGGATCTGTTCAGTTCTTGGCCCATTTATTGAGTGGGTTATTTGTTTTTTTGGTGTTAAGATTTTTGAGTTCTTTATATATCCTGAAGATTAGTGCTCTATCTGATGTGTGTGTGGTAAAAATTTGCTCCCATTCTGTAGGTTCTCTGTTTACCTCACTGATTGATTCTTTTGCTGAGAAGAACTTTTAATTTGAATCCATCCCATTTATTGATTCTTGATTTTAATTCTTGTGCTATAGGAGTCTTATTAAGGAAGCTGGGGCCTAATTCAACATGATGGAGATTTGGGCCTACTTTTTTCTAGAAGCCCACTTTTGTGACCTCATTTAACCTAAATTATTTCCTGAAAGCCCCATCCCTAGCCCTAAACACTGGCTTCAATGTGTGGATTTCAGAGAAACACAATTTGAAGCAATCACTTTCCCCTGAGGAAGCCTGAAGGGATTTTTCTCTAATTTTAACTGTGAGAACCTGATAAGGCTTAGAGACATTGGAGGCTCCGTGACAGTGCCCCCACCCCTGGCACTCTAGCTCTCAGGTTAGCCCAGGCCTAGAGTCTCCAATATTTGTCTTTACAGATAAAGCTTTCCTATCAGTTTCCTGCTGAAGCCTTCTGCTCCTGATAAACTGATTCTATCTCTCCCAAGACCGGTCTCTCCAGTTTTCAGAATGTTTGGTTTGTCCTGTGACTTCAGTTCTCTGATGGATCTAAGATTTGCTGCTTTTCCGTTTGTTCAGCTTTTCCTTTTTTTTTTTTTTAATACCTTTATTTATTTATTTTTATGTGGTGCTGAGGATTGAACCCAGTGCCTCATACTTGCAAGGCAAGTGCTCCACAACTGAGCTACAACTCCAGCCTCATTTTTCAGCTTTTTCTTGTTGGCAGGATGGGAGTGATAATTTCTAAGCTCTTTACATGTGAGACCTGAAACCGGAAGTAGTATGTTTTTGATTTGAGCTTCTGTACATGCTGTGCACATGTACAGAAATAGAGTTGACGTTTTTTGTGCTAATTTTGCATCCTGTGGCCTTGCTGAACTTGCTTATTCTAGGAGTTTCTTTGTCACCTTCTTCATCTCAAAACCTTGCAAAAAGTCCCTACAACTCCTCTCTCATGGTGCCTGCTCTTCTCACGTGGCCAATGAAAACAGCTTCTGCCTCAATCCACTAGTAGAACAGCAGCTTGTCTTGGCTCCCAGCTCCCAGTGTTCATTTCCATGGTGTTCCTGTGGTAGCTTTGCTTGGGCCTTGCTGTAGTTTGATCTGGAGTGTCCCCCGCCCCCCGCCCAAGGCCCATGAATTAAAGACTTATTCCACAGAGCGGCACTATTTGGAGGTGGTAGAATCTTTAAGAAGTGGGGCCTGGTCATTGAGGGTATACTTCACAAAGGGACTGTGGGATGCCACCCCTTCCTTTTTCTCTGTCTTTGTTTCCTGAGGTAAGCATCTTTGTTCTACCATGTGCAAACCACCATGATATATATTGCTATACCACATGACCCAAAGCCATAGGGTCAATTGGTCATGGACTGAAATCTCCAAAACTGTGAGCCAAAATAAGCCTTTTCTTCTTGTAAATTGATTATTTGAGGTATTGGTTACATTTTTAAAAGGTGACTTACATAAGCCTCATGGAGGATAATGATGGATTCACTTAAGAACACTTACGGCTCTGCATTTGCTGAGGGTGGGCAGCTTCTTGTGGAAATGGTCCATGTAAGTCCTTCCTGGTTTCAGAGTAGCCACTCTGCCCTTTCCCTTCTCTTGTTCCCTCTGTAAAATATTTATAAATGGGTTTATAAATAACCATTTGAACTCTTTCCCAAAAAATTTTATTATGAAAACCTTTAAAAATATATAAGTGGAAGTAGCATATACTGATCACCTACCTACCACAACCTTAATTTGATAATTGTTATTGGTATACATGCTTTTAGTTCTCTGTTTACGTCTCCATGTTTCTTGTGTCTATTCTTTGAACTATTTGAAGGTAGATTACAGATACTATGATACTTCTATTTCCTAAATATTTCATCAGGCCTTTTCTAAAAATATCTTCTATCTAACCACACTATTGTTCTCACACTTAAGAAACTTAACAGTAACTATCTAACACCATCCAGAATTCAGACCACATTCACATTTTTACACTTATTAAAAAATGGCTTACATAATAAAATCTTTGACCCTAGAATGCAGTTGTGGCTGACACATTTTATTTAGCTATCAAATCAACTTGTTGGCATAAACTAACCACACAATTGTACTCATGGAACCTGTAGATCAGGGATTCAGACACAGACATATCTCTGATGGTTCGTCCCTGCTATTTGGTGTTGGGGCTGTGACTGGGAAGACTGGACATACAGGCTGATCATTTGGGGACTCCTTCTGAATGTGTTTGTTGACACAGGTCCTCTCTGTGAGACTGGGATCCTGGAGGAAGTGTTCTGATAGGTAAAGGTCATTCCCCATCTTTCTCACTGAGTCTCCCAGAGCCACATGGGCCCATGTTTAAGTAGGTCATTACTGCAGAAGAGGACATGGGTGGCAGGTGCTACCAGGGGACATCTGTGCAAATATAGTCCTCCCAAGCATCTCATTAATTTTTTTGACCCATATCACCAATTTTTTCTCATGCTTTTTGAAGAGACCAGCTGGTTGTCTCTGGCACCATCATAATATGTTAATCTACATTCTGGATTACCAGGTGCTTCCTAAGAGGTAGTTTAATCTGCTCCTATGTCACATGTTTATTTTTTAAACTGGAAATTAGACCTAAAATCTTGATCAGATTGAGAGCAGTGATCTTTGACACAGATATCCCTTTATTTCTTTTTTTTTTTTTTGTAATTGTAATCAGTAATTTTTTATTTATACTGATTTGTTATACGTGACAGCAGAATGCACTACAACTCATAGTACACATACAGAGTACAATTTTTCATATCTCTGGTTGCACACACAGTAGAGTTACACCATTCGTGTCTTCATACATGTACTTAGGGTAATGATGTCCATCTCATTCCACCGTCTTTCCTACCCCCATCTCTTCTCCCTTCCCCTCCCACCCCTTTGCCCTATATAGTGTTCCTCTAATCATCCAATGCTCTACCCCACAACCCCATCATGAATCAACATCCTTATATCAGAGAAAACATTTCGCATTTGGTTTTTTGGGATTGGATAACTTCACTTATCATCACAATACCTTTATTATTTTTTTAAAGAGAGAGAGAATTTTTTGGAGGTAGCTGCTGATACATCAGCTTCTGCAGTAAAAGCTAACTGGAGGCAAGTTAAAGGTTAAAGAAAATGATCATCATAAACATCTGTCACCAGAGGCAGATGACATCTACACCTCCTGACACAAAGCCCAGAGAAGTTACAGCATCACCTATGTAGCACCTGGCCAAGAACACATCACATGAGACAACAGGAAGCATCAGACAAACACTAAATAAAAAACTGTTAAAATGGAGGAGGAATCATATTTTACAAAAATGTCAATAATAAAAAGTCCTTTAAAAGACTATGGAAACATCCCACATTCAAGAAGGCCAAGACATCATAGATGAGACACCATCTGACCCTGTACTGGGGAAGGAGTGCTATAAAGGACATCACTGGGCCAGTTGATGAAACTGGAATGTGTGTGGGACATCCAGGTTACCACGTGAGAGAGCACTTCTATTAACAGGAAACATGCTGCAGGGCTGGGGTGGGGGAAGAAAACATCCTGTATATGTGTGTGCATTCGCACGTACACTTGTATACACATTTGATAGTGCAAATGGCAGATCAGTTGGGGAGGATGCTGTCATTGGGGAGTCTGACTGAAGGGTGTGTGAATTTTCCTCGTAATGTTCTCCTCTTGAAATTGGTGTGTACATTTTAAATTCTTTCCAAAGACTTTAAATACTAAAGTTGAGTAGAAAATGATTGACTAGTTAGTTTATTTAATTAATTAATTAATTTGTTTGTTTGCTTATTTATTTATTTTTGGAAAGGATGACTTTTATTTCCATCCTGAATGATTATTATACCATTATTTAAATATGCCCAAAAAAGTCCTGAAATAATTTAAACTGAAGGCATAGAACAAATCAAAATATTTAACTGTAAAAGATTAAATAAGAAAATGCAAATATTTCCACAGTAGCAATAAATTATGAACAAGTTTCCATCACCAAATATCATTCTGACCAAGAGCTCTAGTCTTTTCTCATGAAATCTATAGCTTAAGCTGATTCTGAGATTTCCATGATAAAAATAATACTGAAAAACAATCTTCTTCCTAAAGACTCATTAGACCACCAGGTTCAATATAAGAATTTTATATATAACAAAGTAGCAGTTACAATAGTTGTTGATGGATGGCCTTTCCCCAAGAAATGACACATTCTTACAAACTGTTTAAAAAAAATAGCAAAGTTGGTTACAAAATTCTATTTGGAAAGCAGGAAAAAACTTGTTCCATGTCAATTAGAATATCAAAGCACTTCATTATCAAATTGCTTCAAAAGCCAATCATCGCATAACAGTAATATACTACATGGGGAATTCCACTATATCATGGTGACATGTTGACCATACAGTGCAGTTAAGGGGTTGAACAAATCAGTAGCAATTACTGTCACCAATTTTTATTTATTCCAAAGAGATATGTTTTTAAAAAAATCATTATAAGACTAACTAGAATAATCAGTGACATGCTACAGATGCAATAAACCCCTCCAATGCAATAGCTAGGTTTGAAAATAAAGTGGTCATGCTTCTTAATATACTGTGATATTTTGAAATACATTCTCTGGTCATCAGTACCATTTATTACAGAGGTCACTTATAAATTAGCTCAGTTTCTGAACTAGGTTTCTAACTGAAACTTTTTTCAAGTTTATTTATATTAGGAGTTGAAGAAAGATTCCATTTCTATTGATGAAATCAAGGCTATCCTTAGAGGACAAGATGAATGTACATCAGTATTGAAAATCAATGTCAGTTTTTACCCAAAATATCAAAAATCCAGACAGAACTACCCAGAACTTAAGACATGGTAGCAACATCTTTACCCTCAGTCCTAAGGTTCTAGAGAAGGGATGAGGTGAGATTAATTCAGAGAAGAGCTTGAGAACAGCATAGAGACTCACTAACCTTGCATGAATCCATACTGAAGCAACTTCGAGGTTCCACTGTATGCTAATTAAACCCACAAAAACAAAATGGTGTCAGCCTAGACCTGGGGAGATTATGTGTGTGCTGATAGTAGTGCTTCAGAGGATGCTGCTTACAGAGCTGCCAACACTCTGTGTCTTCAAAACTGACTACTGTCGAAAAATCAAATAAGAAAAACTGGACTGTAAGAAGATAGTTATGACCCCCTCCCCCCAAAAAAAACCCCAAAAAACAAGAATAGCTGAAATTACCTTGGTAAAAGACTGTAAGACCAACTTTTAGGTATGTTTTGGTGCCTGATGTCTTCACTCATTTACTCCATGTGTTTGCTGTACACCCACTACCCACTGGGCAGTGGCCACTGAGAGAAAGCAAAATGTACTGTGTGGTGGCTGTGCTCCTGCTAGAAGCTGTGCTTATGTCTCCAGTGATAGAGACCAAAGGAAGATTATGAAGAGATTTTTACACTTCAAGATTAATTAGTTTTTTTTAAACTTTAAATTGCTTTAAATATGTTAGAAGTAGCCATGGACAAAATGAAGAAGACGTGGAAGTTCTTCAGAATGGTAGTTTCAGTGGTCATGGCACATAACCACCTCTGGTGGCATAGGTGTGTCTCACTTCTAGGTGACAGAGCAGAGCTTCTGGTCCTAAGCACCCCCAATACTGAGGCCGGACCATCTTCGGCTCTGTGGGACATACAGTGCCAGATGCCACTGGCTTCCCCTTCCTCTAATTGGGACCACTAGAATGATCTGAATTGAGCTACTGGTTTAAAAGCATTTGTTTTAATCTATTTTAACCTTTTTTCCCCTGTAGATTCAGAAATACAAGGATGAATTGTCACAGCTCAACTGCAGAGTCCTTCAGCTGGAAGGAGATGCTTCTACACATCAGGCCCAAAAGGAGAAGAATCACATTGCCATTCAGCTGTTAAGGCAGAGGCTGGAGGAGGCAAGGCGCCGGGAGGAGCAGCAGGTGAGTGGACTAAGGCAGTACCATCAGGGTCCTGCCCTGCAACCAGGCAGTGGGAACAGGCAATGAAGACTCAGCCACAAACAGGTCAGATAAACCCTGATGTCCTGGAGGTGGGTGCCCTAGCAGTGAGATGAGGAGCTTCCTAAGCCCTAGAGAAGTGGGTAGACATGAGCAGCTTTGGCACATCATCAGGATCCAGAAAAAGTAGAGGGTAGTTTGGCAAATTATGTATCGAGAGCCTCGGGAATGTCTCTGATTTGAGTTCATAATCATGCTTATAGGAATTATAGCTAAGAACATTATGGGAAATTTAACTGGAAGAATTTTTATTGCTGTGGTATTTATTATAGCAAAACAGACTGGAGTCGGTTTGAATCATCACACCAGATTTTTTAAAAATATTTTTAGTTGTGGACGGACACAATACATTTATTTATTTATTTATTTATTTGGTGCTGAGAATTGAACCCAGTGCCTCCCACATGCTAGGCAAGTGCTCTACCACTGAGCCACTACCCCAGCCCCACAAAACAGATTCTTAAACAACACTTGATGTCTTGGGAAAACAGTCCAATTACACCAAGGAGGACTGAAGATATTTCTTACTGAAATATCTTATTGATAGTATATGTGTAGAAGAGGGATGAAGGAGTCATGACAGCATGTCAGGTGTAGGCCTCAGGCTCAAGGGATCGTGGGGGGTTTAAATTTGTAACATTTTCTTTTCTGTAATTTTCTGAAGTTTCTACATTCAACATGTATTAGATTGCTAAGATATTTCTTATACTTGTAATTTCTTTTTTAATCAGGATAACCAAATCAAAAAACTTGAAGTTGAACTTCAACACGTGAATCAGGAATGTCAGAATCTGAGGCTGTCACAGTCAGAGCTGACAGTGAGCCTTGAAGAAAGTCAAGAACAGGTGTGTGCGGCAGTCAGAAGTACCTGATATAGTCCCAGCCTGAAAGAAACATCAACAAAATGCTCATGGACAGCATCGCCAAGCCTAGTTGAGCCCAGAGAAGTTATTAGGCAGCCTGAGGTCATACAGCTAGTAAGGGATTTAACATGTCTAGGACTGGAGCTGGTTCCTTTCTTTTCACCATGCCTCACATATGATCCCTGATGGAGCCATGGTCCCTACTCCTGTCGTGGGTCTCAGAGATGAAGCAAGGGTGAACTGTGTTCTAGATGAAACCTCGGCAAACCAGTTTAAGTTGTTTAGACCTTATCTCCAGTTGCCTGAAGGAGTTGGCTAAGTTATGCAGTTAATCATATTCTGTGACCTCCAGCCAGAGCTGTGCCTCAGAAGTGTGAACTCCTCACTTAAAGAAGGATTAGCATGCATGGCTTGCATGGGTTATACTGCTCCTGTGTAGCAGGCTGCAAAGATGCTGGATGGGACATAACCTGATCCTTCCATAGATCCATCATGAAATCCTAGTACCATCTTGCTGAGGATGACAGGCATAAGTTTTCATGACACGTGGCGAAGCTCTGACTAATGGGAGCTTGGCTGTCGTAATTCCAAATAAAGGGGCTCTCTGAATTCCTAGGTGTTGCAGCATACTCAGGGACCACAAAGAAGGGGGAGTAGGCCCTCCTGCCCTTTCAGTTGTGGAGTATCCTTAAATGCAGAGACTAACTCACCAATGCCTTTGCTTCTGTGTCTGCTAATGACTCTGAACCCTTAGTCATATTACAACCATTGTTACTTCTCTCCATGTAGTTACACAGCGCCCATCTGAGGCTGAAGGCAGCCCAATCCCAGCATGCACAGGAGGTTCAGCACCTGCAGGAGCAGAAGAGCCAGCTAGTGCCTAGGGCCCGTGTGACTGAGCTGCAGCACCTACTCAACGTCCAAGAAAAGGAGGCTGGGAGACGACTGGATGCACAGAGAGTGAGTGGGGGCACCACACTCTGAGCTAGCTATTTGGGAGAAGGTTCTGAAGGCCAGCTGATGGAATGGCAGAGTATGCTTGGATTGCTGGTCCTTAGTTAACCAGAAACTGCCCAACTGTAAAGCCCAAGGCCCAGGAGTGGGTGGCTCTATGGCCACTTCCAGCAACTTGAAGGCTAGTTGTAGAGAAGCTGTGAGCTTCCATTCCTTACCATAACAAAGAGACTCTCTAAGCCTGTGTTGAAGATAGCTCAGGGAGAGGAGGGGATCCTCTCAGAAGTATACAGAAAGGAGTTAGCTGACCCTAAAGGCTACTTCAACCCATCTAAGTCAGGGATCACCTGTGCATAATAAACTACTACTCTACAGACTAGTAGGAATGTCATCTACAGTCACGCTTAGATTTGTACATTTTAGCCAATTTAAATAAGTCCTGTGATGATTCTGTTTTAAATGTAAATACTGGTGTGTAACCTTCTATGACAGGAAGAACATGAAAGGCAGATGAAAACCAAGGAAGGGCAGGCCAAAGAGGCAGAGATGTACTTGCAGAATGTAGAATGGCTCCTACAAGAGAAGGTGGATGAGCTGAGAGAACAAGTGAGTTGCAATGCTTCTTATCATTTCCTTCAGTCCTTCCCCCCTCACACATTTTTTATTGGTACATTATAAACTATACAAAATATTGGGATTCATTGCTATACAAACATATAATGATGCAGGCAACATAAAAATATAATTTGGACAATATCTTTTTTTAAATTTTTACTTTTTTAATTTGTTCTAATTAGTTATATATGACAGTAGAATGCACTCTGACACATCATACATAAATGGTATATAATTTCACATTCTTCTGGTTGTACATGATATAGAATCACACTGGTCATGTAGTCATATATGTACACAGGGTAATAATGTCAGATACATTCTACTATCCTTTATACTCCCATACCCCCTCCCCTCCCTTCAATCCCCTCTACCTAATTCATAGTAATTCTATTCTTCCCTAGCCTGCCCCTCTTATTGTAAATTAGCATCCACATAGCAGAGAAAACATTCAGCCTTTGTGTTTTGGGAATTGGCTTATTTCGCTTAGCATGATATTCTCCAGCTCCATTCCATTTAACAGCAAATGCTATCATTTCATTCTTCTTTAAGCTGAGTAATTATCCATTGTGTATATACACCACATTTTCTTTATCTGTTAATCTACTGGACATCTAGGTTGGTTCCATAGTTTAGCTATTGTGAATTGAGCTTCTATGAACATTGATGTGGCTGCATCACTATAGTATGCTGATTTTAAGTCCTTTGGGTATAAACCAAGGAGTGGGAAAGCTGGGTCAAGTGGTGGTTCCATCCCAAGGTTTCTGAGGAATCTCCATACCACTTTCTCTTTTTTTCTTTTTTTTCATTTCCTTCATAGCATTTATTCAGTGTCTGAAATCATATAATTGATTAGCTTACTTATTACCTGCATTCACCAGAATGTAGGCTCCAATGGAAAAGGTAAATGGTTCAGCTACAGTTATTGAGGAGAGGATAACAGAAGAGCATAGATTTAATTCATTGAAAACAAAACGTTAACATGCTGAGTGTGTTGGCACAGGCCTAGAATTCCAGCAACTCAGGGGGCCAAGGCAGGAAAATTGTAAATTCAAGGCCAGTCTGGGCAACTTAGTGAAGCCCTTCCTAAAAAAAAAAAAAGCGGGGGGTGGGGGGGGGGGGGGTTGGACCGTGATATAACTTGATGGCAGAGTGCTTGCCTCACATGCTGGAGGCTCTTGGTTCAGTCCCCAGCACAGGGAAAAAACAACGTGAACATTACTTTGTGCCTAAAAGAAGAGAGGAGACTGGAGAGAAAAAGTTTCTGTCCTCTCGATTTTAATACTCTAACAAGCTATATTTCTTATATTTTTAAAAAATTAAATCATACATACTCAAACTTTCAGACTGAATAAAGTTCACTATACTTTTAAGAGCAAACACTGGCTCTGCTGTTTGTTTTTATTAAGTCATGGAATAAGTTACTTCACCTCTGAGCCTCAGTTTTTGACCTGAGTTTTGACCATACCACTTTCCATAGTGGTAGTATCAATTTGCAGTCCCACCAGCAATGTATAAGTGTACCTTTTCCCCCACATCCTCTCCAACATTTATTTTTACTTGTATTCTTGATAACTGCCGTTCTGACCAGACTGAGATGAAGTCTCAGTTTTTTGTTTTTTTTTGTAAATTTTAATATTTATTTTTTAGTTTTCGGCGGACACAACGTCTTTGTTTGTATGTGGTGCTGAGGATCGAACCTGGGCCACATGCATGCCAGGCGAGCGCGCTACCGCTTGAGCCACATCCCCAGCCTGAAGTCTCAGTTTTGATTTGCACTTCTCTAATTGCTAGAGGTGTTGAACATTTTTCATATATTTGTTGATTGATTGTGTATCATCATCTGTGAAGTGTCTGTTCAATTCCTTTGCCCATTTATTGATTGGGTTATTTATTTATTTACTTTTGGTGTTAAGTTTTTTGAGTTCTTTATATATCCTGGAGATTAATGCTCATATCCTGGAGATTAAAGCTGTATCTGAGGTGCTTGTGGTAAAGATTTTCTCCCATTCTGTAGGCTCTCTCTTCACATTATTGTTTCCTTTGCTGAGAAGCAGCTTTTTAGTTGGAATCCATCCCTTGTATTGATTCTTGATTTTACTTCTTTAGGAGTCTTATTAAGGAAGTCAGATCCTAGGCTGACATGGTGAGGATCGGGACCTACTTTTTTTCCTATTAGGTGCAGGGTCTCTGTTCTAGTGCCTATGATTCTCTTTGAGTTGAGTTTCATGCAGGCTGATAGATAAGGGTTTAATTTCATTTTGTTACATGTGGATTTCCAGTTTTCCCAGCACCATTTGTTGAATAGGCTATCTTTTCTCCAATCAATGTTTTTGGCGCATTTGTCTAGTAATAGATAACTGTATATATGTGGGTTTGTCTCTGTGTCTTCTATTCTGTACTACTGGTCTACATGTCTGTTTCAGCACAATTTTCCCTTTTATGTTCAGCATCTAACCCAGAAAAAGCCTGTCTTCACAGAATCCAAAGAACCCCATTCCCATTTTGTTTCTTTGGCTCATCTAAACTTCAATTGGAGGATGTACAAATCATTTTCAGTAGATAAAAAAGTAAAAGTAATCTGTAGATTAATTTTGCTAAATATACCCATGCTATATTTTTACAAGATCTCTTTTTGAGATGTTCACACCAAAAAAAGGACATCATTTGTTCATTTATTGGTTCATTCTTTTTTATTTTTCTTTTGGTACCAAGGATTGAACCCAGGGGTGCTCAACTAGTGAGCAACATCCCCAGCCCATTTTTTTTTAAAGAGAGAGGTGTCAGAGAGAGAGAGAGAGAGAGAATTTTTAATATTTATTTTTTAGTTTTCGGCGGACACAACATCTTTGTTTGTATGTGGTGCTGAGGATCGAACCCGGGCCGCACGCATGCCAGGCGAGCGCGCTACCGCTTGAGCCACATCCCCAGCCCCCATTTTTTATATTTTATCTAGAGATGGGGTTTTGCCAAGTTGCTCAGTGCCTCAATTGGCTTTGAATTCGAAATCCTCCTGCCTCAGCCTCACAAGCCACTGGGATTATAGGCATGCACCATTGCACCTGGCTTGTTGATTCATTCTTTCAGAAGATGCCTTCTGGCACTTACTGTTGGCTAAGGTATCACTCTAGGCAGACCCTGGGGTACCTCAGGGACCTTTGATCTGGAGGTGACAGAAGCCTCCAGATAGTACAAGTGACCTGAGCCATGGTCACATTTTGAGAAAGAGGATGAGGAGATGGAGAGATGTGGGTGTGGTAGGCAGGACCACTCTGAGTAGTGGCATTGGGCCAGACACCCAGTGATCCAGCATGGGTAGGTCTAGATGCGTCCCAGGCAGAAGACAGGTGGACTTTGGAAGTCTCCCTTGCCTACTAGGTGCAGCCTGTGCATTAGGAGTTGTCCTCCAAGTTACATGGGAGTGTGAAAAGACACACACATCTCCATGTGCTAGGACTTTGAGGAGGTGCTTTGAGGCAGGAGAACCCAGGCAAACGTCTTTAGACTGGGACCAAGCATGATATCTTTGAAAGCCCAGGAGGTAATCACTGGGGATGGTGTGAATTCACTGGGATGGCATTACAGGGAGACAGAGCCTGTCATGTTCTATAGGCCATAGTCAGAAGTTTGGGTTTTATTTTAATTGTTAGAAGCCACTGGAAGGTTTTAAATAAAGGAAATTTTTTGTTTGTTTGTGGGATCGAACCCAGGGCCTTGTGCACGCAAGGCAAGCACTCTACCAAACTGAACCATATCCCCAGCCCAGAAAGGTTTTTTTTGTTTGTTTGTTTGTTTGTTTTTTAAGTAAGGAAGGTTTTAAGTACAAAAGGTTTTAAGGTTTTCAGCCAAATAACAACAGGGAAAAGTAATATGGGCTGTTCTCAGGAGCAAAAATATTAAAAGGGGGGGCAGCCATAGCTCCCCTGATCTATAAAAGTTTATAATGTGATGGTGGTTGGCAACATGCCCAGGGTGGCAACAGTGCAACAGCATGGTGTGTCACGTTGGTGGAGGCAAGGCCCCAGCACTGCAGGAGCCGAATGAAGTGGGACAATGAGGTTAGACACCAGCTGGGTATATGCCACTATCTCCATTCACTGCTTCAAGAAATTAAAGGAGATGTGAAAATCTGGAAAAATATTTTTTCGCTAGCAATTGAGTATAGTTTGATTTACCAGAGTGATCCTGAGCTGATCCAAATTGGGTGAGACATTTGGACCTTTTTCTTCTGAGTCTTGATTATGTGGAAGTTTCCCATTGTAGTTACCCTGATTGAGATCCTCTTCCTTAATACCTACCCTTCCCTGCCAGTGCAGTCCACTGTCCCTCCCACTGTTATCTCACTCACCTACTCTGGTGACACACTCTTCCAGTTACTACCTCAGTTTGTCCTTGCTCCTGGAAAACCTTAATTCTTGTTAAATCCTGTGACTCCTGCCCACCTACCCCTGTCCCATAGGCCCTATGCTAGCTCCCTCTATGGCTTGCACCCCTCCTTCCTGAGAAACCCCTCCCCTCTACCTCCTCTCTGACCCCTGGCTCCTGTAACCTCTTCTATCACCTGTGGTTTTGCTGCTTATTTCACATGAGACCAGACTCCCCAGGGAGAACCTGCTAGCATTCTGACATCTTGTCACCCATGTCCTGCATCCTCCACCTCTTCTCTGGCCACTACCTCCACAGCCGCTCTTTCCTGGTACCCTCACTGCCACTAGGAAACAAATCTTATAGCTCCCTATCTTCCCCAGCCCTACCAGTTCTCCTCTCCTCTTGAGTTTGTGAACCTGTCACTCCCTCCCTGAGTTCACACCTAATCCTTAGAGCCACCCTCAAAGTAGATACTGAGTCTAACCACAACTCACTTCATCTCTGGCATTCTGACTGGTTTCCTGTGTCTTCCACCAGTCAACTCTCAGCACATCTTTTAAAACATGAATTTCATCCAGTCCTCAGAACCAGCCTTCCCATGTCTCCCAAGTAAAAAAATACAGTTTTTACAATAGCATCTGAAGTCCCAGAGTTCCCTCCCTTTTCCCTCTCTCCTCCCCTTGTCTGCCTCCGGCTATACATGTCCCTCTAGCCACAGTTCACCCCAACTACATGCCAGCCACGGGGCTTGTTCTTCCCTCTGCCTGTGGTGTCCACACCTAATGATTTGCTCCCTGGTTTTGTTCACATCTCTTATTCAGATATCCTCAGAAATGTGGTTTACCCCACCCAAAATGAAACATGCACAGCCCACCCCCAGCTATCTGTCCACTGCTGGGTTCCTTAGCAAATGCATGCTTCTGCCCTCTGCCTTCTCCTGTTAGAATACGTGCTCCATGAGAACAGGGATGTTACTAGAATAGTGTGCACACATGGGGGTGTGTAGTAACTACTTGTTAAGTGAACAGATTCCATGTGGGGATCACAAAGCCCAATACTCAGCCCTGAGCCTTCATGTCTCAGGAAAGATCATGGAAGGGCTGCTGACTTGAATAGCCTGGGTCCACCTCTGAAGCCTGTCCTGCTGTGGTTTGTGTGATGACTGGCTCACACACACAGCTACAAGGGAGAATGCAGTACCTCCATGTGTCCTGTGTGACATCACAGGCAGCACAGCACCCCAGACAAATCAAACATTTTTGGCAATCTTGAAGATTTTGTTTCACACTGCATTAAAACAAGAGGGCTTTTTATTTTGAGTCCCGATTTTGGTCTTTTTAAGTCTTTATTTCATGGTTTAAAAAAAAAAAAAAAAAAGATTCTCACGAAGTTGCCTTCAATTATCCACCACATGATTCAGCATATTCTCAATTTCCTCCCTCAGGCCAGGGAACAAATATACCATATCTAATATTTGCATCACATCTGTAAGAACCCAAAATTATGCTTGGAACAGAGATGAAAGGATAAGAGGGAGCAGGCTTGTTTGTGTAACTTTTCTGCCCTGGATTCACAGTAAAGCATGGCTTTTTCTTCTCTCTAGTTCAAAAAGAACACTAAATCTGATCTGCTGCTCAAGGAACTCTATGTGGAAAATGCTCACCTCATGAAGGCTCTTCAGGTCACAGAAGAGAAGCAACGAGGTGCTGAGAGCAAAAACCGCATTTTGGAAGAAAAAGTCCATGCTCTCAACAAACTTATCAATAAGATTGCCCTAGCATCCCTCTCTGTGTAAATACTGCTGGTTTCCTAGAATTCATTCTAAGGAATGTTTTCTGTTTTTGCAGTACTGGGGATTGAACCAAGGGGTGCTCTATCACTGAAAAACATCTCCAGCCCTTTTAAAGAATTTTTAAAAAATTTTTTTTGTATAGGGTTTAAATTGCCTAGGCTGGCCTGGAACTTGGGATTTCCTATCTCACCACCCAAGTACGATAACAGGGATTATAGGCCTGGGCCATTATACCCAGCTTGAAGAACATCTTTTAAAATTAAGCCACTCTGATTCCATAATTTGCTATGGTTCATCATCTGTGCACCCTCAGAAACTAAGGATTGTAATTCTTCACCCCAAAATTAACGAATGTCCACTATGTGCCAGATGCTGGAAAAATATGCTGGTGCAATAGAGAATGTTTTGTATTAGCTATCAGGGATAATTTCCAGTCTTGTTACATACTAATGAAACAGATTTTGGGGGTTCTCAGCAAAGAACAGCTAAGAGAGTTGTTAAATTTTCAGTGTTGTATCTTTGAAAGCGCTTGATGGTTGGCCTGTACACACATTCCAGAAAGGCTTCGGTTGCTGAGAACGGTCAACCAGCAATACAGGAGGGGACAGAAACCCTGCAGGTACTGCTCCCTTTGAGGGTAAGTCTGGGAAGAGCCTAAGTTCTGTGGACTCAGGGATGATCATGTTTATTGCAAATGCAATCTTTTCTTCCTTGAAATGTCATCACACTGGAAATTGTACCTATGTAAAAAAAAGTATAGTTTTCTATCTGAAATATACATAAATTATGGCCATTTGGTTTATCAGAATGTACTACTGTAATATGAAGTCACTGTATTTACAATAAATTCTTTTCTATTAAAATTGTTTTTTAAAATTTTCAAACATAGAAAATCATTTCATAAGAAGCACCCATGTGCACATCAACTAGATGTGTTTGAGGTAACTTTCTGCTACAATCTTTTAGAATAGAGGTGGAAAGCTAGGTCTTTCTTTCTTTTCTTTTTTTTTTTTTGAGAGAGAGAACTTTTTAATATTTATTTTCTAGTTCTCGGTGGACACAACATCTTTGTTTGTATGTGGTGCTGAGAATTGAACCCGGGCTGCACGCATGCCAGGCAAGCGTGCTACGCTTGAGCCACATCCCCAGCCCCGAAAGCTAGGTCTTTCATTCTTGATCTTCTTCCCTCGGGGCAGCCACCATCCTGATGCTGGCATGCCACCTCTTCTTTTGGCACTTACTATAAATGTTACAGGATAAAAATTTGATAGCATTATGGAAGGACTCAAAAGATTTTGAGAATTGTTTTAAAACTGTAAACTGGTGATAGAACGCAAGTTCTCGTTTTGTTTTAATAATGGGTATTTAGGCTGGCCTCAAACTTGTAGTTCTCCTGCCTTAGCCTCCTGAGTCGTTAGGACTCCAGATGTGTGCCACCACACCTGGTGGTTAGAGTGGAACTTCTTCCATACTGATGAAAGGCATCTACAAAAACTTTAAAAGCTTACATTATACTTAATGATAAAAGACTGAATGCCTTCCACTTGGTGATCAGGATTAAGATGTGTGTTCTCTACTTTTATCCAACACTCTACTGGTGGCTCTAATTAGTACAATCAGGCAAGAAGAAGAAATAAATGTATTTTGATTACAAAGGAAGGAGTAAAAACTTTCATAAGAAAACATGACTATGGATGTGGAAAATGATCTACAAAAAAGCTATGAAAGTAAATAAATTTAGCAAGACAGCAGGATACAAACCCAACAATCAATTTTCTTTCTGTTTACTAACAATTAGAATCTGAAATTTAAAATACTATTCCAAAACTAAGTAATACTAAACCTGTAAACTGAAAACTACAAATTATTGAGAGAAATGGAGACAGAAATAATTGGAAAGAAATCTTTATTTCTGGATCAAAAGAGTTGTTAAGATATCAGCTCACATATCAGAACAGAACTGAGGGTCCAGAAATAAACCTGTACATACACAATTTTTTAAAAAGATGCAAAGGTAATACAGCAGAGAAAGAATAGCCTTTTCAACAAATGGCACTGTTAAAGTTGGATCCATAGGACCTGGAAAGGAAAACAAAAGTGAACTTGGAAGCATACCTTGTAGCATAAACAAAAAGTAACTCAAAATGGATCATAGACCTAAGTGTAAAACTTAAAAAACTATAACTCCTGGGCATTCTTATATAGATGAAAAAAGGAAATAAATTGTGACCTTAGTGGGAAGAGTTCAACAGATGCAACACTAAATAATAAACAGATGGGATTTAACCAAAATTTTAAAAAGTCTACTCTTGCCAGGTACAGTGGTACACATCTGTAATCCCAATCACTCAGGAAGCTGAGGCAAGAGGATCACAAATTCCAGGCCAGCCTTATCAACTCAGTGAGACTCTGTCTCAAAAAGAGAATGAGGATGTGGTTCAGTGGTTTAGGTGCCCGAGTAGAATACACAAGACCTTAGATTCAATCCTCAGCACCTGGGGGCCCGGGAGAACAGAATGCGCACCCACTCATTTCACATGATAAGAATACTGACACCAAACCTGGGTCTGGTGACCACTGTGTTCCAGCTTCATGTGGTTTGCATGGTCCTTTAATTGAACCTGAGTAGTCTATGACTGTGCTAATGGAATGTAGCACCACGCCCAGCCTTCCAAAAAACAGCTCCCACTTCCACTGTCTATATTGTGAGGACCTTGAGCTGCCAGGTGAAACCTGCCACTTTTGAGAACAATATGAGACCACACAGATAAAGTGAGCCATCCCAGCCAGGCCACCATCAGAAGGCAATCTTGCAAGCAAGATCTGCAGAACTGCCAAGCTGAGCTCACTCAAGTCACAGAAATGTGAGAAAATAAAATAATGTGGTTTAAAGCCACCACATTTCAGGTAGTTTGTTTCAAAGGAAGAGATAACTCAAAACACTGACAAGGGCCAGGCGCAGTGGTACACACTGGTAATCCAATTGCTTGGGAGGCTAAAGCAGGAGGATCACGATTTCAAAGCCAGCCTCAGCAACTTAGCAAGGCCCTAAGTAACTCAGTGAGACACTATCTCTACATAAAATATTTTAAAAAGGCTGGGGATGAGGCTCAGTACCTCTGGGTTCAATCCTCAGTACCTAAAAAAAAAAAAAAAAAAAAAAAACCAAGGCATAGACACACACACCCACGAATATAGTTCCATTCACTTTACTTGAAAACAAATGACAAGACAAATAGGATTGTACTCCACCTACGGCACAGCTAATAATGGCCACACAAGATGGTAATATTTAGTAAAGAAAGGGAACTTAACCTACTATTTTTTTTTCTTTCTTGTTTTTTGTGGTGCTGAGATTTGAACCACTGAGCTATATCCTCAGCCCTTCTATTTTCTACATTGTACTGTTTTTACTTTTTTTAACCTGTATACATATTACCTTTAGAAGAAAAAAATGATTTATGTTTAAAATTCCAGTCACAATTACAGAGAGTCTGTCAATATAAATTGACACAAATACCACAATTTTGAATTTTCAACTGATATTCATTAATTTCACATAAGGACTCAGGCTGGGTGACTAACCCCCTATTTTGAGATGGTAAGTGAGCATCAAGTCTTACAAACATGTATTCCAGAAATTTGGGACCCTGGCATACAAAATTCATATTACCAGAAAACACTCAAGATTCATAAGGATCTGCCTTCTTTCTGTACAGCCATGAAACTCCCTTTATTTCAAAGAGATTCAAACTTATGAATATTTATTTTCATTTATAAAAACATACTGTAATAACAATGAGAATGTTTTGATTATAGATAGAACTTAAAATTTTTTTTGGGGGGGGGAGGGTTTACCAGGGATTCAACCCATAGGCACTTTATCACTGAACCAAACCATATCCACAGTCTCACTAAATTGCTTAGGGCTTGCTGAGGCTAGCCTTGAGCTTGTAATCCTCCTGCCTCAGCCTCCTGAGTAGCTGGGATTACAGGCATGTGCCACCACATGTGGCCAGATACAGCTTTTTTCCAGAAAGGAGCAGAAGGAATGGTATATACACAGAAACAAAGGTCCTTAATACACCTTGGCCAACTATTTCTTTTTTTTCTTTCTTTTTTTTAAAATACATTTTAGGTATTGGGAATGGAACCCAGGACCTCCCATGTATGGGACAAGCACTCTACCATTAAACAAACCCCAGTTCTTTTTGGTTATCTTACAGTCATCTGTAAATTTTAAATCCAAGAGGGAGGTGCGGGGAGGAGAGTTAAAGTATAGACATTTTTGTGGAATGTGTTCAGCCTCATCCTTGGCAAAGCCTCCCCATGTGGTCACCATGAAACGAAGTCATGACAAGACACAATTACGACAAGACATGCTCCAGAACTCCTTGTCTGATCAACTGCTCACACTTCCATCGAGGCAAAAAGTGCTACAGAGGAAAAGGAATAAAAGGAAGAAGAGTAAGAAAAGTGACTTGAGAAAAAATTTTAAATTACATTTTTTAAGCAGTACTCTTTATATTTATTGTCATAAATGCTTTTCCAATTACATTTTGCATCATTAAAATACAGCAGTTGATTATGTTTTGAAAGCTAAGTAATGAAAAGCTAAACTTTATTTGTTGTTATAATCAACTAAAATTGATGCCATTTGTAGCTATAGTGAATCAAAACTACTCAAGAAGCAAAATGTAATTTCAGTCACACTGCACTGGATATCCTACCTCACAAACCCAAAGGCCCTATGAAAGACCTCTGTACCAAATTCTTCCAAACCAGTCATGGGGACACAAAGACCAACAACTATTATCTAAACAATGCCTTCCACATTGTCAAGTATTAAAGAACTTATGGTAAGAAAATGTTTTCCTTTTAATGTTTACATTATATAGATGATGTACACCACAGATTCTATAGACAATCAATTTTAGATATGGTCTGAATTATTGATTGTTTGGAACTTGCAATAATCTTGCGTCAGTCTCCCAAGTCACCAGGAATACAGGCATGTGCTATCATGCCCACCAAAACAGTCAAGATGATAAATTTTATGTTTTATATATTTTACTATAATTTCTTGTTCAGTGATGAGGACTGAACCAGAGACATGGTAGGCAAGACCTCTATCACTGAGCCACATCCTTATCCTGGTATGACATTTTAGAAACCCCTTGCATCAAATAATTGATAATAAGTTTCAAATACAGTTATGTTTTATGTTAATGTCTCTATTTCTACAGTTGAGGGAAAGATGATAGCTGGTAGACAAAACGTTAAAAGTATCAAAAGAGGAAAGCTTTGTTTATATGTCCACAAGGAGCAGATGAGTGTTCCAAGGAATCATTGCCTGAGCACACAGCAGACAATCAGAAATAAAGCCTAAAAAACAGATTCAACCACAGGACAGTTTGGGGATGAAGTGGTATCTTTACATTTACATATCTTGCTTTCTGAGGACACCTTTGCTCTTACTACAACTTCCTGCTGAATCCTCTGGAAATACAGTCTTTATTATGACAGCATGAATTTATCACTTGATTTTGATTCACTGGTACATACCTCTAAGAGTTATGAGAATGAAATTGCTTTAACAACCAAAGATTTTATGGTACCCTTAAAATCTATTTTTAAAATATTCAATCTTTGTTTTAGGAGGCAATTGCTATAAAGTAACAGTAAAGTAGACCAACTCACCTTGTTAGGGAAATAAGCCTAAGTACTATGTGACCTGAAGCATTTTTTTGCTCCTGGGCTTAGTCAGCACCAGTGACTTTTGGTATCCTTAGACTTTCAACAGGTCAGTACCAAGATGACAGACAAACAAAGAAAAAGCGGCTCTTATAAAAGCCACAAAAATCACTCATATACTGTGATTTCACAAAATAGGAATAGTGTAAAAATAAATTTAGCTAATGTGAACCCATCAAATATGAAGACTGTTAAGGAAACATGCTTTATGAAGAAAAATTTAGCTCCAGTTATAATTTTACAACTTCCATCTTTCCCTATTAAATTGTTATATTAGCCAGGTACAGCCCACACCTATAATCCCAATGACTCAGGACACTGAGGCAGGAGGATCACAAGTTTGAAGCCAGCCTTAGAAACTTAGCAAGACCATGTCTCAAAATAAAAATAAAAGGGGCTGGGATATAGCTGAATGATAAAATGCTCCCAGGCTCAAACAGAAAGTCATATATAAATTACTAAGAAATTCTTTGCCAAATAATTAGGAAAATGATTGCATGGGAACTTTTTTTTACTACTTATAATTTGAAGACAGAAACTAAATCCAACATTTTAATAGCCCCAGATCATGATCTACTGTATACCTAGCATAAGGCCCATAAAAATAATTTCCCTGGAAAATGCTTAATATTAAATATGTTTAGAAAAAATAAACATAATGCCTAAAGTATAGGTGATCACAAGATGATATTTATTTTGCTACTGACTCTACATTTCCACACTCATTACTCTTAACAAGATTCAAGGTAAAATATCTAATGACAAGAAATACCTGGCTGTTTTTTTTAAGTAGGACTGAAGTGCCATCATCATCAACTTCAAATTCCCCATAGTCTTTTAGACACCGCACCTAAAAGGAAAAAAAAAAAAACTAATACTTTATCTAAATTTTTTGGTTTTTTCATTCTTTCTTTAAGATGTTCAGGATGATTCTGAACTCCTGGACTCAAGCGATCCTCCTGCCTCAGCCTCCCAAATGGCTGACACTACAGATTCATGCCACTGTACCCAACTTAAAATATTTTTAATAGGTAGTAAACAAGAAGAAATCAGGTAACACCTGAATACCTACAGAGTAAAATATTAGGCTTTCCATCTGTTTCCTTTCTGTATACTTAGGTCTAGTGCTACTACTGTGATATTCTCATGGTTCTAATTGTCCTGCTTTGATAGGGAAAAAGAAAAATGGCAAAATCTCTGTATGTGTATGTGTATTAATGTTGAAAGCAAGAACATCCAGGGAGCTGAATAAAGAAGATATCATTGGATCCTTTCCCCTCTGAAAATCCTGAAAAAGTAAGCTTTTGAAATGTCTACCTACAAAAAGTTTAGATCTCCTCCAGACTGATTCTTGTAGATCTCACCCATAAAATTTTTTTCCATACGATTTATTTTTACTTTTAGTCATACACGACAGCAGAATGTATTTTGACATATAATACATACATGGAATGTACATACATCAATCATACTGTCTATTCTATTCTGCTGCCCTTCCTATCCTCCCTACTCCTCCCCTCCTCTCCCATCCTTTCTCTCTATCCAATTTAATGTGACACACTTTTTTTTCTTTTTCTCATCACAACATCATATATGTATTCTGTATAACAATGAGGTTCTCCTTCCATCTTCCGTGCAACTCCCCTTCTCCCTCTTTTTTCCCTCCCACCTCTCTTCCCCATTTAGTGGTAGTCTTCTTCTCATGCTCTTCCTCCCTATCCCATTTTGAGTCACCCCCCTTATATCAGAGAAAACATTCGGCATTTGTTTTTTAGGGATTGGCTAACTTCACTTAGCATAATCTGCTCTAATGCCATCCATTTGCCTGCAAATGCCATGATCTTATTTTTTAGTGCTGAGTAATATTCCATTGTGTATAAATGCCACATTTTTAATCCATTCATCTATTGAAGGGCATCTAGGTTGGTTCCACATTCTAGCTATTGTGAATTGTGCTGCTATAAACATTGATGTGGCTGTGTCCCTGTAGTATGCTCTTTTTTTTTTTTTAAATATTTATTTTATTTATTTTTGTTTTTGGCGGACACAACATCTTTGTTTGTATGTGGTGCTGAGGATCGAACCCGGGCCGCACACATGCCAGGCGAGCGTGCTACCTCTTGAGCCACATCCCCAGCCCAGTGTAGTATGCTCTTTTTAGGTCTTTTGAGTATAGTCCGAGAAGGGGAATAGCTGGATCAAATGGTGGTTCCATTCCCAGTTTTCCAAGGAATCTCCATACTGCTTTCCAAATTGGCTGCACCAATTTGCAGTCCCCCCAGCAATGTAAGAGTGTACATTTTTCCCCGCATCTTCGCCAGCACTTGTTGTTTGACTTCATAATGGCTGCCATTCTTATTGGAGTGAGATGGTATCTTAGAGTAGTTTTAATTTGCATTTCTCTGATTGCTAGAGATGGTGAGCATTTTTTCATGTATTTGTTGATTGATTGTATATCCTCTTCTGAGAATTTTCTGTTCAAGTCCTTGGCCCACACACCCATAAAATTTTTATCAATACCTGAGAATAGGACAGAGTTTGCCAAATGTCTACTTTTAGAACAGATTATTCCAATCTCCTTTGGTCATCAGACTTCCCTAGGATTCTTAGTGTACACCATGAAGGAACAGATGCAGCCTCACATGACAAGAATTGGGAAAAGTTGTTGTTTGGAAAAATGAGGTAGCCTTTTGATAATCAATCACCTTTAAAACTGTAAAGAGACACTGAAAATAAGCAGGACAGTTTTCCTCCTCTCTAAGAACCCAGACTAGTATTCATTCTTAAGTACTAGGACTGGCTTCAAAACACTGCTACTGCTGGGCACAGTAGCACACACCTATAATCCCAGTGACTCAGGAGGCTGAAGCGGATTCCCAAGTTTGAAGCCAGCTCAACAACTTAGCAAAGCTTTAAGCAACTTACTGAGACGCTGTTTCAAAATTTAAAAAAAGGGCTGAGCACTTAGCTCAGTGGTAAAGTACCCCTGGGCTCAATCAATTTCCAGTACCAAAAAACAAACAAACAAGAAAGAAAAGAAAAAAATGCTGTTTCCTTCCAGTAAAGCCAACTTAAGTGTCTCATACTTTTCCAGATAATTGCACCATGTCCTATGATTACTCCAGAATCTTACCAAAGTATTTTAACCTTGAAATACTATTCTAAAAAATCTCCACCACCTCCTATTTATTTCTTTAAGCAGAAATTTATTTATTTGCCTCTCTGGATGGAGAGAAGATTGCTGGGGATTGAGTCGAGGGCCTTATGTGTGTTAAGCATAAGCTCTACCACTGTACTACATCTCCAGCCCTAGACTGGACAAAAAAAATCCACAGCCAACATATCAATTGTGAAGGACTGAAATCTTTTCTGCCAAGTTCAGAAACAGTGTAAAAATGCTCACTTTTGTCACTTATGGAAAACCCTGAACACATTCAAAAGTAAAAAAGACTAATGATACTCCATATTCACTTCAACTAGCTTAAACAATTATTAACATGTGGCCAAACAGGTTTCCCTCCTTCACTTTTGAATTATTTTCATATCTATTACTAGAAAATAAAATTCTTTTTAAAAACATAATCACATTACTATCTCAACACTTTTTTAATATCTTGAAATAGTCATTAAATATCCAAATGTCCCCAATTGTCTCATGATTTTTTCTTAAGTTTCTAGATTGAAATCAGAATTCACTTAGAGTTACAAAATACATGTTTTTGTTGTTGTTGTTGTTTTTTTTTTTTTGGTCTTAATGTATAGGTTTCCCTCCCTCTTTTATTAACTTTTTTTTTCTTCCTCCTGGCAATTTATCTGTTGAAGAAACTGAGTGGGTAGTTTGATACATCTTGCAACAATCAAGATTTTGGTGGGTCATTTACCATGATCCTCTTCCTGAATTTCCTATAAACTGGAAGACAGGTCTAGAGGTTTTTTTTCAGACAAGGTTTTGTATTTTGGCATTTCCTGTACTTCCTCTTATAAGTGGTCCTTTCTGGATTTTAAAAATGATCAGTGGATCTAAGTGTTATCCATAACTATCCATCATAAAAGTCCAACTATTCACACAAAGATTAAGTAACTATTTTCTTCTAGCATTAGGGTTTATAAAATGGCATTAGGTCTATCTTTTATTCCTACTGCTTTTGTTAACTGGAATTACATAACAAGTTTCCCTCATAAACTCTGGTGCTTCCCTGAGATAGTCTGTACTACTAATTTATGACCTTTCAAAATGACTTTGATCCTTCATTCTCCAACAGGACTACATAATCACTTCCATATGTACGAGAAAAAGCACTTGGCAAAATTCAACACCTTTTCGTGACAAAAACACTTAACAAACTAGGAACAGAAGGAAACTATGTTAACATAATAAAAGCCATACACAAAAAAATCCACTGCAGTAGCCAGGTGCAATAGTACACACCTGTGATCACAGCAACTCTGGGGCTGAGGTAGGAGGATTGCCAATTTGAGGCCAGCCTCAGGACCTTGTGCCCTATCTCAAAATAAAATTTTTAAAAACGGGTTAGGGATGTGGCTCAATAGTAGAATGCTTGCCTAGAATTCATGAGGCCCTGGGATCAATTCCCAGCACCACAAAATCAGTAAATCAGTTAATTAATTTTAAGAGCACTTGCCTTAGCATGTGCGAGGCCCTGGGTTTGATCCTCAGCATCACACAAAAATAAATAAAGATATAAATAAATAAATAAGGGCTGGGGTATAAATCAGTGGCACAGCACCCCTGGATCTGATCCCCAGTAATGCAAAGGAAAAACAAAATCCACAGCAAACATATCAATTGTGAAGGACTGAAATCTTTTCTGCCAAGTTCAGAAACAGTGTAAGAATGCTCACTTTTGTCACTTCTGTTTAATATGTAATTGGAAGGTATAAATGAGTAATTGGGCAAGAAAAAAATAAAAGCATCTAAATTAGAAAGAAGTTCAGCATGGTAGTGTTCTTCTGTAATCCCAGCTGCTAAGGCAGAAGGACCACAAATTCCAGATCAGCCTCAGCAATTTGGCAAGATCCTGTCTCAAAAAACAAACACCAACAGAAAGAATTAATTATTTCTGTCCATAGCTGATACGACTGATATGACTGTACATGTAGAAAACCTTAAAGATCACTTCAACACACACAAAAAACTGTAACTAGTGAATGAATTTAGCAAAGTATCAGGATACACAGACAACACACAAACCTCAGTTCCATTTCTATACACCAACAATGAAAATATGAAAAAGGAAATTACAAAAATAATCCCATTTATATAACATGAAAAAGAATACAATACTTAGGAATTAACTTAGCCAGGGAAATGAAAGGCTTGTCAATGAAAACTATTAATCACTGCTGAAAGAATTTAAAGAAGATAATAGTAAGTGAATATACCACCCATGTTCATGAATTAGAAGATACAATATTAAGAGGTAAACAGTACTCAAACCAATCTACAGAGTCAATACAACCCCTATTAAAATCTCAATATAACTTTTATAAAAATTTCAAAGATATATTTTGGACAAATAAAAATCAATCCATAAAATCTCTAGAGACCTCAAACAGCCAAAGCAATCTTGAAAAAGAACAAATTTTAGGGACTCATTTCCTGATTTCAAAACCTACTACAAGGCTTCAATAATTAAAATAGTCATAGTTCTGGCATAAAAACACACACATAGCAATGGAACAGAATACAAAATAAACTCTTTTTTTAATATATACTTTTTAGTTGTATGTGGACATAATATCTTTATTTTATTTTTTTATGTGGGGCTGAGGATCAAACCTAGTACCTTACATGTGCTAGGCTGAGCCACAACTCCAGTCCCCAAAATAAACTCTTGAATGGTCTTATGAAAAGGGTACCGAGACCATTCAATGCAGAAAGAAAAATCTTTTCAAGAAAGACGTACAAAAGAAGAAATGTTGGAGTATTACATTACACCATATACAAAAACTGACCTAAAGCACAACTCTTAGAAAACTTAGGGCAGAAGCTGTACAACTTTGGATTTGGCAACGATTTCTTGGATATAGCACCAAAAGAACAAGCAGCAACAACAACCACAGACAAACTGGATGGCATGAAGCTCCAATCTTTTGTGCATGTGAAGAAAGTACTAACAACTTAAAAAGGTAATCCACAGAATAAGAGAAAATATTTGCAAATCATATATGTGAAAAAGGATTACTATCCAGACTATAGAGAACCTAAAACTCAACAAAAATGTAAACCCAATTCAAAATGGGCAAAGAAACCTGAAAAGATATTTTTCCAGACACATAAATAGCCAAGAAACGTGAAAAGATGCTCAACATCACTAATTAATTCATCTCAAACCTAAAATGAGATAACATTTCTCACAAAAAATTATGGATGGCCATAATTTTTTAAAAAGGGAAAAATATGATATAAATTTTGGTGAGGATGAAGAGAAACTGAAACCTTACATGCATTATTAGGAGAATGTAAAATGGTATAGCACTTGTAAAACAGTACGGCAGTTCCTCAAAGTTTAAACACCATGTGACACAGCAATTCTATTTGGGGTATACACCAAAAAGAAATGAAAGCAGGGTCTCAAATTGTATGCGTGTGTGTGTGTATGTTTACTGAAGATGAAAGCCAGGGAATTGCCACTACTAAGAGTGCACTGAGATACATCTCCAACCCTTATTTTTAAACAGGGTTTCACTGGCCCAGGCTGGCCTCAAACTTACAAACCTCCTCCCCAATCTCCCTGGAATTACAGTATCCATCAATGGATAAATGGATAAGGAATATGGTTTACCCATAAAATGGAATATTACTTTAAGTAAGACCTAAAAAAGGAAAGAAATTCTGACACATGCTACAAAATGGATGAATCTTGAAAACATTATGCTACATAATAAGCCTGTCACAAAAAGACAATTACTTTATGATTCCACTTCTATAAGAAACTTAATAGTTAAAATCATAAAGACAAAGTAGGAGCTGGGGTTGTGGCTCAGTGGTAGAGTGCTCACCTAGCATGCGTGAGGCACTGGGTTTGATCCTCAACACCACATAAAAATAAAGATATTGTGTCCACCAAAAAAAAAAAAAAACCAAAAAAAAAAAAATATTAAAAAAAAAAAAAAGACAAAGTAGACGGTGGTTTGCAAGGGCTAGGAAGAGAGGAGATTTGGGGTATTACTGTTTAGTGGGTTTAGTTCCAGTATTATGAGGCAAAAAGAAATCTGGACATGGATGGTGTGAGGGTTGCACAATATTATGAAAGCATTTAATACTTTCTGAACTATATACTTAAAGGATAGGTAAGCCGGGCATGATGGTACATGCCTGTAATCCCAGCAACTTGGGAGGCTGAGGCAGAAGGATCACAAGTTCAAAGCCAGCCTCAGCAATTTAGGGAGACCCTAAGCAATTTTTGAGAGCCTATTCCAAACTAAAAAATAAAAAGGGCTAGGGATGTGATTCAGTGGGTACAACCCCTGATACCAAAAAAGAAGATGGTTAAGATGATGAAATTTATGTTTTGTATATTTTAGTGCAATAAAATAGGGGGAAAAGTTTAAAAACCAAACAGAAATAATTCCTATTTGTCTAGTTTATCAACCTGAAAGATAGGTTCATTTGTTTCACTGTTTTCAAAATTTAGGGATTCCTCTGATCCCTGGCATCTCCACAGGTAGGGGTGGAGGAGGTGGAATAGGGACTGGGTTTCCATTTTGATTAAATTTTGTTTTCATAATAAGTAAAACATTCATATGGTTCCAGAGATAAAACTATAAAACAAAGTATGGTCACAGAATTTTAGCTGTTTTATTGCTACCATCCCCATATTGGTCACCCAACTTTATTGATTTGGGCTTATGCTTCCTTTATTTTTAAGTAGCAGCTAACATGTATTCATTCATATCCCTCTCCCTCACCTTAGACAAAAAGAAGCACAACCTATACATTAAAAAATGTACATACTAGGTGCAACGCCACATGCCTCTAATCCCAGTGGCTCAGGGGCTAAAGCAGGAGGATCATGAGTTCAAAGCCAGTCTGAGCAAATTAGCAAGGTCCTAAGCAACTTAGTGAGACCCTGTCTCTAAATAAAAATATTAAAAAGGGCTGGTGATGTGCTCAGTCATTACGCACCCTTGGGTTCAATGCCTGGTACCAAGAAAAAAAAAAAAAAAAAAAAAAAATATATATATATATATATATATACATACTTCAATATATAAACTTTTTGGAGGTTTCATATCCTGTGTGATGTCCAAACCTTCATCTCCTCCCAGTGACCTCATATAGGTAGCAAGGGACTTTTTATACTGATTAAACCACTCTATCTGCAAATATAAATACAGTCATTTAATAAAGTTATAAGAAAACTTGCACAAATTATACACTCAGCCTTTCAGAAACAGCATATACATCCCAATGTAGATCACTATTATGGCCATTCATTCATTTTACACTGCAATTATTGATTGCGTTCTATGAACCTGGCACTGTTGTGGATACTTAGGAGGGAACATTCAACAAAATGACAAAAATCTCTGCTTTCAAAAGTTTATAACATATTAATCATAAACCTATATTTATGATTGGAAACATCATAAAAACAACATTTCAGAATTACAAACACAATTATAAAATAGCATTGATGCTATTTCTGAAAATTAAAAAATACTTTTGAGAAAACAACCCAAGTATGCATCAACCGATGAATGGATATATATATCCACACAATAAAACAGTATTCAGTCATAAACAGAAATAAAGTTCTGAAACGTTTTTTACCACACAGATGAACCTTGAAAATTTAAACTAAGTGTAAGAGGTAGAAGGCAATATATTGCCATGATTCTACTCATGAAAAACCCACAGTAGGCAAAGAGACAAAAGTAGATTGGTGATTTCTAAGTACTGAAATGGAGAAATTATGGAGTAACTGATGAAGAATACATGGTTTCTTTTGGGGGTGAGGAAAATATTCTGGAAAAGAATGATAGTAATGGATATACAATTCTGTAAGTGTACTGAAAACCAATGAATTTTATACTTTAAAATGATAACATTGTGGTATAAGAAAGGTATCATAGGGCTGGGGATATAGTTCAGTTGGTAGAGTACATTCCTTGCATGTTCAAAGGCCCTGGGTTCAATCCCCAGCACCACAAGAAAAAAAGAAAAAGAAAAAGAAATGGATCTTAGTAATCTATTATTTAATTTTTTAAAAATCTGTTAAAGGTGTATTAAGAATTGTATTGCCAAAAAAAAGAGAGTTCTTGTATAATTTGGCGTGAACATACTTTATATACAGAGTTAAGAAAAATCGTGCTGGGAATGGATAATTATGAATGTAATGCATTCAACTATTGTCATGTATGTAAGAAATTAAAAAAAAAAATCTGTTATCCAAAAACCATTGAAATGAAAGAAGATCTAAATATATGGAATGTATACCACATTAACAGATCAAACAATTCAATATTGTAATTATGTCAAATGATCTATATGTTCAACTCAGTCTCACTCAAAAAATTTGAAGGCAGGTGCAGTAGAGCATGCTTGTAATCTAGCGGCTCAGGAGGCTGAGGCAGGAGGATTGTGAGTTCAAAGCCAGCCTCAGCAAAAGCAGAGTGTAAGCAATGTTGGACCCTGTCTCTAAATAAAATATAAAGCAGGACTGGGAATGTGGTTCAGTGGTTGAGTGCCTGAGTTCAATCCCTGGAACCCCCCATCCCCTCAAAAATGACAGATTGAATCTAAAATTACACAGGAATGCAAATGGTCAATAGTTGAAATACCTGAAAAAGAACAAGATGGGAATGCTTGTTCAGACATTATGATAATGTTAAAGTAATTATAACAGTGGAATTGGTGCTAGGAGAGAAGAAAGAACTCCCATCCAAAATCCACAGATATAGAAATATACAATTTATGTCAGAGGTGGCACCATGCACAGAGTAGGTGGATCCAGGAGGATCTTTTTATTTTTATTTTTTGTTTTGGTGGTGCTGGGGATTGAACCTGGGGCCTTGTGCATGCGAGGTAAGCACTCTACCAACTGAGCTATGTCCTCAGCCCCATATACTTGCTTTTCTTTTTCTTTTTCTTTTTTTCCAGGAGGATCTTTTTCATAAATGGTACTGGGTGATCTCAATATTCCCAGTACCAAAAAAAAAAAAAAAAACACCATAAAACAAAACAAAACAAAACTAAAAGAGCCTGGGGATAAGACACCTTTGGGCAAAATCCCTAGCACAAAAATAATAAATAAATAAATATGTCCTACAGGCTAAACCAAGAGGTCTCTCACGCCAAGTGGGCATTAGGCAATGTCTGGTGATATTTTTGATTGTTACAACTTGGGAGAGGAGAGCACTGCTGGCACCTAGAGAATAATACCCAATGTTGCCACTAAACACCCGCCAATACAAAGGACAACCCCCAATGATTATTCAGTCAAAAATGCCTACTGAGATTAAAATACCTTGGACTTGAGTGACCGCATAATGTATATTGTGCATATAATTTAATATACAAAGAATCCAAGACACTTCTGAAAATGAAGAGGTAATATAAGTAATGATAACACGGTAACAGGTATAAACTAGGACATATATTCGCACATGGAAATTCCATTCCCAGGTATTCAGCAGAAATGCATACTTATTGCCATATTACAAGAATGTTCATAATAGCATTATTCATTACTGTGAAAAGCTAGAAACAGTATCAACAATAAATTGCAGCCCCTACTCAGAATAGAATAGTATATGGCAGTGAAAAAAGTCAAAATGCTGTATGAATAGAAAAAGTTCAAAAATAAACAACACTAAGTTACAGTGTTTAGGGATGCATGCTTAGGTGGTAAAATAATTTTTTAAAGCAAGAAAGTGATTAGTCTGCACAAATGTCAGTGGTGACATGGGGAGAAGGGATGCAGAGCTTCTAAGGTGATGTCTTTCTTGAATAGGGTGATGGATTCATGGGTATTTCTTGGTGACACATCATGAAGCTCTTTATCTTCTTTTGTACATCTCTTTGTATGTATATGTGTATGTATGTGTGTTACATATAAATTTCATAATACAAATAATGAAATGGATTAAAAAGATTCAGAAGGGTTAAGAGGATGCATGTGGTAAAACCTAACATTATATTTTATAATAACCAAAAATTTTAAATAATGTTTTATTTTGGTAAGTATGATGAAAAACTTTGAGATGATTCCAAACAAGTCAAACATGGATCTTTCCAACTTGTTTTTTCCTGCAGTGTCTCTACTGAGGACAGCAAAATATAAGGGGCTCCAAAGAGAAACAAAAAGTGAGAAAAAAATAATACAAAGTTGATTTAACTTCACTCCCGGATGAAAGAGCAATGCAGAATATATACATTCCTTCCATAAAAGAACATACTGACATTGTCACAAAATACTTGTTTATGGAAAAATATTAATATAAAAAAAATAACCTATTTTCATTACCTTTCATGTTAGTGACCTATACAGACCTATAGATTTTATAGTTAAAAACAAGGTTAGAAGATCAAAAGCTACAAAAGCATAAAATATTTTACTATTTTGAAATCAGATGAGAATATTTTTATGTCTTAACCATATATGCACTGTACAATGAAGAAATTGGGCCAAGTGCAGTGGTTCATGCCTTTAAGTTCTGTTATTCATGAGGCTGAAGGAGAAGAACTCCAAATCTGAGGTCATCCCGGGCAACTTAAAGAGGACCATCTCAAAATAAAATTTCCAGCTTGGTGGTAAAACCCTTGCCTAGCATTTACAAGGTCCTGGGTTCAATCCCCAGTACTACAAAAAATTAAATAGTTTTTGGTACTGGGTATTTAATCCAGGGGTACTTTATCACTGAGCCACATCTTCACTCCTTTTTATTTTGAGACAGGGTCTCACTAAGTTGCTGAGAGCCACACTAACTTGCTGAGGCTGGCCTCCACTTTATGATCTTCCCATTTCAGCCTCCCAAATTTCTGATTACAGATACATGCCACTGCAACCAGACAGAATTTTTTTTAAGATGAAGAAATTGGCTGGCTTTTGTTTGCATACTTGGGAGGTAACTTCTAAATCCATAGAATTTTTCAAATAATAGAAGTTTCTTGTCATTCATACTAATTTCTGATAATATGTACTAATGAGGTGACTCATGGAGGACCCCTGGATAATTTGTACTAACAAGATGACTCAGAGAGGGGGCTAGCTAATCCAGAAAGATTACCATGTTATTAGATATGGGCTTTTGGCCTCTTGATATCAGTTTGACCTCTGGGGAAGGTAGGAGGGATTTAGACTGAGCTCAATCTTAGTACCAGTGATTCAGCCAATCATTTTCTGGAATGAAACCCTAGCACTCGGGATACCAATGCTTATATGAGCTGCCATGGTAGAGAATATCCCATGAGTACTACTATTATACCTAAATGTATTAGAAGGGTGTTAATTTCTGACAGGGAAAAGATGCCAGAAGGTTCAAGTCTAGGACCCTCTTAACCCTCACCCTGTGAGCCTCTTTTTTTGGCTGACTCTGATTTTGTGTTCTTTTTTCTCTAGGACATTTAAGTTTCAAGCATAGTGCTTTCCTGAGTTCTATGAGTCACTCTGGAGAACTGTTGAACCTTAGGAGATAGTGATACCTCAGAACTTGTGACTGTGGCACCTTAGGATTTGTGTCTGGTATCTGAAGTGAGAGCAGTGTTGTGGAAGATTCTGTGAAATCTAGTCTAACTCCAGGTATTTAGTGTCAGAAGTCATTGCAACCTTGTAACAAGTAGATACTATGAACTTCATTTTGTAAATAAGAGAATTTAGGCATAGAGAGAGGTCAAGTTGCTTGCCAAAGATTGGACAGTTAGTGGAGAACCACTAACTGGATTTGAATCCAAGTCTGCCTGACTCCAATCCTGTGGCCTTAAATACTGAGCTAGCTCTGTCCCTAAGTGACTGGATAAATTAAGAATTTCATTTATAATATGAATTTGTAATATTGTTTAGAAAGTGTGTATATGTGGTTGGGTACAGTGACACACTCCTGTAATCCCAGAGACACAGGAGGCTGAAGCAAGAGGATAGCAAGTTAAAGGTCGGCCTCTGCAATTTAGCAAGGCCCTAAGCAACTTAGTAGGACCCTGTCTCAAAATAAAAAATAAAAAGGACTGGAAATGTAGCTCAGTTGTAAATCACTCCTGGTTTCAATTCTCAGTAACAAAGAAAGAAAGAAACTGTGTGTATGCACTTGCCTATGTACATATATATACATAAACATGCATATATTTTATGGAAAACACCAACTAATAACACCAGTTTTTAAACCCCACTAATTGATCACTTATAAATCACATAATGGAATTCTATTTTGCTGAGTAATAACAGAGTTTTCCAGATAGCATTTAGAATTATTCCCTACCACATATTTTTCCATCACAGTATACACAAAATAACGTCAAAACTTGCCTAAGAACAGATACTAAAAACAAAAGGAGAAACAACACTATTACAGAACAATACCACAAACTCCGCATTTTCATAAAATTTGAACAATGCAAACTTACTTCTTCAGCAGACATGTGAAATCGTAAAGCACTTGGCAAAACACTGCCATATTCCCACCTGAGAGCTCTAATCCGAAGCAATCGGTCATACCTACAACGTATAGAAGGAATTAGACAGTATAAGAATTAAAGGGGGAAATTAGAAGTTGTTCTGATGAGGACAGACTCAGGATTCACAACAGCCTAAATAAAACATACTTGTTTCTTGATGTAAACAAGCCAATTATAAGAAGGTATCTTTGAAACAATGGAACAAACATGCAGATGGACTGAACAGATGCCATGAAGACATTGTTCACTCCTCCAGTTGTGACACCATACAGTGGTTATAAAGGTCCAAATGATCCTTATTTTTTACTTTTACTTTTTTTATATTTTGGTACCAAAGATTCAACTCAAGGTGTTTAACCACTGAGCTATGCCCCCAGGCCGCCCCCTTTTTTAAAAAATTTTTTGAGATGGAGTCTCACTAAGTTGTTTAGGGCCTAGCTAATTTGCTGAGGCTGGCTTGGAACTTGTGATCCTCCTGCCTCAGCTTCCCGAGCCATTGGGATTACAGGTAGCGCCACCATGCCCAGCCAATTCTTATTTTTTAGAGAAATAAGAAAAACATTAAAGATACTAAAATAGTCAGTGGTACAGTGCATAATATTCTAAAAATGTATATGATGAAGTACTATGGCAAAATATTAAAAAGACATAAAGGTACTGGGGATGTAGCTCAGTTATAGAGTGCTTTCCTAGCATGTGTGAGAATAAGTCCCATCCCCAGTATTGCCAAAAAAATAAAAAATAAAATAAATTGACCTAAGGGGATATGATGACTCTGAGGGTTTATTAATCTTCTTCCTTTAATGAATATTGCAATTTTTCATAACAAATTTTTAAAAATAGAAAAAGAGAAGATTTAGAATATTTATAAAGAGAAAAGAGATAGCCAGGCACAGTGGTACACATCTATAAGCTTAGCAACTCAGGAGGCTAAGACAGGAGGATACCAAATTGGAGGCCAGCCTCAGCAACTTACCAAGATCCTGTTTCAAAATAAAAAATTTAAAGGCCTGGGGGTGCAGCTCTGTAGTACAGCATCCCTGGGTTCAGCCACAGTACTGCAAAAAATGTTTTTAAAAAAGAGAGACAAATCTAAGATTCCCTGCTACCCATTTGGAAAGGTTATCTGGAAAACCAAACCACACAGAAAACCCTCTGGGTTCCTTCCATCCCAAGCAAACAGTGAGAAACTTACAAGTAGGCAACAGTGCAGCGTCGATTTCTTAACAGAGAACAGTGTCGAAATTTAATAGTTGGTATCAAATCACCTCGTCCACCCAACTTTGCTTCATTTCTGATAAGAACATTAAAAGAACAAAATGTATATATGGGTATGTTACCATATTAGTAAAAATTTCAAAGCCAACAACTACTAACTTAAATGCTTGGGGTTTTTTTATTTGTTTGTTTGTTCTGGGTTATTTTGTGGTGCTGGGGATCAAACTCAAGGCTTTGTGCATGCTAAGCAAGCACTCTTCCACTGAGCTACACTTCCCACCCCACAAATTGTCCAAATACAGGGAACAAGGAAAACTATTTCCTTATTGGACCAAGGACTGCTAGACCAACTCCAAAATATCTTTATTTTTCTGTTCACTTTTACTAACTCCAGGTCACCTCTCCAGTCACCTAGATAACCAACGTGCCTCCCTCTTCTCTTAGCTTCCCCAGGAGCTGTGCGCAGGACAGCCAGGATAGTTTCTTAAGACACAAATGAGTCACCACCCATCCACACTTAAAAATTGCATTTGGTGTCACCCTCTGTTCCTTACTAAGCAATCAGTGCCTCAATAAAACCACTTCTCCTTTAGGCCTCAGCTGAAATGTCTCTTCCTTAGAATGGCCCTGATTCCTCAACCTAAGTTGTATCTTCTTTAAGTGTCTCCCAGCCCTCTGTTGCTTTCTTTCACAGCATGTCTCCCAATTTGGTATGTCTGTATTTAATATTTATCTCTGCACTAGACTAAGAGTCACAAGAACAGGAATCTGGGCTATGTCAATTACGAGGCAAATACTGGGGCCATTTGTTGGCATATCCTTTTTCAGTGCATATTTGTTGAATGAATCAATGAATGTCATTTGCTGCAACTCTGCTGAGGTTCAGTTCCTCATTCCATCTTTAAAGATTTTTCTGTTATTTATCCTAATACACAGAAATGGGAAAATGCTCCTATCATTTGTGTGCCCCACAAATCTTATCAGCATGCCACTGATTTCGATATCAAACTAACTCATAAAAACATTCTACCTAAGCCATTCTACCTAGGCTACACTCTACAAGGCCAAAGAGGAAATCTCATGTCACAGAGATAGATGTATCTCTAGATTTAGATCTTGGCCACCTCAATTTTGATCCAGCACTTTATGTCACTGGAACCTGTGAAGTTTGTCACATAGCCCAGATTCCTCTTTGTTTCAATTAGCATGTTCAGATCTAAATATTCTATGAAACTAGAGGCTTCTCTTGACCTACTAAGCTGTAGCCCTCTGTTACATCAGTTCTCAGTGAAGTCCACTCAAGCTATCAGAAATCACTTGCTATTAGTGCCAATTTTACAAATTATTCCTTAAACAAATTAAGGCATCTATTAATGAAAAGGTGGAAACTATATATTTCACTTTGTTATGGTTTTTATTTTCTTGTGTCTCATCTTTTTAAGTCTGCCTTAATTCCTTTTAACTCAATATATATTAGTCAAACCACAATAATTTTTAAACATCTACCACTTACCAAGCAATGATCAACACAAATCCATCTATGTCCTGGCTCTGTGTTAACCTGTACAGTTAGGGTATGATCAGGCTCACAGAGAATTGGGGGAAAAAAAAAAATCCACATCCCAAAACTGACATAAGCCAGGCATGATGGCACACACTGGTAACCCAGTGACTCATGAGGATTCCAAGTTTGAGGCCATCCTTAGCAACTTAGTGAGGCCCTGTCTCAAAATCTCAAAATAAAAAAAAGGGGGGGCTGTGCATGTAGCTTAGTGGTTAAGTGCTCCATGGTTCAATCCCGAGTACCAAAAAGGAAAACAAACAAAAAACAAATACAAACACCAAAAAAACATGATGTAAGATTATATGACTTCAACTTCTTAAATTGTTTTAAAATATCAAAACTTACACATCAGACTGGTTTTGTTCATATAAAGCTTTCATTTCCTCCAGAACTTGTCTGATTCCATCCTCCTAAAACATATCAAAATATTGATACAAAGTCACTTATTTCTCTACCAAATCTGTGACAATATTGTTTGTACTATATTGATCTTTGATTTACAAACCTTACAAAAAAACAATAGGATGGCCGTGGTGTTAGCAAATAATGTTAACTGGATATCCCCATGAAAAAAACAATCCATTGGCTCATCAAAAGTTAAAAAGAATTACTATATGATCCAGCAATTCCACTCCTAAGTACATATCCAAGCAAACTGCAAACATGTTCCCACAAAAATCTGTACAGAAATGTTCTTAGCAGCATTATTCATAATAGTCCAAAAGAAGAAACAACTCAAAATGTCCATCAACTGATAGATGAATAAACCAAATGTAGTATAAACCTTCAATGGAATATAATTCAACCGTAGGAAGACATGAAGTACTGATAGATGCTACAACATGGATGAATCCTGAAAACTTTATGCTAAATGAAAGACACCAGACACAAAATAAAAAGTATTGTTATGGCTCCACTTATCCGAAATATTTAGCAAAGACAAATTCATATAGACCCAAAATAGTTTAAAGGTTACCAGAAGCTGCAAAAAAAGGGAAACTGGTACAATTATTGCTTAATGGTGAAAGAGGCTCTGTTTGAGGTGATAAAAAGGTTTCGGGAATAGTGGTAATGATTGATGACAATGTGAATATAATTAATGCCATTAAAGTTCACAGTTAAAATGGCTTTATATGGCTGGGCGCGGTAGCACAAGCCTGTACTCCCAGTGGCTTGGGAGGTGGAGGCAGGAGGATCTCAAGTTCAAAGCCAGCCTCAGCAATTCAGCAAGTTTTGCTAAGCAACTCAGTGAGACCTTGTCTCTAAATAAAATACAAAATAGGGCTAGGGATGTGGCTCAGTGGAGTGCCCGAGTTCAATCTTGGTACCCAAAAGAAAATGACTTTATATGTGTACATCTTACACAGTGAAAAAAATGTAAAGGCTCAATTAAAAGGAATGAATTACTGAAACCATACAAAATAAGTATAATCTCAAATATATTACACTAAGCTAAAAAAGGCCAGGCACAAAATAGTGTATACTATGTAATACCATGTAGCCCTTTACAGAAAAAGTTTGCCAGTTCCTGGATGTGGAATCCAACAATATGCAGAAAAGGAGAAATATAACCTGTAGTGAGAGAAAGCAAATTTGTGGTTGCCAAAGGCTGTAGCAGGGAGGTTGGCTACAAAAGAGAACAGTGGTGGGCTTTACAAAATCGTGATCAGGGTACTGGTTATAAAGTATACATTTGTCAAAATTTGTAAAGTCTATTAAAATGTATATTTTGTTATATATAAATTATATCTCAGGCAGGTGTAGTGGCACACACCTATAATCCCAGCAGCTTGGGAGGCTAAGGCAGGAGGACTGCAAGTTCTAACCAGCCTCAGCAACTTAGTGAGGCCCTAAGCAACTTAGTAGAAACCCTGTCTCAAAATAAAAACTTAGTAGCAAACAAACAAAGAAAAACCCTCAATAAAAATGAATGCAAAAAAATAATAATAGAAAGAGATTAATGAGACATGACAGCTAAATTCTTATTTGGATTCCTAAAACAAATAAATTAGTGCTGAAACCAAAAAAAAAAAAAAAAAAAATTAATGCCAAACTATGTATTTGTGCAGTGATGGTTCAAATTCTTCTTACATAAGAAATCTGTATATTTAGGCACCTTGGAATCAAAAGAGTATACAAAAAAATCCCATATTTTAAGAAACAAATAATAATAATAATAATAATAATAATAATAATAATTGCTTCCTACAGAATAATAATAATAATTGCTTCCTACAGAAGCAATAAGGCATGCATAACCAAAGCAAGTAAATTATTATTTACTGAAAATGGTCTTTAAAGGGTTAATTACCCCACCCCAAAAAAGTACTTTAAGTTTGTACTACAAGAATAAGAAGGCCAAAGGAGTTTTCCTACTACCCACCCTGGAGCAATTTTTTTAAAACTTTCTATTAAATAAAATATTAAATTTCATGAATGTTACACAGTAACTCTGTGAACAATCCAAAGAAAAGATTCCCATTTGTTTTCCAATCTATTCTTAGGACCAAAATATATGTATTAGCATAAATATTTTTGGTAGAAGATGAAATAATAAAGCACTTGCCTAGTATGCACAAGGCCCTGGGTTTGATCTCCAGCACTGCAAATAAAACTTTTGATATACCAATGCACAACTACTTAACCTACTCAAGATATAATTCCTGATAAAAATTTAAGCTGGGGATATAGCTTAGTTGGTAGGGTACTTGCCTCACATGCACAAAGCCCTGGGTTCAATTCTCAGTACCACACACACACAAAAAAAATGTAAGCATGACTTTTACTTTCTCTTTTAGCATCTAATTTTTAAAAATTATGGGAAGGTCTGATTTATAAAAACAATATTTTTATAAACAAATGTTACTTTAAAACATTGTACAACTATATATCTGTAGGTATACAAAAGCCAAATATGAAATAATTCTTTGAAATATACGCAAGTTTTCAGACTTTGAGTTTTATCTATAGAGGAAATTACATCTATTCTGTGCCCATCTCAGACTATAAGCTTCCAACAGCTCAAGATAATAGTCTTTCATTTAGGGTACTCAGGATTGAACCCAGAAGCACTTAACCACCGAGCCACATTCCCAGCCCTTTTTTATTTTGAGACAGGATCTTGCTAAATTGCAGGTGCTGGCCTCCTCCTGCCTCAGCCTCCCAAGTTGCTGGGATTACAGATGAGTGCCGTCATGCCTGACCCCAAGATAATATTCTTAAAAACATTTTTTTTGGCTGGGGATGGGGGTACTCTACCACTGAATTATATTACCAGCCTTTTTAAAATTTTTTTGAGATAAGGTCTCACTCAGTTGACTAGGCTGGCCTGGAACTTGTGATCACCCTGCCTCAGCCTCACAGGTCACTAGGATTATAGACTGAAAACATACTTTTTAGGGGGAAAAAAATTCAGTTCTGCATACAGAAAGGTAGTAATCATTTTTTAGTTTGCTGAATTACAGCACCCAACCACAAGTGATTCTAGACTAAACAAGGCAAAGCCTCTGCTCTAAACCCCTGGCTGTCATCTACCTGGGATGGGAGGAATGAAGAGATGATTTTTTTTTTTTTTTTAATTGAGACAGGGTCTCCCTATATTGCAGAGGTTGGTTCTGAACTTGTAATCCTCCTGCCTCGCCCTCTGAGCAGAGCTGGGATTATAGGCATATACCACCACATGATTCTTGAAAGACTGCTGCATCTCAGATCAAGTATTGTCTTCTCCCGTTCAGCTGTGTCTGAGGCCAGTCTCTACAGACTCAGTCTTCCAGGCAGCAGAGTCACCTGCCTAGCAGGTGTTTTAGTCAGTGGAAGGCACTAATGAGCAAAAGATAACAAAAGATACTCTCACAAATTAAGACCTTAAAGATAGTGATAGTCACTGTCTTCACATTACAGCTTCTAAGACTCTGGCCTCCTAAACCAACACTTTAATCTTAAAATTTGAATAAAAAGCCAGGCATGGTGGTGCATACCTATAATCCCAGTGACTTGGGAGGATAAGGCAGAAAGATCAAAATTTTGAGGCCAGCCTGAGCAATTTAGGGACACCTGTCTCAAAATCAAAAATAAAAAGGACTGGGGACATAGCTCTGTGATAAAGCACACCTGGGATCAATCCCCAGTACCCCCTCCGCCCAAAAAATTGAGTAAAAAGAGTTAAGATTAACCAATCATAGTGGCACACACCTGTAATCTAAGCAGCTCAGGAGGCTGAGGGAGGAGGATCGTGAGTTCAAAGCCAGCCTCAGCAACAGTGAGGTGCTAAATTACTTGGTGAGACTCTGTCTCTAAATAAAATACAGAATAGGGCTAGGGATGTGGCTCAGTGGTTGAGTAACCCTGAGTTCAATCCCCGGTATCCCCCCCTCCCCCAAAAAAGAACTAAGACTAAGAAGTGTATGAAGAGCCAGGTTCCAAGGCCAGCCCACCAGCACCTGTTTGGACACTTCTCCGCCTCTTTGGGCCCCATTTCCTCATATGTAAAATAACCTCCACAATAACTAGTTCTATGATCCAGTATGGAGCCAAATTTTAGAGCCTACACACATTCCAGCATCTCTGCTCAGTTTTGCACTATTGTCTTCTCACTTTTTAAATGAGGTAACCTTACTTTTTTTTTAGAGACAGAGTCTCACTGAGTAAAAAGACAGACATGGTAAGGCTTAGCGCCTCATTTTTGCTGAGGCTGGCTTTGAAGTCTCCATCCTCCTGTCTCAGCCTGCCAAGCCGAGGCAAGCGCCTCTGAGCCCTGCATGAGATATAAGTTGAAAAAGGGATTACAATCTAAAAAGCCTGAGTTCAAGTTGAGGCTCTGCCTCCAATATGCTCTAAATTGAGACCAGTCCCTTAACTCTGATCCATAATTTCCCTTGGTTCAGTTTCCTCCTTTGTAAAATGGTGTAAGTGTAAAGACTAGGACATTTTTTTTGTCTGGGGATTGAACCTAGGGCCAAGGGCCCAGTCCCAGACTAGGTGCTCTTTATTGTTCAAAACAAAATTCATTACCTTTTCCCAAAAGGAGTTCATTTTTAACTTATGGTTTCCTATTACCTGAGAATCTTTCCAAGATCCTGGCCCATTCATTATCTACCCCATTTCTACCCATTTTAATAGTACAGATCCTGTTTGTCTCAGATACTGATTTTAGTGCCACTGACTTGACAATTTCAAGTACACACAACTGTCACCTGACCTACTGTAATCACACAAACAATCTTTCTGCCCCCATTTGGTCTTCTCTTCAATCCATCCCCCCATACTGCTGCCATAATTACACTCAAAATGCAAAAATTATTCACCTGCCTAAAATCCTCTACCAGCTTTCAAAACACACATTATGAATGAATACTTAACTATTCTAGACTGCAAATCCACCTTTACATGCCCTTTCAGTCACCTTTGCAATGTAACCATGTGTCTTTGTATTACCATATCCTTCAGCTAGAATGCCTCAATCCCTTCTGAATGTAACCTCATCCTTAAAGATGATGTGGCTCAAAGGTACCCTTTTGTGGGCTGGGGCTATAACTCAGTGGCAGAGAGCTTGCCTAGCATGTGTGAGGCACTGGGTTCCATCCTTAGCACCACATAAGAATAAATAAAGGCATTTTGTCCATCTACAACTACAAAAAATAAAAATAAAAATTTTTAAATACCCTTTTCTAGTCCCATCCCCACCAGTTTACTTTGTGATTCTCCTTCATGTTCCTTATCTATAATTCCTATAATTCATTGGCACCACTTATCACGCTGCATATCATACCTCTATGCCCCTCTCCCAGAAGAATGTGTCCTGGCATCCACACTATGGCTGCCCTAGGATAGGGGAGGAGGTCAAGCACAGCATTTAGAGTGCAAGCTCTGGAGCCAAAGTGCCATGACTGGAAACCTTACTTTAGTTCTTACCTGAACAAGATACTTAATCTTCCCAAGCCTTGGCATATGTAGCTAGAAAAATGGGGGGGGGGGGGGGGAGATTGTTGAAACCTAAAGGGTTTATTATTTGGACGTGATGATGTAGGTCAACGGCTTGGCACCCTGCCTTAGGGAGAAGTTACAGAAAAATAAGAATAATCACATTAATAATAGTAATAATAATCTTAGTAGAAATAAAATTAACAGCAACCACTGACTCTGCTTTACCGTATGTCAGGCATTGTTCAGACACCCTCATTGCACAACGAGCTAGTTACTATCATCATCATTCCCATTTTTGCAGAGAAAACTGATAACAAGAAAGCTTGAATAACTGCCCCACAACCAGAATCTCAGGCTCTTTCCGGAAGCTGTCCTGCCCTCTGCCCTGGTGCGGGGGATTCTAGGCAAACACTCTACGAGCTACACGCCAAGCCCTGCAGGCCAGGCTTTTAGTTACATTTCGCTGCCGGAGTGGACAGCAAATGCTAGCTCACTATCAGGCAGAAAGGAAATATTTGGTTAAATAAAGAAACTGCGGCAAAACTAGACAATGAAAAGTACTCAATTATACTCAAGTGAGGAAATGCACTAAGCAGCTGGGAAATAAAAGCATGAATACTTTGTGTTCCCTCTTATACTTTGCTGTGCCGCGTTCCAAAAATTTATCACGACTTGGTTGCTAACCACGTGGGAAAGTAAATCCTCCAGGTGAGATGCAGGGAAGAACTGCCAGGAAGCCGTCCAGGCCCCGCCCCTTTCAGGTCTAGACCGCCGTCCTCACATTGAAAGCGGGTAGCTGCCCTTCTGGCGCGCGGTGCAGCTCACGAACCAGCTCCACAGCTTTTTCGCAGAACATGACGGACTCTCTCGGGTCCCTCAGGCTTTCAATCCAAACAGTCGCAGGGCTCTCGGCTTCCGCGTACCTTCTGTTCTGCACACCACAGCTTCAGCTCTTTGCCTCCTCCTCTGCGACGCGCTTTGGCGCCAAACAAGCCTAGCCAATAGGAACGCGTTGCCGAATCTTCTGTCCTACGGCAGCCAAAGAGGGACAAAGAGGACTCTGCGAGACTGTGTTACAGAAAGGGCGGAATAAGGGGGTTGGTTTTTTCTTTAGTGATGCCCAGCTCTCAGTACAAAGAACAAGCAGCCTGGCGTTGTTCCAGACGGCTGTTGCTATCGCCTCAACTTGCTATCACCTGAACAAGATACTTAATATTCCCAAGCCTTGGCATAAGTAGCTAGAAAAATGGGGGCGGGGGAGACACTCGCTGGTGTTTTCGTTTTCGTTTTGCAGCAGGATTTTTCGTTTGATAACCCTCCTGGGTTGGGTGCCTCCTGTGTGGTAGGGACTGTGATACATATTTATTTTTAAAAAAATTTTTGGTAGTTGTCTATGGACATTATGCCTTTATTTTGTGGGGCTGAGGATGGAACCCAGTGCCTGACTCCTGCTAGGCAAGCTCTTAGCCACTGAGTTATGGCCCCAGCCCTATTATACTTAATTTTCATAACGTTCGCTAAAGGTGGTTAAGACTCTGAACTGATAAAGAAACAGAAGTTAGATAACTTCCCCAAGATCACAAAAGAGCTCATAAACTCAATTAGACCTTGTAGCTAAGCTTTCCACTTTTGGCTCAGTACCATCCTTTTTTTGTTTGTTTGTTTGTTTTGTGTGTTTGTGGGGGTTTTTGTTGTTTGTTTTTTGTGGTATTGGGGATTGAACCCAGAGGCTGTCTACCACTAAGCTATAATCCCAACCCTTTTATTTCTTATGAGGAATATTAATTTTATTGTGGTTATCTGGGATATTTTTTATTAGAGTATTATAATTATACATAGCATTGGGATTATTTTATTTTGAGACAGTCTCTTTAAGATGCTGAGGCTAGCCTGGAACTTGTTATCCTGCTTTAGCCTCCTGAGTTGCTGGGATTATAAGCATGCATCATCATGCCTGGCGTATTTGGCTAATTTGAAAAACAAAAACAAAAAAACAAGTCTTTTTTTCTTTTGATGCTGGGGATGGAACCCAGGACCATGCTATGCTAGGCAAGGGCTCTACCAATGAGCTATGCCTTTAGCCCCTAAGCAATATTAATTTCTAAAAAGCAGTATTGGATTCATTGTGGCTAACCCTAGAAATAATGTTCCTCTTTTGCAAAGTAGATAAAGTACACATTATCTGATAAAGGGAAATGGCCCATTAAAAAAAAACAAAAAACAGTTTCTGGACCTTATCCTTCCATTTCTTCTAAACACTAAAGGATAACTTTTTTAAACCAAGTACATACTTCTATCATGGACCATGCTGTGGGATTTTGATCCAAAGACAAGCATCCATAATCCTCAGCCATATATCTTTTCAATTTCAGGCAGAAGGCAGAGTCCCTTAATGAACTTGAGACTCACTTCCTTACTTGTAAAATGGGGACCCTAGTGGCATTGCTGAGGAGTTGTGAGAATACAGTCTCTCCCTCAGGAAATATTTACAAAGTGCCTACTATGAGCCAGACATTGGTCTGGGCATTGAAAATACAGCAGTAAATAGGTCTTTTCTCAGATTTTACATTGCAGTGTGGGGAAAAAAAAAGAGATACAGACACATTGACAAATATATTGGTGACCAGCACTAACAAGAATAAGTCAAGAGGGCCTGGGATTGTGGCTCAGAGGTAGAGCGCTTGCCTAGCACATGCGAGGCACTGGGTTCAATCCTCATAATAAATAAATAAATAAATGAATAAGTCAAGAAAGGTGAACACAGTGAAGGTGAGTCTGAGGGTTTTAAGTTAAAAGTGTTCAGTGAATACACAGATGTGAAGGGGGAGGGAGCACACCCTGTAGGTGTGGGCAACTGGACGACAGGGAATTGCAGGTAGCAGGTATTAAAGTGCAAAGGTTCTGAGCAAGGGTGACTGTGGCATGTAAGGACCAGGAGGAAGGCAGTGATTGAGGAAGGACCCTGTATGTCCTTTCATAAGCTTTCAGTTTTATTTTGAATGAGTTGGGGAACCATCAAGGTGATTTTAACAAATGAGTGACAGAATTACATGTGGCATAGGAAAAATAAAAATCCTATGTGGCAGCTGAGTTCAGTAGACAGAAATGAAGCAAAGGTAGAGGCAGGAGGGAGACCACCCCTGCTATTAAAATAATCCAAGTGACGCATGATGTCTTAGCCCAGGGTGGAGATGGTAGAGGTGATGAGAAGTGTTGGAACCTGAGTAGATTCTGAAAGGGGAGCTGGCTGACAAAGTTTGATGCCAGAAGAAAGAAATCAAAGGTGACCCCAGAGTTTTAGCCCAAGGCAGCACAAAAACAGAGTTGCCATTTCCCAGGAGGGGAAGCTTATGAAGTTAGAGTGGAAGAAGAGCTGGGAGTTGTTTTGAACACAGTAGTCTGGGTGCCTGTCAGATATCAGAGATGAATAGATCTTTGGATAAAGAAGCCTGGATTCAAGGAAAGGAGGGGGCTATATTTAATGTCTCAAAACCAGGAGATAACTATATGGGGAAACCCAGGGCCAGTGAGAAAGATTTAATACCAACTTATATTTCTTTTTTCTTCTCTCCAGCTCTCCCTGTCTTCCTTGCCCCCCATCCCCTTATTAAAAAGGATTTTGTGCCAAGGCAAGGTGGGCATACACCTGCAATCCCAGCGGAAGACTGAGGCAAGAGGATTATGAGTTCAACATAGTGAGATCCTAAACAACTCAGTGAGACCCTGTCTCTAAATAAAATATAAAAAAGGGCTATAGATGTGGCTCACTGGTTAAGCACCTCTGGGTTCAATCCCTGGTACCCAAAAAAAAGGGGTGGGGGGATTTTGTGACAGATAAAATAATTTTTCTACACTTTAACTTCTGAATCCCCAAATCCCCAGTACTGTTATTTCACTTCAAAGAATTCACCTTTTAAATTCCACAGTATGTTTTAAATTGGCAATTATACCCAGGGGATGCTTTTCCACTGAACAACATGCCCAGCCTTTTTTGAAACAAAGTCTCATTAAATTGCTAAGACTGGTCTAGAATTTGTGATCCTCCTGCCTCAGCTTCTAAAGAAACTATAGAAAGTCAAAGCTGTAAAACTAAATCTGTGAGCTAAACTGCCCTTTATTTCCTTTGCTCTATTTAGAATGGGTTGAATTAATACTTAATTGGGTTTCACAAGTGCAAAGTCATCTTTGAAATGGATTTCCTCAAAGGGGTAAATGCTTTTAAAAATCCAAAATCTGTTTTCAAAGAGTAAACTGTTGCCAGGCATGGTGGCGGCGATGACTGTAATCCCAGTGGCTCATGAGGCTGAAACAGGAGGATCTAGGGTTCAAAGCCAGCCTTAGCCACTGAGCAAGACCCTGTCTCAAAATAAAAAAATAAAAAGGGCTGGGATGTGGTTCAGTGGTTAAGCACCCAAGGTTCAATCCCTAGTACCAAAATAACAAAATCACTAAAGAGTAAACTGTTTAAGCAGTTCACTGTTTCATATATTGGATCCCAAGGTTATATATATACACACACACACACACACACACTTTTTCAAATTAAAAATTAACTCCCTGAAGGCATCTTTTAAAAGACAAAGTCCTGCACGGTGCCTGTAATCCCAGTGACTAGGAAGGCTGAGGAGAGAGGATCACAGGTTTGAGGCCAGACTCAGCAATTTAGCTTAGGCCCTAACTAACTGACAGAGACCATGAATCAAAATAAATAATGAAAATAAAACGGGCTGGAGGGGCTGGGGTTGTGGGTCAGAGATACAGCGCTTGCCTAGCATGCGTCAGGCACTGGGTTCGATCCTCAGCACCACATAAATATAAAATAACTAAAAAATAAATAAATAAAACGGGCTGGGGATGTGGTTTAGTGGTAATGTGCCTTGGTTCATCCCCAGCATCGCACCCCCGCCCCCCGCAAAAAAAGAGTCCTTCTGGAAAAATAGCAACTAATCATTAAGACGGAATTGTGATGTTACCTTTTTGTTCATATAAACCTAAATGAGCAGTAATCCAGGGTTAGGAGCCAGAGGCCCTGGGTTGGAACGGGAGGGAGACAACTTTGGGCAGCAGCTCAGGCTCGCAGGGTGGCCACTTTCTGGCCGGCGTCCTCCCAGTGTTTTCGCCGTTCGGACCACTGAACTGAGGCACCACTGGGTTGTCTGCGGGTTACAAGAATGCCCAGAAGGTAGTCCCCTAGCCCCGTGCCGGACCCAGTCCTCTGCGCTGCAAAACCTAACAACCTTGCGCTGCCCTGACAATGACGCGAGGAGGCAGCTTCTACCGCCCTACTCCAAGATGGCTGCGGGTCGGCGCTGGGGATGCTGGGCGCGCTCCCCGAGGGACCCGGGTGGAGTTGATGGGGCGGGGAGGGGGGCGGGGGGCGGGGGGCAGAGCGAGCAGGATTCTGGCGCTGATTGGCCTGTGAGGCCGACCGGCCCCCAGCGCTGGTCCTCAGCGGGCGCTGAGGCCTGGGGCTGAGATGTGAGGGGCAGCGGGCGGGCTCCCGGCGGTGAAGGCTGTGAGCTGCGGCGGCTGCGGCGAGGGCGGCGCAGGCGGGCGGGCGAGGCCAGCGGGCGCCGTGGGCGGCCGGCCTTGTCGGCCGCGGGATGAGGAAACGGACCGAGCCCGTCACCTTGGAGCATGAGCGCTGCGCCGCCTCGGGTTCATCCTCCTCCGGCTCGGCCACCGCGGCGCTGGACGCCGACTGCCGCCTGAAGCAGAACCTGCGCCTGGCCGGCAAGGGGCCGGAGCCCCGTTGTGCAGCCGACTCGGGCATGAAGCGGACGCTGGGCAGGTGAGGCGATGCACTGGTAGTGGGGAGGGTTCCCCTCACCTGCCGTGCAGGTGCGGCCCACAGGTCTCCCCGAATCGTCGCCCCCCTCACATTAGCTGCCTGCATAAGGATTTCCCACCTCACCCCCCATTCTCCCGGTGTCCTCTTTGACCCTTCTTCAGACCTCTTCCCC